GAGTCTTCCATATGGTTGTTGGCGGGGCTGACGTTTCAAATTTAGGCACTCTGATTCCAACCCCCCAAAAAATTTTCGACTCTGAAGGCACTTCGGCCAGAAATCAAGCACTCTGATTGGTCAGTGTTCTGATGTCAGCGTGTCTGACAAGTCAGTGTCGGTGGGTCCGCATCAGGGTTAGTCCTCCTCATGCGCGCCGCTGCCCGGCCCATGTCGGTGGCATTCTGGACTGGCTGGTGTGAATGGCGTGTGACTCGGCAGATTGTTGCAGCAGCAGCAGCGCGCGATTGTTGTGTATGTACAGTACCTGGCACTGTGAGACCTACCTTGCTTGCAAGTGCCAACTGGCCGAGCGGCTGCAAAGATGAGCTGGCAGTAGGCACGAACTGTTACTTGGTGGCGCGCCTGGCAGTACCTTCAACCTACGAAACAGTGACGACATCACACGTTTGAGCGCAGAGAACACCCGATTTCAGTACCAAAAAGTGCGATATTTTCCCGTGGGGAGATATCCCCCCCCCCCTCCCCCCGATTGTCTGTAAAGTTCTCCGATTCGTTGAGCGATTCGCTAGAAAAAAAGTATTTTGGCCCTTTTCTATTTCACACTTCAACGGTTCCCCAATCACGCAACAACAGGGCCCAAAATTGGTTTTGCCCTACCCTTACAAATCAGGGTAACACCACCTCCTTGAACAGACCCCTAGGGTAAAATTTTCCGTACCCTGTTTGCAGCAGGGTAAGTCAACATCTAGCCTGATTTGAGCAGGGTATTTTTAGCCTAATCCTGATTTGATAACCATTTTGAGAGCTAAGTATTTTTTATGAGCATAATAACATAGCACATCCAAAATCTAGTCACTCAACATAAGCCACACATGCACTACACACCTACTCAGTGCCACCCCCACTGCCAACATTCTCTACAAACTGAGTCTGAGAAGCTCTGGTGGGGTCGAACTCCCTGGTGGATCGCCTCAGCTTCTCTCCACGGAAGATAGCGACCACCTCAAACCAGTCGACATCGTACCGCAGCAGGGAGCAGCGCATCAGATGCTCCAGGCTTGTGTCGCCAAGGCTGCCACGGCCCCAAGTCTTGATCAGGTTCTGCTTCGAGAAGCCACGCTCACATTCAACCGTGCTCAATGGCAATACGGCCACTGACTGCCACAGCCGCATGATGTTGGGGAAGGAGACCCGCCACGCATCATCCCGCAGCATGTTCGTTAGCGCCTGGTGGAATTCTTCGTTGTTGTGCTGGGCGAACATTGTGGATGTGAACATCCACAGCTCCTGCTGTGCTCTCTTGTAGTCGAACCCTGTGGGGGGGCGGGTTGGGGTGAAAGCTTGGCCGATGCTCGCAGACACGGGTAGGGATGGGGGGCATTAGTCCAAGAAGCAAAAGTATGCAGTATGTGTAATGGTCAGCGAAGGCGCGCACACATATCCTAACAAGTGCAATCGCTGCAAATGATATACCTGGCAGCTTGTGGTGGTACAACTTGTGCAGCTGGCCGAGCCATTTCTTGAAGGTTTCCACTCGCTTCGTGTCGTCGGTCACGTACGAAGCTGTACGAAACAGCTTCGAACCTTCCAGCAGCTCCAGGTCGCGCATCCGCCACTCCAGCTCTTTGTCGATGGCGCGCACATACTTAATCGACAGCTCGACGCACGCCGTGACATCGCCATCCGTTTCATGTCCAGGCAGCGGACGCTCGTGCAGTGTGAACTCAAACGTGACGGGATTCCCGTCCCCGTCTACGCCCTCCGCCTTCATCTCGCGCTTATCCTTTGCCCCGTGCTTCTTAATGAACTCGGGAAGCTGCATTTTCTCGCCGCTGCCGAAATGGTGTGCAGGGTCGCGGAGGGAATACCGCGTCTTCAGACGCATCCTTGTCTGCTGCACGATGTGCGCAACAAGGGTAATGTCCACCTGCACAAGGGCCAGCCAGCGAGTTAGTTAGTACACTTGCTTGCATGCGACAACATAGACGACAGCAACAAAGGCCCTTACCTGGCGCTGCTGGAAGCGCTGGTTAAGGCAGTTCAGTTCCCAAAGCACATCCGCTAGAAAGCGGATGAGCCAGTTGAACTTGAACGAGGTAACCACCTCGTACAAAGCCGCCTTGTAATCCTTCATCACCACGATGGCCGCAGGGAGTACGTCGAGCAGGCGCTGTATCGCTTCACCACGGGCGAGCCATCGTGTGTCGATAATCCCCTGCGCCTCGAGATTCGTCTGGCAGAAGATCCGCTGCAACTCCTGAAACTTCGCGTAGTCCACGCTGCTGCGGCCGATGTGGTCAGCGAAGGCGCGCACGACATCGTCGATCATCAACAGCTCAGGTACCTCTTCAGCAGCATCACTGGCTGCGAGTGCCTCCCTGCACATCAGTGGCAACACGATGGCGAGTTAGCCAAAATCTAAACTTCATAGAACAGCAGCACGGAGCACACAACGGTGAATCTTACCGATGAGCGATACAATGTGTTGAGGCCAGATGCGGAATGCGCATGCGAAGCCGTGTCACGACTCCTCGGTTCTTGCCGACCATGACGCTGGCACCATCGGAGGCGACGCTGGATATCTTCTGGAGGTCGACCCCAATACCTGTCAGATACTGCACGACAGCGGATGTGAGTGAGGCACCGTCACAACGGTCAACAGTAATGAGTGTCAGGAACTCGGTGACCACCGTGGTACGCTGGAAGAACGTGGCGTATAAAATGAGGTGTTTCCCATTCACACGGTCCGTGCTTTCATCGAGTTGAATCCCTATCCACGGGGATTCGAGCAGGTGCTCGCGCTGTGTCTCTTGGAGGTACGTTGACAGGGCGCGCAGGTTCTCTTTGAAGCCGTAACTGCCAGGGGACAAAACACGTGGTCACATACCCGGGTGGTTTAAAAAACAAACACCAGTATTCAGTTCAGGCCAAGGACTTACTCTGTGTAGTACGCGCCGTAGCCGCCACCTGGCGGCAGGTCTGGTAACCCCTCTTTCGCGAGAAACCAACACAACGGGACGAACATCGCTATGGGTGCGTCGGCCTTACAGACAAAGTGCGCGATGTGGAGGAGCCGAATGATGTGACGAGTGGAAGCGTCCTTGCCCTGCCATCGTGTGATAGTGACCTGCTTCGCCTTCTCCGCCTCCGCCTTCTCTTCATTCTCCAACGCCTGCCTGTGTGCACGGGAGGAGGTGTGAGTGCGGATGCTGCCGATCTGGAGGTCCCGAGCACCCTCACCCTTCGCACCGTACGCGGTGTGCGCAAGTGGATCTCCATGCTTCACACAAATCGCACACTTCAGAGAAGGACGACCGTTAGACATGCGGAGCAAACGTAGCCAGTTAAAGCTCCCTGCCCACTGACCCTCAAATGTTTTTTTAACCGATTCATACTCAGCATCTGCCAGAGCGGTGGGTGGCTTCGGATCGGCCGAAGGAGCAGGGCGCTTGTGGGAAGTTGCGTTTCGGGGAGGCGGGGCGCCCCAGAGCGTCTGCTGCTTGTACGTAGCTCCCACACGCGGTCGCTTCACGGGCGCGGTGCTGATCGTCGATGGCGAAGCTGTAGGCGGCTTTGACGAGCCCTCGCCACCTCCGGGAACTAATTCTATGTCAGGATGTGGCTCCCACGCCGTGGGTGAGTCTGGCGGCTCGAACGGATAAACAGTCCCTACCACACATTCTGGTGACGGCTCACGAGGCGGCGGCTGAGCGATGGGCACGGCGTAGTTCTCGCTAAGGCGTGGTAAAACGCCCAGCACAGAGAGGCCGTTTCTAGCGCCATTAGGCGGCTCGGGCTCTCCAGTGGGCATTGTGGAGGTGAAAATTGAGAATGGTTGAGAATGAGGGCCAAGCGACGGACCCCCTAGTAGAGAACGAGCCTCTGCCTGACTCTCAAGGGCCGTTTCATGCATGCGGCGGGGAGCGTATGGCCAGCAAGGCAGGACTGCTCTTGCAATTTGATGTCAAGGACAGCTTAAGCTGTCCTTGACAGCAAATTCTGCTGTGTTGGAGGTGGGCGTGGCTACGGGTGGCAAGATTCGAGATTGAGTTGGCAGTCCTGCGGAGAGAAACAACAAATGTGGCAACTTGGCGCGTTGCCGACAGCGTGGCAAGGATTTTACGCGTGCTCACAAAAGACAACCGGTGTTTGTGGGGGTGTGGTTCAATTTGGCGCCTCGTGGACTGTGGTCTGATTCGCGTTACGAAAGATTCGGTAACAGGGTAGTCTACACCGTACCCTGATTCCGTCAGGCTAACACTAAATCCTATCAGGGTAAAAAAAAACATGCACTTTTTAGAGAAGGGTAACTATACAGCATTCCTGATTTCGGCAGGGTAATCCTGAAAAACGGACAGGCCCCCAGGGTAATCAGGGCGTTTTACCCTGATATTTTGGGCCCTGCGCAACAATCTAAATTGCGTGTCTTTGTCGCAGATAGGGTGTATTTGGTATCCCCAGCTGGTGAAGTGTACTTTGCTCGCGTGGTAGCACTCTCTGCCAATTCGAAGGTGGGTATATCGGGAAGAAATTTCTAAGAAACTTCGCCTCGATATCCTCGGGGACCACAGAATGTGTACTCTGTAGAGTTAGACTCCAGAAACGACTACGTCTGAAGCCTATTACATGGAATCAAGGGCCCAAAAACAATGTATGAGGCACTCAGTGACGAAAAATGGACTACTCTGGAAATACATTTTCCACAAAGTGCAAGGTCTGATTCGTCAGACTAATCAGACTAAATAGTCTGATAGCGTCAGCCCTGGTTGTTGGTATGAACAGGCACACAATGGACAAAACTAGTAGGTGCCACAAAAGCAAAGAATAAACAAGTTACTTGGAGAAGTGGGGTATCGATGCCCATACCTCTCGCATGCTAAGCGAGCGCTCTACCATCTGAGCTACATCCCCATGCCACGATAGCACTGCTATCAATTATCGATTATGTTATTTTACGAACAGATTTCACCTGCCGAGCTGTTGTGTCCACAGGTGCCATGGCCAGATCATCGCACCGCGCTTTAGTTAGCCTTCTCTTCGTTACACTCACATTATTATCCTCAACCTCTAGAGTCGCCACCGGTCAGGATGCGGAGAACACAGATGACTTACGAACACCAGGCGATGGCGAAGTTTGGCGAAGCGGCGGCGACACGAAGCATCGTCGCGCGTGAGTAGTCGTGCAGGAAGAGCGAGCGAGTTAGATTCCTTTGAAAGAAGCTGCTTTTTGAGCAACACACGAGGTTATTGGGACGAAAGTAGACGGTTTGAAGAAGTATGAGGTCCTTAGGTATCGGAATGGCGTTAGAAGGGGATATTATGTTTACTACTTGCCTGGAGGTGCGTGCTACGAGACGCATCGACGTCCGTGCTAAGTTTGGCAGATTTTGGGTAGCACCTGACTCCAGCAATTATCTAAGTTCCCGGTTACATTGGAATACGTATGGTGGCGAACTAAGCGGTCCATGTCATGTCAAAACCATGTCTATCTCTAGATTCAGAGGAGGCAGGTGGCAGCGTTAGGTGCGCAATCTGGAATTTAATCAGGTTACGTCGGAAACAGGCTGCAGGTGTGATTTGGAGTGTGCTGTTAGTGTCGACGACGAGACTGCTGATTTTCTATCCACGATGCGTTAGCAGCTTGGCTTGAACTTGCGGTCTAGCACTGAATTCACGTAGAATATGCCATGCCGTACGATATCAGAGCATGGCACACCGTACCGTACCCCATGCCATGACCTGTGATACCAATTCGGACATCCCGACTATGCCAGGTCATTTCATTTGATAGCATACTAGACATTCTGGCATGCTATGTCATGCCATGTCATGTGAGACATCCTGTCGTGCTATGCCATGCCATGTCATGCGGTAGCATACAGGACATTGAGACATTGTGAAAAGCCCGCACCATGCCGCATCCAAACTCAATGTGGTGGTGCATGCAGGTTCCCGGTGATATAGCCAGGCACGAAGCACACGAAGCTCAAGATGTCCCAGCAACAACTGACTCAATATCCTATGTTGCCATCCGTTTGTCATGCCCTTCATGGATGTCCGAACATTTTGTTGTGATACGCACACACATGCATGCATGCGTGCAGGTACCCGGTAATACAGCCAGACACGAAGCACACCAAGCTCAAGGTGTCTCAGGAGGGCCTCAGCGTGATCAGAAGCATCAAGAATCCCATCGCCATCGTTGCGGTATGTCTGCCTGCTTGCTTGTTTGCGAACCACCAAGCCCAAGGTGTCCCAGGAAGGTCTCGTCTCAGCGTGATCGGAAGCATCAAGAATTTGATTGCCATTGTTGCGGTATGTCTGCCTGCTTGCTTGATTGTGAACCACCACGCTGCTAATATGTCATCCGTCCTTGCCTCATCAGGGCCATTGAACGTATCGTATCCATGCCTCAATTGGTGGCGGTGCCAACCAATCCGCGTGCATCTGCTATGTTGCCATGTGTGTGTCCATGATTGATTGCATTGAGCGTGCACATACGTGTGCATGTATGTGTCCATATTTTGCATGTCGTATTTGCCATACCATCCTCTCAGGTGATTGGGCCGTACAGATCAGGCAAATCTTTTCTGCTTAACCAGTTGCTTACACTCACGTGCGATGAAGGTATGCCTGTCTGTCCCCTGTGTCACATCATGCTCCATATCTGTCAGCATTGAGGTGAGTTTTGAGGCGTCTCAAAACTCACCTCAATGCTTACACTCACGTGCGATGAAGGTATACCTGTCAGTCCCCTGTTTCACATCATGATCCATATCTGTTGAGCCATTCAATTCCAAACCATCCATCTCTCTCCCTCACAATTGCCTCCATATCTCTCTCCCCCACACGTGTCTCGCACCCCTCACTTGCACTTTCCCTTCAGGGTTCGGGGTGGGGCATGCACGCGACACCAAGACCAAGGGTGAGTGAGTAACAGGCAATCAAAGAGGGAGAAACACACTGGCGTGGCGTGGCACCTTTTCAGGCGCCTCAAAAGTCACAGGCGTGGCACGTACATGCAGCTGAGTGGCGTGTAGAGAGGGTGTTTTTGAGACGTCTCAAAAGCACCTACATGCAGCAGCTGACTGCATCTTGTGCAATTCTTCTTCCCGCATTTTAAGATTTATGAATTCTATCCATTTATTGAAGTTCTTTCACCCTTTGGGATATTTTCTTCGCCTTTTAGAAACCTTTTCACCTTTCAGTCTTTTTTTTCATATCTAAAAAAATAAATCGTTTGCTATGATGTACTTCCACAATTCTTGGCGCTGGCAGGCATATGGGTGTGGGGCGACCCCATGGAGATGCAGGTGAACGGGCAGACCACATCGGTGCTCTTTCTTGACACCGAGGGCTTTGAGAGCGTCGGCAAGTCCTCCGTCTACGATGACAGGTGCGCGTGCTGCTTGTGTTGGTGCGATGACAGACAGGTGGCCGAGCCAAGCGCCTATTGAGACGTCTCAAAAGCCAAGCGCCTGTTGTCACCTCTACTTCTGGTCCCTTTTCTTTTGTTTTCCTTTTCTGATCAAGACGAGCCCTCCTGTGACATGTACTATTCCTTAACTAGTTTCCTCAACCTTCCCAACATGCACTCAATCCCAAATTCTCCCACCACCCTCCCCTCCTCCCTCCCCCTCCGCCTTTCCAACCTTTCCCCTCTCCTTTTCTTCTCCAATCACTTCTCGTCCTCCTCCATTGGTCCCCTCTATTCCTGTCCTCTGCCTGACTAGCTTCGTTAAAAGCCATGTCAGTATGGCCCCCTTTGCATCTGTCTTCCCACTCCGCCCCCCTCTCCTCCCCCCACCACCTTTCCCCCCACATCCCCCCGCGGCCCCATGCTTGGTGAGCAGGATGTTTGCCCTCGCTACAGTGCTAAGCTCAGTTCTGATATACAACCTTGCAACCTCTGCCCCTCTCTGCCCCTCTCTGCCTCCCTCTGCCCCTCTCTGCCCTTCTCCAACCCCCTCCGCCCCCGGGCCCATGCTTGGTGTGCAGGATATTTGCCCTCGCTACAGTGTTAAGCTCAGTGCTGATATACAACCTTGCAGAAACGGTGAGTCGGTCGCAGGTTATGCTGTGTCAGACGCACGGTGTGCTGAGTCAGATACTGGCCATGGTGAGTCTAGCTGCTGGGGCATTCCCCTGTTGCGGGCATCAACCCCCACCTGCGTCCATACACCTGCGCCCATACACCTGCAGCTTTTGTGTCAGTACCTCCTGGTTTGTGTGTGTGTGTGCTTGGATGTGTGCATGTGTGCTGTGCATGTGCATGTACCTGTGCCTGCATGTATGCATGTGTGCCTGCATGTGCGAATGTGCATGCGTACAGGTGAAGGAGGCGGATATAGCCAAGCTGTCATTCGCTGTTGAACTGGCAGAAGAGTTCTATGGCAGGTGGGTGGAGGTTGGGGAGGGGGACGGGGTGGGTTGGGTGGTGGGGGAAGGGAAGGGGGGCGAGAAGGGGCATGCATACAGGTGAAGGAGGCGGATATAGCGAAGCTGTCCATTGCTGTTGAGCTAGCAGAAGAGTTCTATGGCAGGTGGGTGGGAAAGCCAGGGTGGGGGATGAGTGGGGAAAGGGTAAAGGGGGATGGGGGAGGGGAGGGACAAGCGTGCAGGGTGAGGGAGACTGGTTGAGGGGGGGTGGGTGGGGAATCTGGGTAGGTGGGGTTGTACAAGATAGTTTTTTTTTTCTGTTGGCGGGCAGGGATGAGCCCAGCCGTTTGCCCTTTCGCTCCTGTTAATAGTTCCTGAGGACAAATTCTGGTGCATGGGAGTTTTTTTCGCATTCGGATTTGGTGCATTGTGGATCACTTAGATGCCTTGGAAATGTCGGTTTCTGGAATTATTTATTGTTGATTGAAGAGTTGCGCCGCCTCTGTATTTATTTTTCTTTACTGTGTGTTTGCGTTTGTGTTTGTGTTTCTGTTTGTGCGTCTGTGCGAGTTTGTGTGTGTCTGTGTGTGTTTTTGCGTTGTGTGTGCGTGTGTGTGTGTGTGTGTGTGCGTGTGTGTGTATGTGTGTGTGTGCGTGCGTGCGTGTGTGTGTGCGTGTGTGTGCGCGTGCGTGTGTGTGGGGAGGAGTGCTGCAACCAACCAACCAACAGAGTAAAGGTGAGGTGGAAGACAGGTGGAAGGAAGGTGGAAGAAAGGGGAAGGAGCGGGTGGAGAAAGAGGGAAGGCAGGGTTAAGAAAGGGGAAGTGAAGGGGGGAGAGGAGAGCAGCCTTCTATTTGTTTCGCTGCATTGTCCTTGAAAATCCTCCTCCACCACCATCCCCCTACCCCTAGCCAACCTACTCCTCCGCTGCCTGCCCTCTTTCTTGCTTGCTATACCCAACTCTTTTCCTCACCCAACTCCCACCCCTTTCCATTACCTTCATAAGCTGATTAGGTTGCTGTTGAAAAAATAACTTTCTTCCGCTTTTTATCTTCCGCTGCTCCCCCACTCCCCATCTACCCACATTCCCCCTCTCCCTATTCTGCCCTTGTCTCCTCAACCCTTCCGCCCTCCTCTCCCCGCTCATTCTCCCTACTTTCTGGTCGCCCATCGACCTGGTGCCGTATTTTTGAGTCGACTCAAAAATCGACTCATCACACTCATTTTTTTAGTTTCTGGTCGCCCATCCACCTAGTTCTGTATTTTTTGCCTGAAACTCCTTCCCACCTTTTGTTTGTTTTGTTGGTTTTCCGTTTGATATCATAAGTAACACCTGTTTTCCTGACTGTCGTTCTTTTTCCAACCTCACTTGTGCGCGTCCCTGTGTGTCTGCAGGGTCGAGACGAGGTGTTCACACCAGCCAAGCTGCTATGGCTCATCCAAAGAGACTTTCTAGGTGCGTGCGTGTGTGCGCGAGAGGGAGGGAAGATCGGAAGGAGGGGGAGAGAGTGGGGGGGGGCGAGCGGGGGGGAGGGTTGTGATGCTGCTCGTCCCTGTGTGTCTGCAGGGTCGAGACGAGGTGTTCACATCAGCGAAGCTGTTATGGCTCATCCAACGAGACTTTCTAGGTTTGTGTGTGTGTGTGCGTGTGGGGGGGGGGGGGGAATGGGGGGATGTGGGGAAAGGGGAGGGTGTGTGTGATATGCCGCTTGTCCCTGTGTGTTTGAGTCGGCTCAAAACATACCAGCCGAGCTGTTGTGGCTCATTAAACGAGACTTTCTAAGTGCGTGTGCGTGTGCAAGTGTGCGTGGATGTGTGTGTGTGTGTGTGTGTGTGTGTGTGTGTGTGTGTGTGTGTGTGTGTGTGTGTGCGTGCACCACCTGTTCCAAACCTGCTGCTTCCATGTTACCTTACCTACTCTCCCCATATTAGCACGCATGTCTTATACTTTTTTCTTCCCCGTCCCCCTCGCCAGAGGGCAAGACGGTGCAGGAGATGGTGCGGGGGGCACTGCAGCCGGCACCAAACTCGCTGTTTTCTAATCGGCGAAACCCGCACCCCTCACTCACACCCGTTCTCCTTTTCTCACCCCACCAGAGGGTAAGACGGTGCAGGAGATGGTGCGGGGGGCACTGCAGCCGGTGCCAAACCCAGAGGGAGACAAGGACGTGGATCAAGTGAACCTCATCCGCCAGTCGCTCAACCTCATGGCCGCCAACAGCACTGCCTTCGGGCTGACCCAGGTAAACTCGCTGTACCAGCTTATGCAGTCTTTCTTCTCTCCAGTATGCCTGTGTCTGCCTCTCGGTTCAACCCAGAGGGGGACAAAGGACGTGGATCAAGTAAACCTCATCCGCCAGTCACTCAATTACATGACCGCCAACAGCACTGCGCTTGGGTTGACCCAGGTGAGCTCTCTGTACCAGCGTGTGCGTGCATGCCTTTCTTCCCTCCCCTTGCCTGCCGCACTTGGCGAGAACGCGGCTGTGTGAGCTATCAGATGACGAGCTACACCCCAAGTACGTACGTGCGCCAGCGCAACCAGTCCCTCAGTTGTTGCCATTCCTTCCCTTCACCCCCATCCCTCCTCCCCCACCCCATTCACCAGCCCCACCTTGCACGAACGCGGCTGTGCGAGCTATCAGACGACGAGCTGGACCCCAAGTACGTGCGCCAGCGCAACCAGCTGCGTGAAGTGCTGTCATTCCTTCTAACCATCCCCAACCCTTCCCCCTGTCTCCCATCAGCCGCACCTCGCGAGGACACGTCTGTGCGAGCTATCAGACGACGACCTGGACCCCAAGTACGTGCGTCAGATGCTATCAGCGCTACCAGTCCCTTAAATGCTGCCAATCCTTCCCTCTATTCTCCACCCGTTTCCCTTCCCTCCCATCAGCCGCACCTGGCAAGGACGCGGCTGTGCGAGCTGTCAGATGACGAGCTCGACCCCAAGTACGTGCGACAGCGCAACCAGCTGCGGCAGCTGGTGGCATCACTGGTGCAGCCCAAGATAGTGTCAGGGAGGCCAGTTACTGGAGAGGAGTTTGCAGACCTGCTAGAGAAGGTGAGGTTTGATTGTTTGCAGGGTGTTCTAACAGTCTCAAAACACCGTGTTACGTGGGAGGAATGTGCTGACCTGCTGGAGAAGGCAGGGTCTGAGCGCACTCAAGCGGCTGCAGCAGCTGGTGGCGTTTCCGGTGCAGCCCAAGATAGTGTCAGGGAGGCCAGTTACTGGGGAGGAGTATGCAGACCTGCTAGAGAAGGTGAGCGTGAGCCTTGCAGGCAGGGTGCATTTGAGAGGTGTTGCCACCGCTATCACAGGAGAGGAAGGCGCTGAGCTGCTGGAGAAGATGAGACTCCCATCACACACAAGCAGCTGAGGCAGCTGGTGGCGTTGCTGGTGCAGCCCAAGATAGTCTCAGGGAGGCCAGTTACTGGGGAGGAGTTTGCTGATCTCCTCGAGAAAGTGAGATGGTGAGATGGTCACCGGGGAGGAATGCGCTGATTTACAGAAGGTGGGCTTCCCAGTGCACACAACCAGCTGCGGCAGCTGGTGGCATTGCTGGTGCGGCCCAAGATTGTATCGGCGAGGTCAGTCACTGTGGAGGAGTTTGCTGACCTGCTTGAAAAGGTGAGACTTGGTGCTGTGTGCAAGGGCCACATCCCGACAGCCGACAACAAGGGCCACATCCCGACAGCCGACAACAAGGGCCACATCCCGACAGCCGACAACAAGGGCCACATCCCGACAGCCGACAACAAGGGCCACATCCCGACAGCCGACAACAAGGGCCACATCCCGACAGCCGACAACAAGGGCCACATCCCGACAGCCGACAACAAGGGCCACATCCCGACAGCCGACAACAAGGGCCACATCCCGACAGCCGACAACAAGGGCCACATCCCGACAGCCGACAACAAGGGCCACATCCCGACAGCCGACAACAAGGGCCACATCCCGACAGCCGACAACAAGGGCCACATCCCGACAGCCGACAACAAGGGCCACATCCCGACAGCCGACAACAAGGGCCACATCCCGACAGCCGACAACAAGGGCCACATCCCGACAGCCGGGTCGGTGGTAGATTCATTCAACCGGGCCGTACAAGACAAGTGCCTCGCGCTCTACCACCACGACATGTGCCGCCTTCATCCGTTCTTGTTAGCCCTGTGTTCCCCATGTGCGCACTATCCCACCCCACCTCCGATCCCCCAGACCCTGAACGCGCTGAACAACTGGCACATCCCAACAGCCGGCTCCGTGGTCGATGCATTCAACCGGGCCGTTCAAGACAAGTGCCTCGCGCTCTACCACCAGGCCATGCGCCACCTGCTCCTGCCAGCAGACGAGGCGCTGCTGCTGGCAGTTCTTGCGGCTCTCTTTCCCCCCCACTCCTGCTCACCTCCTCTCCTCGTTCTCCCGTTCCCTCCACCCCCGCCCCCTTTCCCCCTCCCCAAGACTCTAAACGCGCTCAACAAGGGGCACATTCCAACAGCGGGCTCAGTTGTCGATGCATTCAACCGCGCAGTCCAAGACAAGTGCCTCGCGCTCTACCACCAGGCCATGTGCCGCCTTCATGCCTGTTTCTCTCCCCTTTGCTTCCTACATGTCACTGTCCCTTACATTTTTTGTTCAGACTCTGAACGCACTCAACAAAGGGCACATCCCAACAGCCGGCTCCGTGGTCGATGCATTCAACCGGGCAGTGCAGGACAAGTGCCTCGCGCTCTACCACCAGGCCATGCGCCACCTGCTCCTGCCAGCAGACGAGGTGGTGCTGGTCGCGGCTCACCGCAACGCCAGTGGCGAAGCCGTGGCGGCATTTGAGAGGGAGAGGTTTGGAGGGAAGAGTGTGGAGGACGCAGTTCGACCTCTGAAGGATGAGCTGAGAGAGGTGAGGGATGGGTGTATTTTGAGGCGCCTCAAAAGGTGTATTTTGCGAGCATTGAGGTGTATTTTGAGGCGCCTCAAAATACACCTCAATGCTGGTGGAGGATGCTTTTCGGCCTCTGAAGGATGAGCTGAGAGAGGTGAGGGATGGGTGAGTGTGTGTGTACATGTGCGTGCATGCGTGTGTGCCTTTGTGTGTCTAGGCGCCTGTGCGCGCATGTGTATGTGGAGTCATGTCACCAACCAGCTTTTTGGTTGTCACTGTCTGTCCCTCCCCCTCTCTCCCTCACAGGAGCTGGTGAAGCTGAAACGGGAGAAAAGGTTTGCATTGGTCAAGGCGTGTGCGTGTCTGTGGGCGTGTGTTTGAGCCTGTGTGTGCGTACCTGCCTGTCCCTCCCCTGACCTTCCCTCCCTCCCTCACAGGAGCTGGTGAAGCTGAAGCGCGAGAACGAGTTTGCATCGGCCAAGGCATGTGAGGGCGCGCACAGGGGGTGTGAGGAGGAGTTAGACGCTCTAGCCAACATGCGCCTGCCATCAGTGGCCAAGTTCGATGCCCGCCTGGAAGCATGCAACCACACCGTGGAGCATGCCTGTCGCGGGCCCAGCAAGTCAGCCTACCGGGACCGGCTGAAGAAGGTGAGAGAGAGGAAAGCATACTTGGTTGTCAAAGCGGGACACCTTGGTGGATCCCTTGGCAGGGAATTTCCTGGTGGGGATTCAGTTGAGAAGGGGAGCTGGACCTTCTTGGCAACATGAGTCTGCCCTCAGTGGCCAAGTTTTATGCCCGCCTGAAAGCTTGCATTACAACCACACCATGGAGCATGCCTGCCGCGGGCCGAGCAAGTCGGCTTTAGGGACCGGCTGAAGAAGGTGAGAGGGGGGGGAGAGGGTGAGAAGAAGAAGCACAGTTTGAATTCTAAGTGCTGCTGGAGGGAAGTAGGTGAGTGAGGGGAGGAGCTGGATGCTCTGGCCAACTTGCGCCTGCCGTAAGTGGCCAAATTGGATGCCCGCCTGGAAGCTTGCAACCACACCGTGGAGCATGCCTGCCGTGGCCCGAGTAAATCGGCTTACAGGGACCGGCTCAAGAAGGTGAGAGGGTGGCAAACAACTTTCGACTTCAAACCCTTCGACGAGCTTTTTTCCTCCCGCCCTGCTTTTCACTAGACGTGGATTTGCGAGCGGCCCCAGTTGTTCAAAATTCAAGTTTTGAGTCGACTCAAAACTAGCCCCAGTTCTTCAAAAATCACAACCAGGGCCTTCAACTGGCCACTTCTCCTCACCACACCTTCTCCACAACTTCCCTCTTCCCATTTTCCCTTTCCCTCACACAACCACCCCCCACTCCCCCTCCCTCACCAGATGTGGACTCGCTAGTGCTCCTCCCCACACCTTGGACTCGCTAGTGCTCCCAATTCCTCAAGGAGTACAACCGGCACATCCTCAACTGCCCATTCCTCCTTGTCGCACCCTCCTCCCTACTCCCCCTTTCTCCCACCCCCCTCCCCACACTAACTAGACCTGGACTCGAGAGCGCTCCCAATTCCTCAAGGAGTACAATCAGCGCCTCTTCAACTGGCCCATCTCTCCTTGTCACACCTTCTCCACATCTCCCCTCTTCCCACAACACCCCACTCTCTCTCACCAGACCTGGACTCGAGAGCGGTCCCAGTTTCTCAAGGAGTACAACCAGCGCCTCTTCAACTGGCTGGTCATCGGCTCGCTCGTGCTCGTTGTGGTGGGGCGCTTCATGGTCAAGTGGGTGGTCGTCGAGGTGCTCGCGTGGGCGCTCTTTGTGTTCCTCGAGACCTACACGCGCATCTTCTGGTCCTTTGACTCGCTCTATCTCAACCCTGCCTGGCGCACCTTTGTCAACATCTGGGAGGCTGTTGTGTACAACCCCTTTATCGACCTCGACCTGTGAGTTCCTCTCAGGCCCTCTAAGCAATAGCAAGGCCCTTGCTAACTTGCCAGCCCTTCATTTCCCTCCCCTGTTTCTCATTGTCTGCTCCTCTCGTGCTGCATTCGCATCAGGTGGTCCGTGCCGCTGCTGTGGGTGTTGCTCATCCTCATCATCATGTGTCGCTGCTACCGCTGTCGCAAGCGACCGCACACCCCTCTCCTCCCCACACACCACGACACGTTACACACGCGTAGATCAGAGTAATGGTGGTAGTGATGGTCCGTACAGTAGCCATCATATGCTCCCAGGATTCGAAATGACTATGGATAGTATCTTGTTTGGCTGTTGCAATGAACTTGCATGGCTTGGCCCATATATTATTTCGAGAATTGAGCAAGGCTCTGCTTAGATGGCACCGGCTTTAAGTGGATTCTTCAGGTGTTGCGAACTGGTAGAAATATCTACTTCACATCTCTCGTGAGTGTGTACATAAACCGTACGCTTCTGTACATAAGCAAGAAGGGAGACTAGAGAGTAGAAAGGCAGAGACCACAAGCTGGTTCCACACACAGCCATGTACCCCTCATGCTGTTCTGGTATCTGCACATCTCCTTGCTAGTTACTGCCAAAAAACGTGGAATATTGAAAGGGCAGTGTGGAGGGCAACAATTGAAACAGAAAAAGAGGAAAAGAGGGGTAAGGCAAAGGTGGAATGGGCTGACACAGCAACTCCGACAGCACTTTGAACACCTTCATGGACGTTAGCTGTATGCACAAGAACCATTGAAGAATGATTGCTTGCAGTGGATTCAACGATCAACGTCAGCAGCAAAGCAGCCCAACGACCGTACCTTCCACTTTCCATAGTGATTGTTGTGGTGACCTTGGGTGGTGATGGTGGTGGTGGTCATAATGGTGCTGGTGGTACCCCTTGTGACTTTTGTCTCGGCTAGAAAAACATTACCTTCCACTTTCCATAGTGGTGGCCGTGGTGATGGTGGTGGCCGTAGTGGTGATGGTGGTACCCCTTGTGTTTCCCCCATCCAAAGTGACCCTTGTGCTTCCTCTTTCCAAAGAGGTGCATCGTGTGAGCTACGCCGTGCGCCAAGGCATGGCCGATGTTGTGATGGGCCACCGCGCCATCTGTCAGTGTAACACAGTTACAAGGGCGGCATGAGGCTGGTTAAAGAACATATACGCATGTAATAAAGAACAGGCATATACCGCAAAAACGATTTCGTGCAAGAGATGCGTGAAAACGGGAGGGAATGATCTAGGCGAACAGCATTTGAAAAGTGACCTAACAAAATAAGAGGTCACGCAGCATAGAATGTAAGATCTCGTCATCTCACGGTGGTAGTGCGGGGGTGGCGGGTGGTGGTAGTGCGGGGGTGGAGGGTGGTGGTAGCCTGCCGGCGGCGGCGGGTAGTAGCCTGGTGGAGGCGGATAACCGGCAGGAGGCGGCGGGTAGCCGGCAGGAGGTGGTGGATAGCCGGGCGCGGGAGGGTAGGGTGCCGGTGGGTAGCCGGCTGGTGGTGGATAACCGTAAGGGTACCTTGGATCTGGACGTTAGGGAGCGAGAGACATTAGAAAGACAGCCACGAATGTTCCGTGACGCGTCAGTGTTGTGAGAAATAAGTCATGATAGCGATATCTCATCGTAGGTTGCTGGCGGAAGTAGAAGAATGTGGAGGTAAACAGGCGCATACGAATCACTACAACTTACCGTGAGACATGACGACAGTGCGCGACGCACTTCGAAAAATAAGGACTTATTCAATGCGGCGTTGCTATTGCAAGCGGGCCGCAAAAGCCTGGCGAAGTCGCCTTCACTGCTGCCCGTCTAGTCCTGACGAATCCAAGGAATTCCTGACTGACAACGCTGCCGTGTGATATTTGTTCTGACCCTCTGGACTTCGATCTTCGAGGTTGGAAAGCCTTTCAATTTCGCTGGGCCCCCGCTGTTACCAGCCCGACGAATCAACAGTTTCTCGCTAATGCTCGCCACACCGCCAAACTGACATGGAGATACCTGAGCTAGCGAAAATTGGGTCGCGACTCGCGAGGGTGATACCGCAAGGAAAGCGAGTCGGGTAACCAAGGATTAGCTCTGGTCCGCCTTCGTTTACGTTCAGAATCCTACTCAACCGTTCTAAGTTGCCAAACAAATTGCATTAGAACGCACGGAACCGCAATCAGACGTACATATGAAATGGGTCCCGCCAAAGCCGAAGCAGCAATGAGGTAACCAGGCCTAAACCTACTAGAGAGTTGTGCAATACATCTGCGCACATTCAGTGAATCGAGTACATATATCAGTAGTGTTAGTAGGTCATCAACCTAGGGTAATGTTAGTAGATTGGTCTAGTCTCGGCTGCACGGTTGGCAGGCGACCGCATGTCCGACCCGCCAGTCCACCACTTGGCAGGCGCGCGAGCAGTAGCGAGCCTCCTCGCACGCAGCACAGCAGCGAAACTCTCCTTTTCGCATCTCAACCCTTCCACACCGCGCGTTACCGCACACATGCCTCCCACTCTCCTGAAATCGCTGTCCATGCAATGCCATCCATTCAACGAGAAATTGATTTGCAGGCGGAATCGGAGGAGGCTCCAACCGGACGCTTTTCCCTTCGCTCGTGCAGCAGCCGAAGATTCCGCCATCCGCCAAGACGGCTCGAGCTAGCAGCCTCTCCTCGTCAGCAATTTCCAGCGCCTCGTGCTTCTCTCCTTGCGTTACAGTCACACGCCTTGCAGTCGCAAAGCCAGCTCTTGACAGCAAGCGAGTGGTATGCTGAAGTAAGGTTTCCATGGCTGCTGCATCTGTTCCGAGTGAAAAGTTCGCGGCTCGGCGCTTAGCGCTTCCTAAAAGGTTAGAACTTTCGAGCGTTCTTGCTGCTTCTGCTTCTCCACAATCCGAGCACCTAACGCCAACTCCGTCTTGAGTACTGCTCTCTAGTATAGTTCGCTCCTGTTTCTTTCTCGCATTTACAGGCTGTCTATTCACGTTTTCGACTTCTGAACCAGAGGCCCCACCCATTGCTGCTGCCAATGTATCCCCGCTATTAGCCAGCTCCCGCAGGTTCGCCTCCACCAGAAGCAGCCTCCCCTGGGCGACGCTCCGCTTGATTCCAAACCCATCCTGCACACACAGCCCTAATTCCCGCAGCGCATCCGGATGACCCGCCTTAGCCGCCGCCACACACAGCAGCATCCCCATCCCGACCTTCCGGTTCCTGCGCAGCTTCCACCTTCCTTCGTCCCCCTCCGCTACGCCACCTCCCTCCGCTGCACCACTTCCATCCGCTCCGCTTGTAGGCAATCCGCTACCGTTGAAATGGATGATTGACAAGCTGTGTAACGCGGCTGCGTGGCCCGCCTTTGCCGCTTGCACAAGCCGCTTCATGCCGCTGGCCACCCTCTCCAAGCAGTAAAACTCAACCATACCAAGAAAAAATGCTGCCTCCGCGTTTCCCGCCGCTGCGCATGCCGATAGAAACGAGCGATAGGCGAGCGTGTAGTTTTTCGCCGGGCAAGCGAGGGCAGGAGATGGTAACATGGCGAGAATTTCCGGGAGGAGAGAGATGTGGCGAAGGTGGGTCGACGCGAGGCGACAGGAGAGGAAGTCTTGAGGGGTTGAGGCGCGTGCGGCGAAGATTGAGAGAATGGTCGTGAGCAGTTCATCCTGATCGGGGAAAGAAGCAAAGGGACAGATGTTGGTAGAAGGGGGTGAGCATGAAGGAATGCAGCGATATTGACATTTGCTTGGAAGAAAGAATCAAGACACGTCTAGAAAAAAGAGCGCTGGACGAGACGAAAGCAGTGAAAAGGGTCTCCAGTGAAACGTACTGGAAGGCTGTCGAATGAAGGAGGAATGGGTGCAGGAGAAGTGGTTTTTTCAGTTCGCGCTCGCTTCATCGTTGCCAAATCCTCAAGATGAACGAGTGACACTCGTTTGCAGCCCATGGTGAGTGGTTCGCCGTGAGCCTGTTCTGTGTGCAGCGATAAAACGGAGATAGGCCTATGCGGAATAATTGCAGGCCTCAATCGAGCCCGAATGGTAGTTGTATATTGGGTTTGGTTGAGGATAGACTTTGTGAAATGGTTGACCTCCAACTCAGAACGTCAATTTCGGTGCTTGATTGCAAAATGTCAAAACAAAGCGGACCCCGTTCCTATGTTTCGCCCCGTTTTGTCTCACTACAGGGGTCGGAAGGGAGAGGGATGGACGAAACGCACAGCGCCATGGGGGAGGCCGGGATACGGTGCGGCGAATCAGAGCAAGCTGCTGCTGTCACTAACGGAACGCGCAGAGCAAACACGCGAATTGGGGCAGCGAACAAGCTGTAAGCCTCATTGGTCGCAGAATTCGGTTAGGTCGTGGAACGCGATTTGAGGAAGTTTTTTTATGCCCAAAATTCGGAGGGAAGGCCCGTGAGTGGCTGGAGATTCTTGGAACGCGAATAACTCGAGGCCTGACGGACATCTGCATCCAGTTTGACGAGCCCGCAAAACGAATGTTGATGCGTGGGTTCGGTTACCCCCCAAAGTCGCGGGGCCCTGTAAACGCGAGCCAGAAGGAAACGGAACTGTGGTAGGCGTTCGGGGCAACAACTTGAGTGCGGCTAGCGTGGAGCCAGTTCGGTGTGGTACTAGTCTGACCTGTGCAGAGGGCGGGCAGTCTCCCGAATTCCACAACCTCCTCAAGATGAGGTGGCTTGTCCAATCAAGTCCAACATTTGACGTGTTCAAGCAGCCTGTGACCCGTCACAGAGCAGCGACCCAAACACCCAATAAAATCTGTCACCGTTAGGAGAACTTAGAACACTGGAGATTCGACAATCTAAGTTATTTCATGTTTAAAGTGTTACCTGGCAGGGCAGACTAGTGTGCAAGGTCTTGTGCACCAAGAACGGGCACCCAGTAGAGCAATGAGTGTAAATTATGTTCACTACATTATGCACCATGGATCCACTAACCTTTCGCAACTTCTGGTTGTCAACAAAATTCAACACTACATACTACTCTTCGATGGCGCGCAAACTTCCGAAGCGATTCCCTGCTCTGACATTCACTACCAGCGGAACATCCAAGCATGCAACCTTCTCCATCATCTGCTTGACCACCTTGGAGACTTTGAATACATCCCTTTCCGGGACTTCTAGCACTAGCTCGTCATGAACCTGAGGGATACATAGATTAAGAATGAATCACCGACTATGCAAACAGGCAGCAAAACCTACTTACCTGCATCACGATTTGTATATCTATGTTGTTTCCCTGTACAAGCTTGCTGGCATCCAGCATAGCCAACTTCATCAAGTCTCTGCCCAACAACAGTACAAGAAGTCCAGGGTAAGGGGGCGTGGTCAAGCATGATGTGCAAACGAGTGTGATACGTAGAAGAAACATGGTTCTTACGCTGCAGAGCCTTGTATGATAGTATTCACTGCCTGCCTTTCAGCTTGAGCCCTCCTCTCTGGATTCCGCTCATGTATGTCTGAAACAGACCCACAGTAAAGGAGTAAATCTGACATGGTTGCAAAAGAACAGCAAACCATGAATTACCTGGAAGTAGCCTACGGTGGCCCCACATAGTTGTGACATATCCATCTCGCCTGGCTCTGCTGATAGTTTGATTGATAAAAGCCCTCATACTTGGGAAGTGATCTAGAAAGCTTTGCAAAAGTTGTTGAGCCTTATCAACATCCACACCCAAAATGGAGGCCATGGCTTGTTTTCCTTGCCCATAAAGAATACCATCTGCGGCATTGGTTGAGCATTTTCAACATTACCAGGGGTAGAGGGGGGGGTGAGAGGAAAGCAAAATAAAAACAAAGAAACAATGAACAGCCTCACTCACAGCACAATCTCTTCACCAGTTGCCGCTCCTGATCATTTACTGCATCTGCAGACTTTCCAAGATACGCTGCTCCAATGAGTCTGAAAACATCACTCTGTTGTCCAGCTTTAAAAACACTAACCTGCACAAGAAACGGATCCCTATCTATCTAACTGGAGCAGGAGAAAAAATGACTGTCGGAAGATGCAAAGAGTGAGTGAAAGAAGGGAGAACCATACCAAAGCCTCATCAGCAGATAAGTGAGCAAAGATTCGAAGCTCTATTTGCGAATAATCAGCAGAAACCAGGACCTTCCTGCATGCCAAGCAGACAATGCTTCAAGACCGAAAATGTGTACTCTCTCACTCTAAAGAATCACGAAAGTAATAGGCGTAATGACGAACAACGAGTAGAGAAGGGACAAGGTGAGGAAATATGCAGCCGGGGCATGAAGAGTAAATGTGCAACCGACCCCGGTGCAGACATAAGGGCATCACGAATGGCGATAGCAACTGTTGAAGTGTTTGTTGCTGCAGATGTTCCTTCTAACGCGTATGTAGGAAGGTTCTGTCCAAACAACAGTGTTAATTCATCAAAGGCAATTGAAACTATGATGCTGGTTATGTGTTAATCAAACCTGCAAGTTAGGGCTGGAAGATGACAATCGTCCTGTTGCCGTGTTTGCAGCATTCCACTCCGAGTGAATCCTAGCAGACCCATCCTGAACACATTGGGAAACTGAGCAACCTGCTCAACCTGCATCGCATGCAAAAGTCAAGGGAATACCGTTTCTCTGCAGGAACTTGATAGAAGACCATCAATCCACGTCGACTTGACCTTCAGAAGTTGCCTGAACTGGAATCCACAAACGTTAGGCGGAATTGCCCTGAGCTCTTTAGCGATGTTGCTTTTTTTAGTGTAAAAGGAACTCACCTCTAAAACGATGGTTGGGAACTGATGAAGTGAAGCAAGTTGACTTAGTGTTGCCTCATTTGTAGTTGAGTGGGTCTGTGCCTCTCGCTTCTTGGCCATACCCACACTCTTAGCTGCTCCTACTGGCAGCTTCAGATCCTGCAGTCCCCATGAGCTGAAGTTTTGTCCAGAACACTATATTTCAACTGTACCAGAATGCACCTCATACCTCATACAAGGCTTGAGCCACTTGCTTTGGACTAGCCAAGTTGATCCGACGACCAACCAACTTTTCACCAATCGATGTAAGATGCTCCATCCGTTTCTGTAGCAAACACAATATATGCATGCATAAGAGGTCACAAACGATGTAAAATCTCAAGTTTATGTGTCACACCTCCAAATAGTCCCGTTTCGACATTAGTAAGTCCATCTGCGTGGAAACGACTCCATGTTAGGCTACAGATGTAAAAAGACGTCCTGGAGTCTTGAATATAAGAAGTCACGCGCTTACGTCTACCCGAACGCCAGCAATCTCCATTTGCGCGAGAACAGGAAGAAGTCGCATGTTGACCCTGCAGTACCCAAGGGTTTGATAACAGGGTAAGGACAAGGGTAATCAAATGATTTGCCTAGTCATACCTGAATGCATCACGAAGTGGTCCATCTGCCCTTGCGACCAAGGCCGCATGAACATCATTGCAAAGGTTGAGGCTGGTGTGAACACAGCGAAGATGAGCACTTCCTCTAGAATTTGTTTCCACGACATCGTTCCCCTTGGTCTCTTCTTTTGCCTTTCCAATCAACTTCTCCAGATTTTCGCCTAGTTGCCTGAATAGCAAAGAACAAAAATGTTGAGTTTTAAAGACAAAGTCTAACAGAAAGAAGGGGGTTGGAATTCGCTGGAAAGCTTACCACGCAAGAATCTTCTCAAGCAATTCGATGCCAGACAAATATGCAACAGATGTTAGTGGCCCGTAAGAGCGTAGTCAGAATCATTGTACAGGAGTTTTACTCACTTTGGGGTCAATAAACATGTCATACAGATCCATCACTGCAGAAAAAAAGAAGACATATTCATGTGCCACCTATGTATATGCAACAAAGAGTGTGTTTGGTGTAGAATGACGAGCTCACCTGGAACTTTCCACTGCAAAAGGGATCTGACGAACCTTTGTGAGTCACAACAGATAATAGCATCTGCAGAAACTATAGCTGCCCGAATTGCTTCTCTGAGATCATATGTGCTCTTGTCAGTTCGTGCAGCAACGACAATCTCAGCCTTCAATCGACAAGTTACCTGAACTCCTCATGAGATGCGCTGGTGGTGGGTAGAACATCAACATTTACTCCTGGTAATAGAATGACTCTCAACTTAGGCTGACCAATCTGACGAACTACAACTCCAATAATGCTGAGGTCTTCAATTGAGGAAAGGTACATGCCATTTGCTGCCCAATCTCGTTTCTGCACAGCCACTCTGGATGTGAGGGGTGTGATTTAGGTGAGCAAGAAATATGTGCTCATGTGAACGCACCTTGGAAGGAAGTTGCAAATCAAGCGAGACATAAAGCTGACTCCGCTCATCATCAAAGAACAGCAGGGAGACAACAAGAGGTGCTGTGCTATTCAAACTTCTCCACTCGCCACAAGAGACGCTTCTGCGTGCTCCCAGGTCTGCATTCACGCAGCCACCACACTCCAAAGGCTTTGCTGGCAGGTCATTGAACAATATTTCTGTGATGTTCTTCTTTGGCGATGAAGAAGGCGGTGCTTCCCACTCATTAGGCACTGAACTCCATTTATGAACTGTAGTAAAATCGGGCTCCGATCCGCACTGTTGTGGGATGCATGCTTGCCCTGACCCAACCTTTTCAATATCTGGAGAAATAATTGCGTTCACTTTAGCAGGGACGTAAGGCGGTGGTGAACCCGAATTTTCAGCACCAGAGAGCAGCTCAGAGGAGCTCAACGGTAAGTTAGAAAAGATCCCTTCCAATTCCCGCACGCCGTCAGTAGGATTTGTGCACAGGGAATGACCATGATCAAGTCTGTCAATCCTCGACGATGTCTTCATAACAGGGAGTGCCTCAGAGGCACTCTCTTCAAAAGCCGAGAGGCCGCTCTCGTCAATCAGGGATGCAGCTTCTGCACATCTCGCTTCCAAAAGATGGTGTCTGCTTCTTCTGACATCGCCATCCAAGAACGGCGAGCTCGAACTTCCACAACCCGGAAAGTAAGGTGGCGACGGAACAGGTTCATTAGCTCGAGAGAGCAACTCGAACGAACTTGGAAGCAAGTCTGAAGTGTACTTTATATCCACCTCCCATGCAGCTTCAGTGGCGGTGGTGCGTAAGCTTGAGAAACCAACTTGTTTGGTTGGCACCGGCGCTGGCTTAACAACAAAGAAACTCTCGCACAAGTTACGCTCATTAGAATCTGATGCAACGTCTGGTATTTTCGTTTCCAGAAACTTTTGACAAGAGCTTCCGACGCCGCCATGCAAGGACGCGTTCAGGCTTCCACGACGGGAACCCTGAAATGAGAAAATGATACGTTACCGCATGAGTGTAGCAGAACATCTTGTGAAAATGCTCACGGTATACTACCTTTCGTTGCGACTGTTTCATGAAAGCCATAACTTCCTGCTCATAAAAATGGCTGGCAATGTCAGGTCCTGTAACTCTGTAAAAATACAGCCACCGAAATGACAAGACAGACCTCAACTGACGGCGGTTTTCTTGAGGGTTTCAACAGATACATGACGATCAAACACACTGCCAACGACAGGAGCAAGTAGGAAAAGCTAGCCGTGTCTCACTACTTGAGAAGACATGTGTATCTCCGTAGCTTCAATGTGCTTGGCTGCTGTGGCAGAACAGCACCAATGAAGAACCTCGACGCAAGTCTGCCTTGGGAGTTCACTATGGTCGAAATGGGCAGTGAATTCAAACACGAAAGATTACTCTCTAAATCCAGCAATTGAGAGATTGAGAAGACCCAAATCTTGGAATTCATGAACTTGGACTGGGTTTGGTCAACCTTTTACTCCAAACCTTCGATCAAACTTGACAGAGGAAAAACATTTTGGACGAGGTGGTGGGGAAACCTCTCACGAACTGCAAACCAGTCGCTCCCAGACATTTGTGAGTGTAAAACTCTGCACATAACACTGCTGGGCTACTTCTAGTCTGAGGACATTTTTACCAGCTGATATCATCCAATTTCCGTGTTTTTCCTAGTGATGGGAGTAATGGCGGCGATTGCTTCTCTTCAGCCCTCTGCTACGGTGCCTAGTACCCCACCCGATTCAGCGGTTTCGAAATCATGCGACGTTTCTGAGTTAGTCGAGGTTCAGGAGCTTCGCGGGCATGACGATCGCGTGTGGAGCGTCTCATGGTCGCCAGACGGAGCGCTACTGGCCTCCTGTAGCGGCGACCGTTGTGTCCGTATTTGGGGTCGAGAAGCCGGAACGTCATCTTCTTTCATCTGCAAGGTTGTAAAAATCCCGAAACCGAGTCTTTACTATCTCTTTTTTCGAAATTCGCCCCAGCATCCATCCCGCGACTTTAGCAGCTGTTTATCTCTCTCAGTACCGATTCGTGATCGATTTTTTTTAAACAGGCAATTCTGGAAGACACGCATTCCAGAACAATTAGATCCTGCGAGTGGTCGCCAGGCGGAAGGTTCCTCGCAACAGCCAGCTTTGACAACACGGTGGCTGTTTGGGAAAGGACCGGGTCCAACGATGCCGACTTTGAGTGTCTCGCTGTACTCGAGGTCAGCTCATTATCCTTCTTCTCTTTCCTGCATGTGCATGTTCAGAATTCCTGAACTTAAAGGGACTCCCATTGCTATCCGAATGCTGAAAGACATCCGGATACGCCACATACACTATCCTCTTTCTTTTCACTAATTGTAGCGCAAATTCTTACCTATCCACGCGTTCTTGGATTTAACCCCCTCTCCCGCTCAACTTGCCCTCTCATTTCCCTTGAGCGCGGTCAATCAATCCGCGTTATACACCTCTGACAGTCTTCACCAGCCCCTTCCCCCATTCTAGCTTCCAATCTCCACCCTTCCTCGCACCCCCGCCTTCCCCCCGACCCACCCATGATTAAAGGGCCACGAGAGCGAGGTGAAGTCCGTGGCATGGAACGCCACCAGCTCCCTGCTAGCCACCTGCAGCCGGGATAAGAGCGTGTGGATCTGGGAGGTGCCAGGTGGCAGCAGCGGAGTGGCTGGACGGATCGGTGTGGGCCCGGCGTCTGACTTTGACTGTGTGGCGGTGCTGCATGGGCACACACAGGACGTGAAGATGGTGCGCTGGCACCCCACGCATGACTGGCTCGTGTCTGCCAGCTATGACGACAGCATAAAGGTGAAGGGAGGTTGCACCTATTCTTACTGTGAATTTGCTGAAGAAAGTGCTTGGTGCTGGGTGGTATTTACGTCTTCCTTGCGGTTGTTGACATTTGAGCTTTGCGCGTTGTTCCATGCGCTCGTTGCTCGTTTCTGATCCAATGCTTGTGGCAGGTGTGGGCTGCAGAGGTGGAGGGCGAAGACGATTGGTCGTGCGTGCAGACCCTTGATGCTGCAAATGGGTGAGTGTAGAATCAGTATGCCAGTGTCGGCAGCTACATCAGCAATGACTACATATTGGGGGATGGAAAAGTTAGTTCTTGATTCGCTCGAGATCATCTTTTCACAAACATCACCTTCCTGTCATTTTCTCTGTGTCCAGGGCAGGGCATTCGTCCACAGTCTGGGCTATTTCCTTTGATGCTACAGGACACTACATGGCATCCTGCAGGTACCCAGCTTTGCCATACTCTCCTTGCCATACCCAGTTTTTTCCGTCCACCCTCGTCCATCCTTGTTTCCCATCCCATGCGCTACCTGCCCTGAGTTCATTCCCATGCGTTCCTTGCCCTTATTTTTTCCCTGTACACCCTCGCTTGCCCATTGCTCTGCCTTTCAAGCATGACTTCCCATCACTCTCCCTTCAACCCTCTCCTGCGTATTTCTGTGTTCGGGTCCCGTCTTACCACCCCGCAGTGATGATCTGACCGTCAAAATCTGGGATACAGGCCGGGAGCCATCGGATGTGAGGACCTCAGAAGGGAGTTCAGGGAGCAAGCCTTCAGCAAGGGGATGGTATGGTTGGACGCACAACCTAAAAGCGCATCTATGCAGACAAACTTTGCCACTTGATGGTTTTTATGGCATCTGGCATCATGGCATTGGCCTACCAGCGCAAACAAAAAAACCTTTTTCGTTGTTTTTTTTTTCCTTTTATTTCCTTTTTCTTTCACCCGTCATCCCTAGACCCTGACTCGAACAATCATGTGCATGTATTTATTGGGTTGACAGGTCGCATGTGTGCACACTTTCGGGCTTCCATGACCGCACCATCTTCCACGTTGACTGGTCGATGTAAGCCGCTTACGTCTGACACTTGCACTCCCATTCGCACTGACCGTTCACACAGTACTGCTGGAGAGGGGCTTGGCTGAAATCACCATATCAGAATGATGCAAGCATGTTTAATCCTTGGCACGAAAAGTGATACGCATGGGCATGTGCATGCATATTTCAACTCTTGCAGCTGTGTGGTGTACCTGTTCCTGTTCACCCTCATTGATTTTGCAGGGCTCATGGGTTGATTGCCACAGCAGCAGGAGATGACTGCATACGAGTCTTCTCTTTCTCCGGTCTCCCGCGTTCAGAACCCGATGGTGACAGAACCAGCTTCGATGCTGCTGATAGAGAGGGGAATGGCGAGGAGGCGGAGGTGGGAGGGGTGGCAGGGGTGATAGGGATTGGAGAGGAGGCGGGAAGCAGGGCCCAACTGTTGATTCGAAAGGCGCATGCACATGGCACAGATGTGAACTGCGTGAGATGGAACCCCAAGGTGAATTACCCGTTCCAGCTTGTAGTACTTTCGCCCAGCCCACTTCTTTTGTCCACTGCTTTTCCAGTCAACTCCATACGCCTGACACATGCAATACGTACAAGAATACTTCTGTTCTTGCTTCCACTTGCGAATCAACTTACAATCACCCCTCCCCCACATTTTCCTCCCTGTGTGGCAGAATCCCCGGCTGCTGGCATCAGCGGGAGATGATGAGATGGTGAAGATCTGGGAGCTTCAAGGGCTGGCAGGCAGTGGGTAGATGGGGCGCGATGCAGTGTAGTGAGGTGATTGTTTTTGTTCTTATAAAAAGACCCTCATGAGGGCAAATGCGAAATTATATCCCTGGTGGAGCAGGGTATTAGCATATAGATACTAGTAAAGCTAACAGCGCAGAGTATGGCAAAGCAGGGCACATACTAAGGCTGGGGAAGGATGCTTATAGATTGCCCTAAGCTGAGCGCTAGCAGGAAAGCAAGTGATGCAGTTGACGGCGCTGCTGAGTCCGAAATGTTCCATAGATGCTCAATAACGAGGATGCAGTGTCTAGTAGCTCCCCGTTGTCACAATCTTCATAGCCGGACCATGTGCTGATAAGCTCGTTGCAGCTGCCGCGGATATCAGTCGGTTGCCTCCTTGGAGTAAACTTCTCAGGCTCTCCAGCATTGCTGTGCCAGCAGCACTGCCGCTCTTCCCTCTCTCCCCTGTCCTCCCACTCCTGCCTCTCCTCCCGCTCCTCCAACTCCTGTCTCTCCTGCCGGGTCTTCATTTCCTGCCCTGTGCTATGAGAGCTCGCTGACAGGCAATGCAGCACACATGCCTCACTGAAACCAGCAGAGACACTGCCACCAGTGCAATCCGTTTCCCATGTACCGGCATCAGCATGAACCTCAGAATCTCTCTGCTGCTGGTGCGACTGTTGCTGAAGCTGAAGCTGCTGTGGCTGCAGCTGCACGTTCAAAAGCGCCATCCTGCCCTCGGCTAAAGCTTCTGGGCTCATGCACTCCTCCTGCCAAGATGGCGAGATGGAGTTTAAGAGGGACGTGAACGACGGAAAGGTGCACCGCCCTGTGGGCTGAGCGAAGGCCACGGGGAAGACAGCTGTGTTGACATAAAACGCCTCTCGCTGCTCTAGTTGTAGCAGCACTGCTGGCCCGTTATGGGCTTGACCTTGGTCTGCGTTTCCAGGCAGACTCGGGCCTGCTGTGTCATAATGAATGCTTGTAGGAAGAACAGGCCCCTTGGTTTCAGCTTCAGGGGCAACGCTAGAGGGGACGATGGCACATTGTTGGAACACTGAGACGTTATCGGGGACCTCAGCTCCCTCTCGGTTCTCAATGTGAAAGAGAGGTCCCATGCCTGTGCGAGGAGAAGGGGAATCCTGGGACCCAGATCCAGGGGCAACACTGGAGGAAAAGACAGCAAATTGCTGGGGCATTGAGGCATTATCATGGGCCTTTATCTGGGGTGCTCCAACTGGGATTGCAGTGGCAAAGCAAGTCTGCTGCATGCGTGTGTGGTTGGGAGAGGAGCTTTTGGTTCCAGCTCTAGGGGCAAAGTTGGTGGGGAAGACAGCAGCGGATAGGCATTGAATGGCAGGCTGCCACGTGGCACAGGCTGTCTCGCCATGGTGACTCGCTCCACCGTTCGACCACGCATGCTGGCTTGGAGTGTTCAGGAGCGTGCTGGGAGAAGAGACGTCACTTGTAGCTGGAACTACCTCAGTTACACGGCCAGTGTTGTTCACTGGTGCATTGTCAGCCACGTGGCAGCTGCATTGACCTCCCAGAGAAGAACCAGCATCCTCAGCAGCCGACACCGCAGCAGCAGCAGCAGCAGCTGATGTGCTAGAGCTAGCAGAAAGCGAAGTCAAGGCAGCGTTAGTGCTGGCAATTGTACCAGCTGTGGCAGCAGCACCAGAATTGTTCGCAGCAGGAGCGGCAGCAGCAACAGCATCAAAATCGGCGGTGGCAGCAGCAGCTATAGGAACTGCAGGAGCACCAGCATCGGTGGCGGTAGCAGCGGCGGTGTCAGCGGCAGCCATAGGAGCAGCACCAGCAGCAGTCGTGGCAGCGGTTGCGGTAGCAGCGGCAGCAGTAGGAGCAGAGGGAGCAACAGCAGCAGCATTGAAGTCCGGCAATCCACTCCAACCCCAGCCGCGTCCCTTCTTACCCACTCCATGCCACAGCATGCTAGCGGGCCGTTTCCGCAGCACCCCAGTCCTCAGCATGCCATGCCATGCGAGCCACGCCGTGTGCTGCCTATGGCGCTCAATCCACGCAATGTGGGAGCCGGGCGAGTCCCCTGATGGTGTGACGTGGAGCTCTCTCATGGGATTTACTCTCACTGGGACGCCTCCCATTGGAGTCCCTCTCACTGGAGTCCCTCCCATGGCCGTTGGGGTTTGCTGGAGCGCAATGCACGTCTTCATGCGCCCGCTGTGGGAGGCAAGCAGGTCCGCAGATCGTGTATCATGGGGCTCTCGCACTGAAGTCTGTCTGACTGGAGTCCCTCCCGCGGCCACTGGACCTTCCTGGAGCGTAATGCAGGCCTTGATGCGGCTGCTGTGGGAGGCAGGCGGGTCAGCAGATCGTGTGTCATGGGGTTCTGTACCACGTGGAGTTCCTGGGACGCGGCCCATTCGAGATTCCTGGAGCGGAATGCAGGTTCTCATGCGGCTGCTGCGGGACTTATCGGCAACCATGGACGAGCCTGGCTAGAATGGTGGTCTGAAATGCGGTCGGTTGAGAGCTGAAAGCTGTCCTGTTGGCAAACACAGCCGCCCAGCCTGCGTGCAGTGCTGTCAGTGCTGCGCTGGTGGTATGGGTGCTGGTGTGAACAGTTCGCTGGTTGACACACTCAGCCAGTGCGAGTGCAGGGCTGTCAGTGCTGCTGCGCGAGTGGTATGTGTGCAGGTGTGATAGTCCTGATGCTCAGATGGGATGAGAGAGCCCTTGGCTTCACCATCAACACACGAAGACCCTCCAGAGCTGCGCTAGCGGTACGTGTGGAGGTATGCTGAGGCTTGAAGAAGAAAAGCTTCGAAGGTGTGCTGGTACGGACTGAGAGAGGAAAGAAGCGCAGCAGACAGCCAGAGCAGCAGCCTCAATACCACCGGCAACAGAAGTAGGCAGTTCCAGCGGCAGCACCAGCGGGAGCACAGCGAATTGGCAGCAGCAGCAGCAGCAGATGTTCGCTCCGCAGCAAGCCTCTGTCCAGAAATGAAGCTGTTGGTACATCCTGGAGTAAGGGAGCGGCCAATAATAAGAGGCGACGAAGGGAACCCTTCCAAGCCAGGGGTACCGCCACCCCCAAGCTCGTGCCACGAGAAGTAAAGGTAGAGGAACCCTTCCAAGCCTGTATGGTGGAGTACCCCTCTCCACTCCGCTCCACTCCACTCCATAGGCCATCCTTGTCACATTCCTGCCGCCTTCGCCTTGCTACAGCTCATCAAAATTCACCTGGAAGGCCAAGCTCGTCTAGGAATCCGGCCACACGGGGGAAAAAAAAAAAAAAAATCCGCGGGTGCACCTTACAACATATCCTCAAGAAACGTAAGACTCGTTTATGCGAACAGGAGAGTGTTTTCTGCAAAAGAAACGCACGTCTCCGCGCGCGACTGTCCCCCCCTCCCCCCCTCTGCCCTCCCCTCCCCTCTCCTCACCCCCTTCCTCCCGCCGCCCCACTTGTTCATGCGTCATGGACAAGTGGAGCTAGGTCTGGTCTGGACCTGAGAAGCTCACACCACAGCTAGTAAGCTGAGCAGGGAGCAAGCCTATTGTGTCCAGTCCAACCGTATGCAACTTGGCTTCATGAAGGCTTTGTAAGAGTTTGAGGCAAACGCAGCTACACCTGATGCTCATTAGCCGCACGCAGCCGTTGCCTTATCAAAGGGTGTGAAACGAGCACGTGCTTTTCGCCTACTCGCCAAAATCCGTCACGGAAAAAAATGGGACTGGGTCTGTTGGTAACATCTCAGGAAGGGCTGAGTGATTAACGGCTGCGATCAAAAAAAGGGCTTTGTACCCTGGGTGCAACTGGCCGTGCTGAATTGCAAATGGGAGAAAGGAAAGTGAATGGGCAGAGCGAATTCGCGTGCATTACCCGAGCATCAGCTGTACCTTAGTAGTTGCTGTCTTGGGAGAGTCCTCCGATTCGTCCGCCCTCCACGAGTGGCACTCGACAACTCGTCCGTCGTCCCATCGTCCGTATTCAGTCTCCAGTCGTCAGTATTTCAGCCGTCAAAGCAACGAAGCTTCTAGAGGCGCGTCACCCCCCACAAGTTGAAGTCTAGTTCTGTCTTTTTCCTCTCCAACAGACAGACTTTGACAGGGCATGACCGGGCTGGCTCCCTCCTCCGACTGCTACCAACTAGTTGCTGAGACAGACGGAGGAGGAAGGAGAAAGACCAACACCCAGCTACATCTTCGTCGAGATGATGTTCTGCCCGACTCGGGCAGAACCGAGTTCCGGGTGGCTGGAATGGGAATCTTTAAAACTACTGTATTGTCAAATGCCTGAGAGGAGCTTCTCGAAAGCCATGGATTGATTCGGATCGGTGTGTATTGATGATCTTGATTCTCCGCAAGAAATGGTAGCACGTCCGTTCGGTCCAAGCAGTTACTACACTACTACTGCTGGCATGACGTTAGGTCGGGTTTTGTAACTCTGCACCGCACGAGACGGGGCCCACTGCTGCCGCTTCCGATTGGCTGTCACGCACAGACTGCTGGGACTAAGGCCGGTGATTGGACGGGCAGAAACAGCGCAGAACGCCGCTGCCACGCACTGGAATCATCCCTTGCGATTATTGGGTTTCGGCTGCTGATGTTCCGGGATTTCCTAATCTGCCACGTGTGCAGTGCAAAAAGTAACGACTCGATGTGTTTGACACGTCGGAAGGCGCCGCCAGTATACGACAATACTGGGAGAGACACGACAGGCTGAACCTGTGGTTCGTGCTGTCGCATGGACACGAACTCGGCTCAGTCTAAAAACGATAATTCTACTTGGTCCAAACCACAACTAGCCCCCTATACTAATCCACAACTCGCGCGCTAGGTCGCTAGTATAACACAGCGAGCAGCTGTCGGAAATCTCCTCTCAGAGAGTCACGTGGTTTGGCTGGAAGGTCGTTTGGGTTGTATACTGTACCCGTGAACCATCCAATGGCTGGAAGCCGTGTGCCGCGTTGCGTGCAACATGCGGTCCATGCGCTGTGTCAAGGGTGTCAGCTCCGTTAGGCAGCAACACCAGCCTGCTAAGAAGAGAGGATGATTACTAGGCTTGAGACGAAACAGTGATGAGACGAAAGAGATGAGCAGTGCAACAATGGATCTGGTTGGACGAGTGAACGAACACATTAAGGTGAAGGAAGAACAGAATGCGGCAAAACACCTGCTGTACACCTCTGCTCCAAAAACTGAGGTGAAGTATTTGAGAATTTACTGAACATACACTCGAATTCAGGGCCAATGCTAGTTACCCTTTTCTGCAAGCTCACAAAACACGCAAATAATAGTTCGAGTGGGTTTAGGAATCGCGGTCTACATTTGTTTGTTTGTTTGTTTGTTTGTTTGTTTTTTTTTTTTTTCAGTTTTAAATGAAAGAAAAACGGAAAACGCAGCCTCAAGAACACCCCAGTAGAACAGCACATAAGGAACCCCAAAAGACACCCCAACGAGATACCCCCAACGAGACACCCCAACGAGACACCCCAACGAGACACCCCAACAATACGCCCCATCTAACCAAACCCCCCACCCCCCTCACCTAAACCCACCCTCTAAACCCGCATGTCCACCAAATAGGGCGCATCCGCCCACGGAGCATCCCATCCCATCTCCTCCTCAAAATCCTCCCGCTCCACCGAAACAGCCTCTGGGCCTCTCATCATCGACGCCGCGCGCAACAAGATCACACGCGCCTGAGCCCGCTGCAAAGCCACACCTATGGCCGCTTTAAGTGATCCAAGCAAGTAAGCCGAGAAACCTTTCCCCGTAGCTCTCGCCGCCCCTTTCGTCTTCGCTACCTCAATCTGCGCGTCGCCCTGTTTCTTAAGCCACCGCCCAAAACTCCCCCCCAGGCAACCCCATGTCTCAGCAATGAGAGGTGTAAACTGCACTCCCCTATGTCGTTGCAGAAGCAATTTGTAGTCCGCCGCCTTCCGCTTTTCCCTCTCTCTAGCGGCAAAACCCACCTTGCGACCAATCTGTCCATGGTGCTGCGCGGACAACGAGATAGGGTCCACCACACTAACCTCCAGCGCATGCTCCTCCCCCTCCCTCAGTCTCCGCACCGCCACATCCACCCTCTTCCCTGGCAGCAACGTGTCGTCTTCCATGGTCACGACCCCACCCGCCCCTTTAGCTATCTTCGCCACCGCAAACTCAAACATTTGTGATGGGAATGGGGTCACCTTGCTCAAACTCAAACATGGTCTACATTTGTGATGGGAATGGGGTCACCTTGCTCAAACTCAAAAGAATTGAAAGCACCAATCACAACCGTAGACCGGGGCTGCACCATACATGCTCTTTTTCTTCCATTCCATCCATGCACCTTGCCTGTGGGTCGTTTGGCGTGATATGAGGACAAGCACAGAAGAACGGTTGGGTTGGGTGGGAGGGAGTTCGGTTGGGGAAAGGATGGGAGGAGACAGAGGCAATGACGGGCAGGAGGGAAAACGAATCGTCAGACTACATGCTCGCAATACCATCTCTATAACGAATTCTCATAACAATTGCACACTACACAATATTGCGCCCCATTATTATAAGATGCATGTACTTCATTCTACTCTGGCGATGACTAATATTGTTTGCATTTATGCTTACCACGGAAATAAAAACAGAACAGGAATAACATAACATCCCTTTTTTCTTTGATGGTGTCTGCACCAGCACCGCACACGCAGTTGTTATGAGTTGCAATAAAAAGGGTGCACCAAATACGGTACCGGTTCTCTAATTGCCAAGGGTACAAGCACACTAACGAGGGCCTGGGCAGGCGGGAACCCTAAATGGACTGGTGTTTCAGAGCTTCCGTGGTAATTACGGTACCTGACCCGTGGCCAGAGCTTTGGAGCGAGTCTTGCAGCAAACCATCAATAGTTCATGCCTTTTCACCGAGCGATATTCGTTCCCTCGCTCTAGTTCAGCAAAATCAACAAGAATCAACCATATTTCTTTTTTAATGACTAAAGCGTGTAGTCTTCAAGACGATGCAGTGTCCTGTAGCTCCTCAAGGTCCCCATCATCCTCAGAACCCTCTGTCGGGTTGGCTGACACAGCGGGATTGCCAGGCCTTGCAGCAGATTGCAATTCATCATTCAGGCCTGACAACGCATCTCCTGGTGCAACCAAATCTTGCACTCTCCTCTCCTGCCTCTCCTGCCGCTGCTGCTGTGAGCAACCGGAGCCCATGGAAGGACTATTGAACACACAGGTCTTTCCAGAGAAAGAAACCAAGCACAGGTCACGTGCGCCACTATTCTCCTTCTCCTGTTGCTGAGCACGAGCGTCCAAAGGCAACAGCCCTTCCTTCACTATACGGCATGGAGAAACCGAGAGGTTGCAAGAAGAGTAAACTGCAGAGGTTTCAGGGGCGGAGACAACACGCCGGTGGAGTTGCGAGGCAGGTGATATGGAATTCAAAAGGCCGGCAAAGGATGGAACATGGTCGGCGTGTGCAGTGGGGTGGTTAAATGGCAGAGGAACGACGTCGTGGCAATGGGAAACGGGCAGTTGGGAAAACGGGTTGTGTGTGTTGTCCCCAGCACCCGTCTCTGGGCCAAAGCTGCATGGAAAGACAGCGGCGTGCTGCAGGCCCGGAATGGCCGCCTCAGGGTGCCACACGGCACAGCCAGCCTCGTGTGCCGCACACTCAGCACCCTGGAGGTGGGAGGAGGGGCTCTGAGACGCCCCATCACTGCACCAAGGGACGCACTCATCACTGTTCAAGTTGCTGGCGGATCCGTTGCTCTCAGCGCGGCAGGAAGCACTTTCAGGCCCATCGCTGGACGCGCTGGTTGTGCTGGCAGCGTTGGCTCCTTCTTCAGCCGCATGGGCTTTTACTGGCGCCTTGTCATGGTGATGATGGTGGTGTTGATGACGGCGCTTGATGGGGCTGCACGGAACGTTGGGACCAGCCGAGTCACCAGCAGCTCCTGCTGCAGCAGCAGCCTTGGAAACCGTGCAATGCACAGTGGCAGCAGCAGGAGCAATAGGAGCAGCAGCATTGACAACAGCAGAAGCAACAGCACCAGGGGCTACAGCAACGTCAGCAGCAGCACGCCAGTAGGCCGTGAAATGCGGAGGGAGCGAGTTGTGCTCTGTGCTCCACGCAAAGCATCGTTTCTTCGCCACGCCATGCCACAAGAGGCTAGCCGGCCGCTTCTTCTGCCGCTCTTGCTGCTGCTTCTCCTTCTGCTCCTGCTGCTGCCTCGGCTCGTGTGGGTAGAGATGCTCCCAGTGCTGTTGCTGCTGGCAGTCTGGGCTGGCATTGACGCTCAGCCGCCCTGGGAACACCGCTTGGGGCAGGCAATGGAACGCCGCGAGAGGGACCATTCGCTGAATCTGGTCACTTGCACGCAGCAGCGGAGCCGTGCTCATGTGGTGGCTGGGAGGATGAGCGACCGCCATGGAGGGATGGATGGGAAGATGACACGAATTAAGGTGGATCTGAGTCAGATCTGGTGGCGAGGCCAGGAGACAGCCTTGAGAAGCGACTTGGATCCGAGTCACGCTGAGATAAGAGATGGTGCACGGATGCCGTACAATCTAGTAAAAAGCTGGGAGAAGCACCAGACGAACGAGTAGACGCCGGCTGCAAACGAGCGACTGAAAGGGAGACGCTAGCGAGAGAGGCGCTATGTGTTCTAACCGAGAGCCAGGGGGGAAAGGAGGCTGGGAGATTGGAGACGTGAAGGCCACGGTATTGTGACTGGTCTGGAGACATGTTTAAGTACCGGTAATGGGGCTATCAGTGACACTACACGAGTAGTAGGGGAGGCTTTCGCACGTCGCAGGGCGGGCTGCTGGAGTGAAGAGCGCAGGGCGCAACTTGGAGTTGCGGGGCGGTGGCGGGCGGACGCTAGTGCTCGCGCAGGAGGGAGTGGGGAAAAGGCAAGGGGGAGGCGGGAAGAGGTAGGGGGGAGAAGTGAGACTGCCTGGGGAAGGGGGAGAAGAGGAGAGAAGATAAGGGGGGGAAGTTTGCGGAGAGGGGGGGACACAAAGATACAGAGAGGTCGAGTGGGAGTGAGCGGAATCTGCGCTACCAGACGAGAACGGGGAGTGGCGCAGATTGGTATCGGAGTGGGGGAAATGATCAGATGGGGGCGATCGCAGAGTGATTAAAAGATCAATGATTCGGGAATCGGGTCACTCCTACAGCTTCCCAATCTGCTCTTCCCAGAATAGAAGCTCCCGCAAACACGCGTTTTCGGGATACGAAATACCAGGGAGGGCTTGGGATTGGGAGGAGCCGAGGAGGAGGAGCCAGCCTGGCAGAGTCTCACCAATCCGATTGGCTAATCGGCAGTGAGTAGAGATCCTCTGAAATCATTGCGAGTTGATGGCAGAGCCTCGCCACTCGCTCTGGATTCTATGGCGGGAAAATAAAGCCGTGACAGCACGACTGCAGGATGCAGCGGCCAGATATCGGCGAAATTTAAATCGGATTCGCAACAGAATACGAGTTGGAGCGGCCAAGTTGCATGCGGTGGCAGCATGTGGCAGCAACTCGCAGATTACTCAACAGACTGATTCAGAAAACGCGTGGTCCAGCAGAACAAGACAGGTCACTAGACGCGGAGGAGATTTACTATATACCGAGTGGGTGCATAGCGGTTTCTTAGCTCCGGACACACGGGCACCATACCCCTTATTAAAATTCTCACACATGGGTACAGCGCCTTGCGTCACAGTGATTAGGGTCTGGCGGTCAGTCATGGCATTGACTACAAGAGTAGTAGAGTCCCGTTCGGCCGAACACCGTGCTTCCTCGAGCGACGATGGCTGTGCTGAATCGCGAGCCTCCCCGACGTCGCCGCTCACCCTCGCGTCCGATCATACTCGTCAATTCCAGAGCCCTAGCGAGTGCGAAAGGCCGATGAGTATCGTGATTGGCTCATTCCGCCATATCGGGCGTACTCTCTGCCCGCCGCACGGACGATTGCGCAATCAGAGCCTCGCAATGCTGCCAGCAATGCAAACATACCTCCCTCCCGATTCCATATCCTGCCGAACCTGCCGAAACTGCCGAACCTGCCGGGATACGGACATCAAGTACCGTCAGACAGCCCGTAGCACAGCATTGTCGAATCCTCCATGATGCCTGACATGACATGACATGACATGACATGATAGAGGCATCTACAAGCATCAAGCCGATATTTTCTGAAGGCAACGAGACAAACGATGCTGCCGTGAACCGCAGTAACTTCGACATCATGACCCGTGACCCGCTAATGAGTCAGATGAGGTCGGAACTAATCGGATACCGTTAGTACAGTGTGCGTTTCGCCAGCTGTCACGGAACTAGTCCCGCACGAGCACCAGTATTATTTCGTCCTTACCCGAAATGAAAGAAATACGCGTTTTCTAATCCGCTGTTCATAACAAGTAACCGCAACGTGAGGTTGCTTGCGAAATCATGCGTCGCACAAAATAACCGTCTTCGCCTTCGTGCGTTCTAGGAGAGTGCCAAAACTGTAGCGACGATGAGATGCGACGAGATGGTGCGACACCAAATCTAGGCGAGACAAAGGTGAGACAGAAACAAGCCCAGCCAGAGTTCGGCCGAGACGAGAATGTGAGGTGCAGAAGGTGGAAGCAAAGCGGTTGGTTGGAGATTAGATAGAGAACTGAAAGGTGCTGCTAGGAAGAAGGACGCGTTGGCAGGGGGAGACGAATCGCCAGTCCGCGGAGAGAAATGGGGGGAAAGGAGCAGCCTGGTTTTTCCGCAACGAGCATTGGGAACGGGTGTGGGGCTTAGTGGCGGCGCGAACTTCCCGCCCAGTATAATTGTCGATGCAGAGTGCCGATGTCACTAGTGAAGTCTTCGATTCATTGTATATCTTTAGATAAGATAGGTCTATAAACTCTCAACAACCACCAAAAACGATTTCTCTATAAACAAGTGATTACTGAAATGTGAACACAAAACATGCTTCTAAAAAAGCCCTAGGCATTGGGATAGGTGAGACATCTCTAGAAGGAAGAGCAGGCAAGAGAAACTGAAATGACGCTGGCGTAATCATGAATGCTGCCGGTTTTTTTACTCTTTACCCTAATCTAATGTTCAAGCATTTTCAATTGCTTATTTCAAAGGTTTGTCTAGATTACCCTTTAACAATGCTCCCATTCCCCGTTCCTACCCATCGGGTGTCAAATTCGTAATACCTGGGCGAATGCCATCACTTGTCGGCTCATCGTTTGTAGGAAAGTAGAAGCACAGGGGCTTTAAGTAGTGATTTGTACTCAAGCAGACATTGCAGTATGAATCTGCATGCATACGGTTCTCCATTGCACAAATCATCATGCACAACCAGAACAGAAAAAACTGGCAAATGCATCCCTAAACCTAACTGCAAGATTGTAGGGCATGATGCCTTCACGAGGACGCAGTATCTTGCAGTTCCTCGTCATCATAAGCACACTGACAAGTCTCAGGTCTGTCATGTCCTGGCAGGTTTTCTCGCAACGGGAGGAAGCCTTGCGGTGCAAAGCATTTCCCTGACATGGAGCGAGCCACTCTTTCTGCAACAGACCCCTCTTGTGCACCAGGAAAGGCTGGTGGTGGCGCAAACAGACAGGTCTCTGTGGATCGAGAGAAGGAGCAACCAGCACCTTCAGCACCAGTCCGACACTCCTGCACGTGCTCCGGGGCTTTAGATTCTGGTTGTTCCTTGCCTGCTGTAGTACATGGAGTGCCGTTCCTGTTGTTGCGCCTGTTGCTTGGGCCAAAGATAGCAGATGCGGCAGGGGCGGAGACAACCCGGCGGTGGAGTTGCCGGGCCGGCGAGATGGAATTTAGGAGGCTGGCAAAGGACGGACCATGGTAGGTTTGTGCAGGGTGAGTGAATGAGATTGGGAAGAGGGTAGGGACCACAGCAGCGACGAGGGCAGGGAAGACGGCAGGTGAGGCAGCAGGCGAGACAGCAGGTGGGACGGCTGGCAAGATGGCAGGTGCGACAGCAGGTGAGGCGGCAGGTGAAACGGAAGGCGAAACAGCAGGCGAGACAGCCGGTGAGACGGTTGAGAAGACGGCGCAGCCACTGCCAACCGAATCACCACCAGACACAACATCACGACGAGCCCCTGCCCACCGATTTGCAGAAATCCACAAGTTACCACTGTTCCTCGTGGGGGTCTCGCGTGTGTGCGCCACAGGGCCGACGCAGCCAGGAAAGATGGCAGCATGCTGCATGATGTGACCAACAGCTGAGGCTTTAAGTCCGCCACTACAATCAAGGTCTGCTGTATCTCCCAGTGTGGACGGATTCTGCAGATTCCTGGCAAGGGCAGGTCGTTCTTCCTGCTGCTCTCCGTTCCACTTGCGGCACTGTTTCTTTGCTGCTGTGCCGTGATGCCACAGGAGGCTGCCTGGCCGCTTCTGCTGGCCCTCAGCAGGCATGCTCTGGCGGTCGTGAGGATCCTCCTGGGCGAGCAAATGGTGTTCATGCCCGTGACTTCTTGTCAGGTGCACAGCGTGCACGTCCAAGTGCTGCTGCTTTTTCTGGTGTTGCTGTTGTGGCTGCTGGGATTGCTGCTGCTGCCGCTGCTGCTGCTCAGCACTTTTCTGGCTCTGCTGCTGATCGCCTGGCTGCTGCTGCTGCTGCTGCTGCTGCAGCAGCAGCTGTGGCTGGCAGTGCTGGCCAATGCTCAGGTTCGGAAAAACCGCGTGGGCCTGCTGGCGACCGTAGATTTGCTCGTGGGGCGAAACCCGCCCGCGTTTCGCGCCTAGGAGGCAGCGTGTTTCCACGTGGCAGCTTGAGAATCCAGCTACCGCCATGATTGCACGCAATTCGCTGGCAGGCACTGTGGGTACACGAGCGAAGCTGAGTTGAATCTGTAACCACTACTCAGATTAGACGTCTATTAGTGCTAATGGGATTCGGGTGGAACGCGCAAGGAAAGCAGGTGACGGAAGAAAGAGCTCAGATCCAAGGAACGGGTTGCATGAGCTGACACGGGCGAGGCAGCAGGTCGAACAGGAAAGCAGAAGAAAATGACGCTAATTCAGGAAATTCGGGCCCTTTATATACTCAGCCAGAGGCCACATCATGCGGACGACTAGCCTGTGCCATGTCCCGTCCTCGGGACAGACAGGGGCCCTGCTGCTCTGTGCCTTCAAGTTGATGGGCGAGGCTTCTGGAAGGAACAGGAGGAATCACGGCAAGATCGCCGCCGCCTCTCGTCTATTACAGCGCGCGCGCCTCAAGTGGTTGGGTCGAAGGGGGAGTTGGGGGGGGGGGGGGGGGGGGAAGAGGGGGAGAGAGCTAGGGGCGGAGGCGGGAGGGGAGCTGGAAAGATGCGGCGGAGGTTGGGGCTCGTAGGCGGACAAGGGCACCAGGGGAGGGCGAAGCGGGAGCGCCGGAAAGGGGACATGTGGGGAGATTTCCGCTAAGGGACAGAAACGGGGAACATGGATTCATAGTGGAGTGGGGGGTGAGCAGAAGGCGGGATGCAAATTGTGATTGCCCCATCCCTTCTAGTACAGTAGTACTGTAGGCACCCCCTTTCCCAGTCAGCGCCTCGCAGGCGAGGCTTTTACGGAAAAACGCCTTGAGAGGAGCAGAACATACGAGTGGGGGATTAGGGAGGCGGGGTGGAAGAGGAGTAGAGAGTGGTTGGAGGTGTGAACCAGCCATTCCTGAGTGGTCGAAGCGTGTCATCTAGATGTCATCAAGCAGACGGAACGGCTGTCTAGATGATCTCAAACGCGCGGGACTCTCTATAACTGTGGAGCGAAACCGAGCCGAAACCTTGCGACGGCAGGTTGTAGCGTGGGGACGCCGGAAGAATCTAGATCGGATCCGCTGCTGACATATGTACCACGTCAGGATGACGCCGCGGCAAGGTGCTGCTGAGGTGGCGAGGCAGCATGTGCGCTTAAGTGTCCACTACAAACGGACACATGTGCCTGAATCAACTTGTTACGTCACTCAATAGTGCTTCAGTTTGTATGATTGACGACGATAGAAGAGGGGCTAATGACGTGGCAAGGCAGCACTTTCGCCGGAAGGATCGCTACGGACACGATCATGGCAATGTGTGACTGGAATCGCACGCGATCAAAGTGGATAAGAAAGCGGTTTTTTCTTTCACACGTGGGTGTTTTTCCTCCCACCATTTCTGCTTTACCTTGCGAAGTACGTACCGTGCAGTACCGTTCCATAACGAGCCGCAGGTTGACGCATTGTTTGACAAACTAACTAGCTATGTACGGTTGACATCATTGGTGGTGCAGATGCGACTCGCCAGATCCTGTCCCTTTCGGCCGAAGCACCATGTCTCCTCCAGCTCGGTCCATTAAGCAGACAGTTGCTACTACCATCCTTAGATCTATGTACTTTTGTGGACGCATCGTGGCGGTTCTATACTGTAGGACGTGTCGTGGCTTGATGGCCATTAGCCACGTGATGAGGACAAACGAATCTGCCACATAAAGTGGCCTTAATTCTCAGCCACGACACGCGCGCAAGCTAACCTCAGTGCATTCAAGCAGTTTCGTGGTTTCGTGGTGCGAAATAAATGAGAAAACTAAATGCGAGCGGCTTGAGAAGGCACATGCATTTTCTACCACGAGTGAGAAGATAATAAACTGTCAGTTGTGTAGAGCTGAGAAACAGCTTAGAAGCCTGGATCGACGCGGAGGACAAAGGCTGTTCCCTCACGCGCGCTATCATAATCGACAGACACGTCCTTCTCCATGTCCATACATCCATTACTAATCCGAAAGACAAGATTGCGCATACCCTCTCTTCATACTGCGTCAACACGAGGGCGTTGGAGGCGCCTCGCGACGGAGGGAACAGCGGGAGCGTGCTGCCTGGGCTGAACTGTTCTGGTCTCGTCAGTCAACGATTTTGGGCTGTTCTGATGGAGGAAGGTGTAGGTATGATGGATGGGAGGGAAGACAGAGAGCCAGCGACAAGAATTGAGCAGGCAGGAAGGAGTTGACAGTTTTTGGAAACTCGCGTATGCGTTCCGACTTCCCCCCCACAATCGCCAGTCCATTTCCCAGCACAAATTCGAGTTCAGTGGGGGGAAATCAGCGACTCGAAAATGCAACCGTTTTGTGTCCTCGGCATGTGAGGCCTCATGAACATTCACAATGGTATTCGATTTCCTGTCCAGCGTCTAAACTTTAGTTTGGAGATAACGAGTGGAGGCATGCTCCTTCTGGAACACGAGTGCTTGAACTGTGGAATGATGCTTTGGGACCTTTAGCTAGCTTGGCTCAAGAGACCTCCCAGGTTCAGATGATCCATTGCAGACACACATGCGCTGCATGTCAGACAAAGAGTCTGACGGAGAGGCCATGAGAAATCCCCACATGTTTAAACATTCACTGCATTGCTCTAGCCTTGTTTTTCTTCACTCCGCTGGGATTCTTCTGTTCAGAAGGGAGTATGGCACAGCTACCAAAACCCATCCATTCCATATTTCTCCGCTTTTGTTAAAGCCCGTATGCAAAATAGTGACCCCCCCCTTCTAGTTGGGTCCACTTGAAAGTCTCAAACTTAATTTGTAATGTTTTTGACGGTTGGAAGTGTTGTGGTTTTTTCTTTTGGATCCCTCACTGAATGAGTGTGATCAATGTTGAGCGAGCACATACGAAACTGTCGCATCCAGTTCACTTGGAGTTGCACACAAGAATGTTGCAAGTTTGCGACATCCAACTCTCATTCTTCCAAACAGTGAGCAGCGTCCAATTCATCCGCCTTACACATGGGAAAAAACACAAGAGAAAAAACGGGAGGGAAAAAACAGAGTTTCAAAGATGATGGGACGGGATGGCGAAGAGCGAAGAGAGGGCATTTCCGAGCGCGAGGGTGACGATGCGGGAGATGGGAGGGGAGAGATGTAAAGGCGACGGGAGGGAGTGATGGGATAGGAGAGAGGAAGGGCGACAATGGGGAGTTTCGGGGCGTGTGCGAGGGCGACGAGGGGAGCGACGGGATGGGAGAGAGGAAGGGCGACGGGAGGGAGTTTCGGGGCGTTGGCGAGGGCGACGAGGGGAGGGACTGGATGGGAGAGAGGAAGGGCGACGGGAGGGAGTTTTGGGGCGTTGGCGAGGGCGACGAGGGGAGCGACGGGATGGGAGAGAGGAAGGGTGACGGGAGGGAGTTTCGGGGCGTTGGCGAGGGCGACGAGGGGAGGGACGGGATGGGAGAGAGGAAGGGCGACGGGAGGGAGTTTCGGGGCGTTGGCGAGGGCGACGAGGGGAGCGACGGGATGGGAGAGAGGAAGGGCGACGGGAGGGAGTTTCGGGGAGTGTGCGAGGGCGACGAGGGGAGCGACGGGATGGGAGAGAGGAAGGGCGACGGGAGGGAGTTTTGGGGCGTTGGCGTGGGCGACGAGGGGAGGGACGGGATGGGCGACGGGATGCGCGACGGGATGGGCGACGGGATGGGCGACGGTATGGGCGACGGGATGGGCGATGGGATGGGCGATGGGATGGGCGATGGGAAGGCAACGGGAGAGCCACGGAAGGGCGACGACGATCGCGACGGAACGGGAGGACGACGGGACGGCAGAATGGGCGGGTGACTGGACGGGGGAACAGGAGGGCTATGGGGCAGGAGAAGTGATCACGTGGGTAAGGGAGGCGAGAGGAGATCGCGGTGGCGACAGGACGGAAAAACGCGGGCGCATAGGGACGGACTGAAAAGCTTACACTCGTAGATCTCGGATACAACACGACGGACATTCTGATTAATACATGTCTAGATAACGAGGGCCTAAGTCCAGACATAGCCTATGCCTAGCCTAGCTACTTATAACTTCCGACGCAAAATTGGTAGTAGTTTATCCCATCCCAACTTGAAACATAAGCTGGGCCCAAATCGCTTGGACAGACTGAAACGATCGCCTATGCAATTGTCGTGCGGGCTTAGCAATGAGAAATGCGACGCCACACTCGAGGAGAATGTTTCAATTTTGGCGGGAACCAATCAAAGGTGTTCGATTTGCACGTCCGCATCGTTTGAAACGGTACAAACTTGTCAGTCCGGTCCAAATTTTGTTTCGACCGGCAAACTCGTCCCTGCGCTCTTTCAAGTTGGGTTTGGGTTCACTATTTTGCATTTCGGTTTTAACGGACAAATGGCAAACCAAGCTAAGGTACACCATACCAGCAGGTGTCATTAAAATATGAGCTTCTTGAGGATGAGAATGACAAAGAGAGCCAAGACCGCCACCACGAGGACGAGTATGCAGAAGATAAGAGCTGATTGCTTTTGTGTCTTCTCAGCCTGGAAGAAAAAACAGAGAAGAATATGGCAATGCACCGAGATAAACAATGCATTGTTAGGAAGAAACAGTTACAATAAAAAAAGTTGCTAAGAATGTTTGCATTGGTAACACAACTTACCTTTTTCAGCTCCTCAACCCCCTTATCAACGTTTGCACTGATATTCTGAATGTTGTAGTCAATCCGGTCAACAATGGTTCCCTGCACACCAGCACAAAAGAGCACCACAGCCCACGCAACCAGCAACGCAGGCGTAAACACCAACAGAAACGAAGAACATACATGCCATGTCCAGATCACTAAGGAGAAAAGCGACACAATAACATGGGAGCACAGCACACAAGTGAGAACAGCAAGCATTGTTTCATTTGTTCACACCTGATCGATGACGAGGACTGAGATGTCCTTCATGATCTGGGCGAGGTCATGCACTGACTGCACAATCTGCTCCACCGTGGAAATTAGACAGGAATGGAACCAAGGGAGGGAGCACACGGAGATAGCTGAGAGAGAAAAAGCACATGAGCGAGAAGCCGCCGAGCAACGGCTGTTCAAGCAATAGCTCAAGGCTACCATGAGGAATGCACAGGCGCATGAGCTCAAGGTCCTAGTAATTAAGTGTTACTGACCCATTTTTGACACATTTCCGTTCTTCATCAGGTAACCAGACATATTTTCCAAAAGGCAGCTCACCTCTTGGATCTCTTTCTCCCTCTCTGCTGTCACATTCTCCATCTGCCTCACTCGCAGCAGCTGCCGCTCCTCAAACTCCTGCAAGACAACCGTGCAAACGATCAGTGCTATCAGATGATGCTGATAATGCGAATCGTGCAATGCTGGTGATGATGGCTGATATTCATGATGGTGATGATGTTCATGAGTGGCTGATGCTCATAATGGTGATGGGATGATACCCAATGCTACTCGGGTGATGCTGATATAGTGTTGATTGTGGTGCTCTAATGCTGCTAATACCGCTACATGTGAGATGCTGACAATGCTGACTGAATGGTGCTCATAATGCGGATTTGTATGGCGCTTAGAATGTTTACTGGATAGTGCTCATGCATGCTCATTCATTGATGCTGATTGTGCACATTGGATGATGCTCATAACACTGACGGGATAATGCGGATGAAATAATCCTGACAACGCTATAAGATGGTGCCGATCCAATGACGTTGATGCTGATGGAGTGTTGCTGATCGAATGATTTAGATTAGAAGGTGCTGATAAGGGTATTTAACAACTGCTAACGAGCTGGTGAAGTGAGGTGGGAACGAAGGAGTGAAAAAGCTAGGGCTCATTGGGTGATGTCCCTCATAACGCTAATTATATAATGCTGATGGATTGATCCTGACAATGCTATTGAATGATGCCGATCCAATGACGCTGATGCTGATGGAGTGTTGCTGATTGAATGATTTAGATTAGAAGGTGCTGATAAGGGTATTTAACAACAGCTAACGAGCTGGTGAAGTGAGGTGGGAACGAAGGAGTGAAAAAGCTAGGGCTCATTGGGTGATGTCGCTCATAACGCTAATTATATAATGCTGATAAATTGATCCTGACCATGCTATTGGATGATGCCGATCCAATGACGCTGATGCTGATGGAATGATGCTGACTGGATGATGTTAATTGGATGATGCTGATAAAGGTTTCTAACAACAGCTAACGAGCTGGTGAAATGAGGCGGGGGCGGAGGAACAGAAAAGCCAGAGGGGGACGAGGGGGGATTCTGGGGAGGGGGGAGGGGGGAAAGGGTTCACTGGTGCAGGGTTACATGTTGAATGGTCATGGTGGAGAAAGGGGGGTGGAAGGAGGGAGGGGAAGGGCAGTTAAGTGGGGGAGGACACCGTATATTGTGAAATGGGAGAAGAAACAGAAGGGACAGATGAGCAGGTGAGTATGACTCGGCAACAGAGTGACAGAGAAAGAGACATAGAAAGGACAGCGAGAAGGGACAAATGGTGGTGGTGGGGAAGGAAGAACTAGGGACGAGAAACGAGAAGGGCTTACTGGGTCAAAGTAGTCATCCTCATCAGCTTGAGCTGCACTGGATGATGCATCGTGTAGCCTGCCTGATGACCCACCAGCGGCAGAACGGCCCAGTACAGCCTGACACGCACAGTTGCAACAATTTCACAGGCAAGTACACATGGGAGTGAGTGTTTTGAGACGTCTCAGATTCATCCTCATCAGATTGCGCTGCACTGGATGATGCTTCGTGCAGCCTGCCTGACGACCCACCCCAGCGGCAGCACGGCCGAGCACAGCCTGACACGCACAGATTGCAATGTCACAGACAGTAGACATAGGAGTAGGTGGGAAACCAAAAGCACGTGGCCAGATATAAGCGGACGGAGAACAATCATGGAAGGAAGTAATCTGAGAGGAGGCCCTCGTATCCTGGTGTTATTATGGCATTTGCAAGTTCAGAGCCCTCTTTCGGTGTCTCTGTAGCGACCTTATATGCCCACATTCGCTTCAAACATTCAGCAAGTGCACATGCTCACAGCCAACCAGTGTCAGCTGCACACGAATACACACCTTTTCTTGAGGCTGCTGTTGCTGCTGCAACCGCCGTAGATACTGCTTTGTCTGTTTGCGGAAATCCATGGAAAGTTGTTGCAAATCCGTGGCCATGCATCTCTGATAACAGAAAGTGGAGGATTGATGGGATGGTGAGAGAAGGACGAAGTGGGTGCGGGAAAGGGTTAAGGTGGAAAAGACGGAAGGGGACAAACAGACAGCCTCAGTGAGCACCCGCGAACAGATGCGTTTCATCGGTTCATCTCTCTGAGCTTTCTTGAGTAACCGGATTCAAATCTGCATCTTTCAGTCTCGTGTTAGACATTCAAAGCTCACCTGAACGTTGCGCGCAATGGCAGCATTCCCCGCTGACGTCGCTTCTTTCCGCGAAAGCTGCTGCAGCCGCTGCTCGCACGTCTTCAAGGACCGCGTGATTTCCGCCGTGAGTACCTCCATGGTTCTCTCATGCTCGTTCTTCTTTCCCCGCGCATCGTCCGTATCAAACGATGGTAACAACGCGCGAGCCTGGACCTTTGCTAGCTCACCCATCTTGCCTCTAATCTTTTGCATATCGTCCTTTATCTTGTCCGACACGTCTACCCACACCGGCGGTAGGCCTGGGCTTCCTAGACCACCGGAAGCAGCTGGTTGCGAGGTTGCTGCTCCTGACGTCCCTGCTGAAAGCCTGAACCAGAGCGTGGGGGAAAAAGAAAATGAAAAGAAGCTGCTGAAAGCTTGCCAACAAAAATATACCAACAGGAATTGTACTAAAGCAACGCATGGCAGAACGACCGACAGCATCTTCCGTATTCAATCAACAATAAGGATTACGTTGTATCAAGTACACACACATGAGCATACCTCTCTCCAGTGTCTAGCCGAGTTAGTTGTACATAGCCTCCTCCTTTTCTTCCTGTCCCCCATCCCTTTTCCACCTGATCAAGATCGCGAGCGGCTCCGGCGTTTGGTCTAGTTGATTTGAGAGAATCTCGATGTTTTATAAAAACTGCTGTACGATTTCGTGTCGCCATGTCGGATCGTCACTGGGAAAAGTTTAGCGGTGGGTCGGCGAAATTCTATCAGATTGGCTCAGTTCTAACAGGCTAAACTAGTGTTGAGCAGAAATAGTAAATGAGCTCTATGGATCGTTGTTGGTGAAAAGGAACGTGATGTTACGTCATGTCCTCTCGTCATCTACCTAGCAGCTGCACCGTTGAATAATCATGCCACGCGATTCAAGTGCAAGACCGTTGAGGGTGGACGGGATGCTCACACACTTTGACTCACGGCGTCTTTGCACTGCGTCTCAGGGCTGAAGGATTGAAAATCTCACAAAACAGCCTGGGCAATCCAACCTAACATAATGAAGGTATCTGGTACCGCTGCCGTGCTCCCTTGAATCCACCACAACCAAGTTTGACTGTCCGACCAACTGACTGCTACCGAATTCGGGTTTGGTTTGGTTGGAGGGAAGCTGCTGCTACGGCGGGACGTCAGGCGAAACGGCATTGGGAATGAAGTCACTGCCAGCCAGCGTCGCCAACGGAAAGATTCGGCTTCTGGAAGAGGAACACTGCTCGTCATAGCTGTGTACCTTTGATCTTATGTTCTGCCGGAATAGTTAAAAAAAGAGGGCAACACATTTATCCAAATTACTGGAAGGAACAGGAGTGGAGCATGCCATGTGTGCACAAGAAACTGCATACAACAGTAAAGCGTTGTAGATTATCAAACTTCTGAGCAGCATTGCATTACTGCAACATGCGCCAGGAAAACAACAAGCCAAAACTGTCAAACATACCACCGAGCACATTTGCGTGTGCAGTTTTGGCCTAAACCCTAAACTCTAAACCCACAGTACAATTCTGCAATTTTTACCAACAGCTAACAACCATGCTGTGAAACACATCAGCACAGAAACGACCACGACAAATATCATCCAGTGGGGGTGTCCGGAGGAGGGAGGGTTGTGATGGTGGGTGCAGCGGGTGGAGCGGGGAAGGAGGAGTGCTGGTGGTGCTCCGGCCTGTGCTCCACCTCGTAATCCAAATGCACGAACGCACGCTCTATCTCCGGTAATCGCTCCAGCTTGTTCTGAAGCGACTCGCCTATGTCATGCGTCTCCTGCAATAACAATAAAATCGAGTGAAGGGAGTGGGGGGGAGGGGGAGCCACAATAACAAGAGAGGAGGGAGAGACAGGAGGGAGAGACAGGAGGGGAGAGACAGGAGGGAGAGACAGGAGGGAGAGACAGGAGGGGAGAGACAGGAGGGAGAGACAGGAGGGAGAGACAGGAGGGAGAGACAGGAGGGGAGAGACAGGAGGGAGAGACAGGAGGGAGAGACAGGAGGGAGAGACAGGAGGGAGAGACAGGAGGGAGAGACAGGAGGGAGAGACAGGAGGTTGAGACGGGAGGGTGAGATGGGGGGGGGGCATCAGAATCAGGTTGGTTTTTTATGGTTGGTTCGGCCAGGGAGTGGGGAAGGAGGAGTGCTGGTGGTGCTCTGGCCTGTGCTCCACCTCGTAATCCAAACGCACAAACGCTCGCTCAATCTCTGGTAATCGCTCCAGCTTGTTCTGAAGCGACTCGCCTATGTCATGCGTCTCCTGCCATACGAGCAGATAGGAGAGATGGAGTGAAAACCGATAGGAGCAGACGGGGAGGACAGAGAGAGCGAGGCAGAGGGGTGGAGAAGAGGGAGAGATGGGAGGGAGAGGTTGGGATAAAAAAGTGATGTGGTGAGAGCAAGTCAATCTAACCGCAGACTCACAATACCTCACCCCTAGCCCCTTGCAACTCAACCCCAACTCATCTCCACCCGTCAGCTCACCCCACGCACCCATGAGCTCAACTTGATCACCCTGAGCTCACCTCAAGTGGCATGTCCCGGGGCAGCACAACATCCACTTCCGTGAAGTAGAGTGTGCCGAAGGTGTAGGCTTCTCCCATCACTCCGAGCTCACCCCAAGCAAGCAGCATGCCTCACCTCACCCCGAGAACCTTACTGCACTCACCTCGAGAGGCATGTCCCGGGGCAGCACAACGTCCACCTCCGTGAAGTAGAGTGTGCCGAAGGTGTAGGCACGCACGGTGTCGATAGCCAGGATGGCCTCGTGGTGGTTCCAGCACAGGTACGTTATCTTCTGCAGAAACTCGGGCGGTGCCGACCGGCCCGTGAGCGAGTTGACGTTTTCCAGGACCGTGCGGCCCCAGTTGATCATGGTGTATAGGGCGAGCTGGACGGGTGGGGTTGGGGGGGGGGGATCGGGGAAGTGGACGGGAGGAGGAATGGAAGGGAAGGAAGGGAAGGAAGGGACGGAATGGAAGGAAGGAAAGGAAGGGTGTCGATAGGCAGGATGGCCTCGTGTAGAGGGCGAGGTGGAAGGAGGGGAGAAGAGGGGTGGGAGGGGAGGAAGGGAGGGGATAGGTGGCGCCAGCTGTCCACTGCGTGACGGGCGACCTGCCATGCAAGGGAGTTGGGTGATGCGGAAGGGGAGTGGGGAGGTGGGGAGAGGAGAGATGGATGGAATTGTAGCAACTGCGTATGAGGTTGTTAAGAACCCAGAATGATGAGGCTACAGATGACAGGGGATGGATGGCATGGATGGGTTTCATGGGTGGAGAGTGGGTGGATGGCATGGGTGGGTGGCATGGGTGGGTGGCATGGGTGGATGGCAGTGGGCGGCAGGGAGACCCTACCGGAGTGTGGCCGACGGGGTCGATGCACCAGGCAACGGCCCCTGTCAGCACAGCTGCCGCCAGGTCGGTTTTGAGAAGTCTCAGAATTGACCTGCAACAAAATGCATGGAGGGCGTACCAGAATGGCGCCGACAGGGTCGATCCACCAGGCAACGGCACCTGCGAGCACAGCAGCCGCCAGCCCCACTGTGTTGGTCACCACGTCAAAGAAATGGTCCTGCGGGAACAATGGAGTGGTGGCATTGTGGTGGAATGGTGGTGTCACGGCTTTTGAGGTGACCTCTGAGTCGAAACACAAGCAATGCGCCTCAAAAACAGCTGCCAGCCCCACGGTATTGGTAACCACATCGAAGAAATGGTCCTGCAGGCAGACACGGTGGAATGGTGGCGCAATGGTGTTGTGATAAAAGCGAGTTTTGAGACGTCTCAAGAAAAAGCTGCCAGACCCACCGTATTGGTAACCATGTCAAAGAAATGGTCCTGCAGGCATGCACGGTGGAGTGATGGTGGAATGGTGGTGTGGGTGGCATGGTAAGCGATTTTTTAGTTGTCTTAAAAATAAGCTGCTAGCCCCATTGTGTTGGTCACCACGTCAAAGAAATGGTCCTGCAGGCATGGTGGCACGGGCGTGTCATGGAAGTGTCAGGTGGTGACATAAAAGTGCCATGGTGGTATCATGACTGTGGAATCGTTACAGAGAGAAGCATGGGAAGGAACGCAGAGGGCAGAAATCACTTCCGAGAATTCTCAAGAGTGATTTCAACATAGTGAAGCAGAACTAGAAGCAGATGTAGGAGGGAGAGGCGCTTCAGTTGTTGCGCGCAACATGTCTGACGAGCAGCGGAAAAATAAACTTTCTGAGAGTGGACGCCATGTTAGCAGCAAGAGAACTTCACCTGAGCGTATGTCATGACGATGTCGTTTCCTGTGACGATGCGGCAGTAGACGTAGAGTGCGGCCTTGACTGCTCCTGAGGCGCCCCAAAAGTCACCTGAGAGCATGGCATGGGCTAGACGATCATCTCACCTGAGCGTATGTCATGACGATGTCGTTTCCTGTGAAGATGCGGCAATAGAAGTAGAGTGCGGATTTTACTGCAATCACGAACAGCATGATCGCCACATACACCTGCCACTCGCTGCCCAGCCCCACCGCGGACTGGGGGGGAACACACACAGGGGCGGGCGGATACACAAGGACGGGGGAGGATGGGGTGTGAGTGGGGCGTGGCAATAAAGAGTTAGTGATCGTGTAACTCATACCGAGTCAGTGATCGTATAACTCATGCCGAGTCAGTGATCGCGTAACTGATACCGAGTCAGTGATCGTGTAACTCATACCGAGTCAGTGATCGTGTAACTCATACCGAGTCAGTGATCGTGTAACTCATACCGAGTCAGTGATCGTGTAACTCATACCGAGTCAGTGATCGCGTAACTCATACCGAGTCAGTGATCGCGTAACTGATACCGAGTCAGTGTTCGTGTAACTCATACCGAGTCAGTGATCGTGTAACTCATACCGAGTCAGTGATCGTGTAACTCATTCCGAGTCAGTGATCGTGTAACTCATACCGAGTCAGTGATCGCGTAACTCATACCGAGTCAGTGATCGCGTAACTGATACCGAGTCAGTGTTCGTGTAACTCATACCGAGTCAGTGATCGTGTAACTCATACCGAGTCAGTGATCGTGTAACTCATACCGAGTCAGTGAGGCGCCTGACGCCCTCCAGCAGCACTTGGAAGCCGAGAGTGGCCATGATGGATGCAAACACTATGATGCCCTGAGGGGCCATGGGGAGGGGAAGAGATGGGAGGGGGGAGGTGGGGTGGAGACAAGGGAAGGGGAAAGACAGGGATTTTGAGTCGCCTAAAGCCCTCCAGCAGAATCCGGAAGCGGAGAATAGCCATGATGGATGCGAACACAATGATGCCCTGAGGGGTCAAGGGAAGAGGTGTGGGGGGTGGAGGGAGCACAAAGGCAAGGAAATAGTAGAGACTAGAGGGTTTCAGAGGCGCAATGCGGTGGAGTGCGGTGGAGCGCCGAGCAGTGCGGTGCCGTGCAGTACAACACGCTGGAGTGCGGTGCAATACGGTGGAATGCGGTGCAGTGCAGTACCATGCAGTGCCATGTGGTGCCGTGCGGTACGCACCAGGGGCTGCATGCGGGCCTTGCCGATGGGGTACTTGTAGGGGTTGTGGCGGCGCATGGAGCGGGCGGTGTACCAAAGGATGAAGCCCGCCAGCAGGTCCGGCGGACGCAATCACAAGCAGTGGTGTGCGGTGCAACGCGGTGGAGAGCAGTGGAGTATGGTTGAATGCAGTGGAGTGCGGTTCAATGCGGTGAAGGGCGTTGTAATGCGGTGGGGTGCAGTACGGTGCGGTGCATTCCGGTGCTCTCGAAACGCACCAGGGGCTGCATGCGCGCCTTGCCGATGGGGTACTTGTAGGGGTTGTGGCGGCGCATGGAGCGGGCGGTGTACCAGAGGATGAAGCCCGACAGCAGGTCCAGCAGCGAGTCAAGCGTCGACGCTATGATCGACAGACTGCCTGACTCTATGGACGCCGCCACCTGCGTGCAGCGCGGTGCAGAGCGGTGTGGAGTGGTAGAGAGGCGTGCAATACGGTAGAGTCGAACGGAACATGGAGAAGGGAGAACAATCAGCAGCAGATACAGAAAAATTGGGTGAAGTGGAGAGCCAAACAACAGTGGCAGCAGCCTGAGAACAGCAACCATGGTGCAATTACCGTGGCTCACTGCAGTGGATTCTCAACCATGTTGCAATTACCGTGGCTCACTGCAGTGGATTCTCAACCATGGTGCAATTACCGTGACTCACTGCAGTGCATTCTCAACCATGGTGCAATTACCGTGGCTCACTGCAGTGGATTCTCAACCATGGTGCAATTACCGTGGCTCACTGCAGTGGATTCGCAACCATGGTGCAATTACCACGCATTTAGACAATCAACGAGATGACGGTGGTGATGCTTTTAAGGCGGCTCACGCACCTTGACAATGAAGAGGACAATATTGGCGATGTTAAAATCTGAATCGCACTTTTGAGGTGCCTCAGAAGTAGTTTAGAGGCGCCTCAAAAACCAAGAATCTCGCACCTTGACAATGAAGAGGACGATATTGGCGACGTTGGAGATCTGAATCGCCCAGTGCTCGCCTCGTGCTGTCTTGGCTGCTGCTCTGGCCTCCTGAGGGGCCGAAACAAGGGTTGAGAAGGAGCTCGCGTCAGCAGGAGGCAGTACAAGGCAATTCTGTGGGTCAAGACTTGTGGACAGGACACTCATTGCGGTAGAGCTTTAACCGCAGCACAGCTCTCACCTCAGAACATCGCTCACCGCAGCACAGCTCTCACCTCAGAACATCGCTCACCGCAGCACAGCTCTCACCTCAGAACATCGCTCACCGCAGCACAGCTCTCACCTCAGAACATCGCTCACCGCAGCACAGCTCTCACCTCAGAACATCGCTCACCGCAGCACAGCTCTCACCTCAGAACATCGCTCACCGCAGCACAGCTCTCACCTCAGAACATCGCTCACCGCAGCACAGCTCTCACCTCAGAACATCGCTCACCGAAGCACAGCTCTCACCTCAGAACATCGCTCACCGCAGCACAGCTCTCACCTCAGAACATCGCTCACCTCAGCGGAGGGTCGCAGCAGGTGCTCGCTTAGGGCGTCCATCTCGCTGAAGCCGTCAATCATCTCGTTCTGCCGCTGGTAGTACGCGCTTATCGCGTCGTCCGCGCTGCTCACTGACACAATTCCGCGTGGCGGGAGAGCGGAGAGCGACAGAAGTGGGAGGTAGGGGAATAGGCTTCCATCAACATTTTCTTTCTATCCCTCTTTCTTTCTTTCTTCGCATCCAGAGATATTTAAAGACGCAAGAAGAAAACTCATGGAGCTAGTTTTGCAAGATAGGAAACAAACTAGTTAATTTCTAATTTGATACCTCGGAGTATTCCCATTCTGCTGGAGCCGCGTTCGTCATCGCCTAAGTCCCGCCTGGCAGCGGCAAATTGACTGTGATCCAGTCGCCATTGCCTTTCCCTCTCCCGCTCGCTCCGCGACCTGTCTAGGAGCTCGGATTCACCGTCTGTCGCTGCTGCTGCGCTTAGTGCGACCTGCCTAATCTCCTTGGTTTCGTCGCGCTTTACGTCAGCTGACCGGCGATGCAATCCGTCAGCCGCCACGGAGACAGAAACGTGACGGACCCCGTCGACTCCGGTAACGGTGGAATGATCGGGGGTGGGAGGATCCCCGCCAGAATCGCTGCCTGGAGAACCCATATCTAATATGACGGGTTTGACCAGGAACTTGCGTACAGCTAAATGTATCCGCGGATACCACTCAGCTGTTTTTATGAAGTTCCACCTAGCACTGCAGGCAATGCGATGCCTCTGATTTCAAGCGATTGCCGCGAAGACAGCCAAGAATAATAAGTTGATTTGGCTAGCTGGGAGGTGCTTGTTGTGTGTGGTTGTGCAGAGATACTTCTTTCAAGATGCGTCTCTTGAAGGTGATGCTGGAGGGTGTCTTCCATCTGGGCGGGTGGATGCCGCTAAATTAGTCGCATCGACGGTTTCGATCGGCTGGCATGTGGTTCGTGTGGAAATATTGATGGCTGCGATTCATCTTCATCCACACAGCCTGAAAAAGTCGTGTCTGAATTTGACAATGTACAGTAGAGGTAGCCAAGCTGTCGGCCAAAGCTTTCGCGTGGTCGGTGTCCCCCAGGCTTGTTGTTCAGGTTACAGTATCTCGTCGAAGACTTTTGATTGGTGTAAATTTCGTTCGGCAACTGTGACGTTTCGTCCACCACATGTGATCAAGAGAACAAGACCCTACGAACCAAAGAAACGAAGCTAACAATTCCGAACCGAGCAGCAAGGGGCAGCATCACCTCCTCGCCACAAGCTTGCGCAGAGATTGTTCGCACGACATGTTACCGCTGCACGCGAATTATCACCGCATCAGTCACAGGTAGGTGAAAGCCATGGGTGGGCCGGCCTAGATGCTTCCATTTTATCACCGTCTGCTTGCAGGAAGCCAGTTTACTTCTCCGACCATTTGTGCTGCGGGAACTGAGAAATGAGGTGGTTTGACTCAGATCGCATGCCATGTGATAGGTATCTTAGATCTGAAATGGCTATTTACTTGAATGATTTCTTCTTAATCGCCTCCACAGTACTTGGATCCCGATTAGCGAGCATGTAACTTGCTGCGAAAACGTAATCGAAATACAAAAGCACGACTTTGAATTACGCTACGATGTGGGGAATCACCGGAATGGACGTCACGAAACGCGTCGGAGCGTCGTCTCCGATGCGTCAAGAAGCGAGGCAAAGAAGTTTTTTTAAAAGGGGAGGGGGAGGTGGTGGTGGTGGTGGAGGTGGAGGAGGAGGCATTGGGGGATTCTGCAGCGGATTAATTAAGCGGCCTTACTGCTGCTCACCACTGGTTGCTCTCGTGCTCCTTTGGCTGATCGGCTTTGGCATCTGGAATAGCGGCCTTTTCAGGTAAGTCCGTAGCGACATTGGGCAGGAATCTGGAAGCCTAGAATGAGGGATGAAAAACTGGTTAGTTGAGGATTCTACCGACAGTTTATGAAACAAAATTTCGGCTGTTGGACTTATTCGGGGCGACCACTCTAGACATAAATGTGTCATCCGCAAGTTGTTGTCAGCGCTCCTGAAACGTCGCAATGCGAATTGATTATAGGAGCAGAAATCAGTGTTTTAAAAAGCCGGTTCTCAATGTTCGATAACGTTCTTTCCAATCGGTACATTCCCTTCCCGTTGCTTTTTCTCCAGAAGCCGAAATTCCTCCACGTCTGCTCCTGTCATCGGTGAAGACGATGATCCCTATGCCAGCGGCCAGCCTGGTGACGACGCATGGACGGCTAAGTCAACCAAGACCTCTCAACCGGCCATCACCGGTACAAATCCCTCTCTTTCTGACGCGTCTGACGACGATGATGACCCCTGGTCTTCCAAAAACACGAATCCTGGTTCGGTGACGTCGCCCAGCCTTGGCAATGTAGGTTCGGAAAGCGAATACGGGGATGGTCTAGGAGGATCGGAAGGATCAGAAGTAGGAAGTGGAATGGGAGGTGGGAAAGATGCCAGTACCAAAGCTGAAACGGCCCAACCAGCGGCTAAGGCTGGGTGGTTTTCTTGGTTATGGGGTGGTGGGAAGAAGGAGACGGAAAGCACTAGCACTGCGTCAGACGAGGAGGGTGAGGGAAGCGGAATCGGGACAGGCGGGTTTAGACCCGGAAGCGGGTCCGGGCTGGGTTTTGGAGAGGCTGGTAACGAGGATGAGGAAGACGGGGATGGAGGAATGGGAGGTTCGACAGGGTGGGGTTCGAAGCTAGCTGGCTCTGGACCTGGGGGTGGTAGGACAGGAGGGTTTGGCGGCCTGCCGGCAACGGGTATGGAGGATGATGAGGATGAGGAGAGTGGTGCTGGTGGTTTGGGTGGCGGAAGAGGGAGTGCGAAGGGAGGGGCGTTTGGGGCTCGAGAGGAGGGGTTTGGTGGACGTACGAGTGGGAGGATGGGTGCTTTTGGTGGGCGTGGCGGTGCTGTGAAGAGAAAAGGGAGTGCGTTTGGCGGGGATGGGGAGGACGAGGAGGAGGATGGGGAAGGCGGGGGAGGGAGCGGAGGGGCGTTTGGTGGAAGGCTGGGGAGTGCTGGTTCGGGTAAGATGGGCAGGATGGGAAGTGCGGGAGGGAGTGGTGGGTGGGGGGGAAAGGGAGGTGGACGGAGAGGAGGGGAGGACGAGGATGAGGAAGAGGAGAAGGGAATCGGTAGTGCGATTGGGCAGATGAGAGGAAAGGTCGGAGGTTTGGGAGGAAGAGGGGGAGTGAGAGGAGGGCGGGGGAGAGCGAGTGGGGATGATGAGGAGGAAGAGGAGGAGGAGGAGAGGAGCGCTCGTGGGGGTAGAATGGGGAGGAAAAGGGGGAACAGGGGGGATGATGAGGATGAGGAAGAGGAGGAGGAGGATGGAGGGGAGGGAAACGCAGAGGAGGAAGAGGACGAGGAGGAGGAAGAGGAGAGTCCTAGGGCTGGGAGAAAGGGGCGGAAGAGAGCTGGGGATGAGGAGGAGGACGAAGAGGAAGGAGACGAGGATGAGAATGAAGAGGAAGAAGAGGAGGGAGGGGAGGAGGAAGAGGAGGAGGAGGAGGAAGGAGGAGGCAGGGCGAAGCGGAAGAAGGTGGGAGGGAAGAAGAAGAGAAGTGGAGGGAAGAGGAAACGGGCGCGGGGAGGGAAGGATGAGGTGGATGACGCAGTGGAAGAATTCGAGCAGGCGGCCAAAGAAGCAGAGGGGTTAGCAGCACGAATCAATAAGAAGAACCCGAGAATTAAGGCGAAGAAGGGGGTTGCAGTGGCAGAGGAGGAGGAAGAGGAGGAGGATGACGAGGAGGAGGCGGAGGAGGAGGAGGCGGGGCGGGAAACGGGGCGTGTGAGGCAGGCGGGGAGGGTGGGGAAGGATGCGGCGAAGAGAAAGGAGGAGGAGCGTGTGGCGAGTATGTTTTATGGGACCAGGGCGGCGGACGAGGCTCCCAGTGTGGAGGACGCGCAGGTGGAGGAGGAGGAGGAGGCTCCGGGGGAGGACGATGAGGGGCTGCTTGATTTTGCCTCGCTGCGGATTCCAGGCACCGGCGTCAGAGGCACCAAGGTGAGTGAGCGGTGTTCGGTTTCCTGGATCACTACGGTGTTCGGTTCCCCGCGATGCCTGCCCCACTGATGGGTACTTGCCATGCCACCCTCCCCATTGTCCCACCCCCTCCTCCCTCCTCCCCCCGCCACCATCAGGTGATGGAGGTGGAGCGGCAGCTGGCGTGTGTGGCGAGGGAGGGGCGGTGGGCGCTCAACTCGACGCCTAGATGGCTGCCGTGGGACCTCAACCCGCTGAGAGTCAAGGAGCAGCCCAACTACCGCACCTGCGACATGCTGCACGCCCAGCGGTAAGAGATAGATATCAACATATGAACTGCGAGTAACGAATAGCATTGCCGTGGGACCTCAACCCGCTGAGAGTGAAGGAGCAGCCCAACTACCGCACCTGCGACATGCTGCACGCCCAGCGGTAAGAGATAGATATCAACATATGAACTGCGAGTAACGAATAGCATTGCCGTGGGACCTCAACCCGCTGAGAGTGAAGGAGCAGCCCAACTACCGCACCTGCGACATGCTGCACGCCCAGCGGTACCTGGATGACTCCTGTTGTGTAACTGCTCTGAAATAACTTCAAAAGAGAATCATGTTTTCTTCTTCTTCTTTGATTCCCGTGACTGCCCTCACCACCCTTCTAAGCCCTTATGCCACGCTTTACCCATGTCCGTTTAGCCTCTCATAATTCCGTTCCTCCTTGCCCCTCTTTGAATGGCGTCCCCCTCTCACCTGCCATTCCCCTTGTCCTTCTTGGGCCTTCCTTCCTCGATCCTTGCCTCCCTTCTCATTCCCCCACCCATTCAGGGAGGGCGGCATTTACGGCCTCCAAGCCGAGCAAATCCGCCAGAAGTACTCCCGAGCCTCCCGCCGCCGAGGCTCGGCCGCACCGGACTGGAAGGTTCGGCGGGAGGTGCTGTACGAGTGGCGCAGCAGCGAGCCGGAGCGGTGCCCGTTCGTGCGGTTCGACCGCGAGGGTTTCTGCCGGGCAGTGCGGGGGCGGAACGTGGTGCTGGTGGGGGATGCTTTCAGCCTGGACATGCATGACGCTGTGCTGAACCATCTGGTTACTGCTGCTACGAAAAGGGATGCTGGTCGACTTGGCGATGGATGGTGAGAGATGTGTTTGTCTGCCGGGCAGTGCGGGGGCAGGAACGTGGTGCTGGTGGGGGATGCGTTTAGTCTGGACATGCATGATGCTGTGCTCAACCATCTGGCCACCGCTGGGACCAAAAGAGATGCCGGCCGGCTGGGTGATGGATGGTGAGAGGCAAGGGAGGGAGGGAGGGAGGGTGGTTGGTAATGGAGGGACGGGGACAACCCATCTTCTGAGCTGCAGGCTGTTGCCTTCAAGCCATCTTCTAAGGCACCTCATAGTGATCCTTCCCCCCCCTCCACATGTGATTTCCAGGGCCTATGTCACGGGGGGCGCATGCATTGATGCAGGCCACCAGCTCTGTTCCTCCCACATCCTTACCTAGGCTCATGTCCCTCACCACTCACCCTCACCCCCGCCCCCCGCCTTTTGAGACGTCTCAAAAGGCCCCCCCCTCCACATGTGATTTCCAGGGCCTATGTCACGGGGGGCGCAGCGCATGCATTGAGGCAGGGCAGGCCACCAGCTCTGTTCCTCCCACATCCTTACCTAGGCTCACGTGCCTCACCACTCACCCTCACCCCCGCCCCCCGCACAAACTCCTCATTCGATTGCCCCCAGGGCCAATGTCACGGAGGGCGCATGCTTCGAGGCGGGCCACCAGCTATGCACCGACGTGCCCATCAACCCCACCTCCGCTGTTCTCCCCTCCTCCACCGCCTCTGGCTCGTACGGCAAAGGCCCCCCCGACACCACTGGCGCAGCAGGAGGGGGGGATAGGCAGGGGGTGGATGAGGAAGGTGGGAGTGCTAGCAGTATAGCTGCCGTGCGTGGGAAGGAGCGCAGGAGGCGGGGGAGGAGGCAGGGAGGGGCCGCTCGAGGCCGCGTGCTGCTGTGGGAGTCCGATGGGAGCGAGGAGGAGGACGAGGAGGAAGGGGCGGAGGGGACAGAGGGAGGAAGAGATGGGGGAGGAGGGGGAGTTGGGGGAAGGGTGGCTCAAGGGAGCTCCAACGGGGGAGACGAAGGGGATGAGGAGGATGAGGAAGGCGGGGGAAGCGGTGGGGGTAGCCGCAGCGGCTGGAGTTCAGGGGGTGGCAGCACTGGTGGAGGAGGGTCGGGGTCTAATCTCCAGCTGGGGTCCAGGTCTGGGTCAGGATCAGGGCTAGGTTCGGGCAGAGGAGTGGCGAGGGGCGGGGAGGCATCGTCGGCGGCGGGGTTTAACTTGCGGGTGGTGCTGAATCCGTTTCTGACGCCTGACACAGGCCGCCCCACGCGCTACAACACCCGCTGGCTGCGCCGCCTGCGGCGGTGGCGCACGGATATCCTCATCCTCTCCCGCACCGCGCTCTTTAATGACAGTGAGTGCACCCTGGAACATCCCTATTCTTTCTTCAGGCTACTTGAAGGTTGCTTTCCGAGGCCCCTCAAATATTTCTTTTAGCCTGAGGCCCCTCCGGACATGGTGCTGCTGCAGGAGGTGCGGGACACCCTGGAGGCAGTGCGCGAGCTCAACCCAGACATGCTGGTCATCTGGCGCAACTCCCCACCTCCCTTCCCATGTAACCCCTCTCACGCCCTCCCCAGAGGATCTGATGCTGCAGGAGGTGCGGGACACCCTGGAAGCAGTGCGCGAGCTCTATCCGGACATGCTCGTCATCTGGTGCAACTCCCCCCATGTATCCCTCCCTCCCTTTCCCTCCTCTCTCCAGAGGACCTAATGTTACAAGAGGTGCGAGACACCCTGGAGGCAGTGCGCGAGCTCTATCCGGACATGCTGGTCATCTGGCGCAACTCCCCTGCGGGCCACCCCAGCTGCCACCGCTTCACCCGCCCGCTCAAGCGCCGCCCCAAGCCGCTGCAGCTCAGGGGGCAGCTGCCGGCTACTTGGACCAGACATGCTGAGATGAATGCTGCCGTGCGGTCTCTGCTCAAGGTGAGTGGCGCGCGCATGGTCAAAGTTGGTAAGCAGCAGGCATTATCAGGGTGAGGTGAGTGGGTGCTGGATGCAGCAGCAGCAGGTCAACAGCAGCCGCTGCAGCTCAGGGGGCAGCTGCCGGCTTCTTGGACTAGACATGCTGAGATGAATGCTGCCGTGCGGTCTCTGCTCAAGGTGAGTGGTGCGGGCTTGGATAAGGCTAGTCAACAGCAGGGAGCATCAGGGTGAGGTGAGTGGGTGTGGGCTGTAGCAGCATCATCAGGTGAACAGAAGCCGCTGCAGCTCAAGGGGTAGCTGCCGGCCACATGGACCAGAGTGTTTTTGAGAATTCTCAAAAACATCCTGCACCATATGGACTAGGCACGCTGAGATGAGATGAACGCTGCTGTGCGGTCGCTGCTCAAGGTCAGTGGTGCCACCTCACTGCGCCCCGACGGCCACCACAGGCGGCTGAACGGCACAGTGGACTGCTGCCACTACTGCTGTTCGTGTTGCCCCCTCTCATCCCTCCCCGTTCCGTCCCTGTTCCCATCCCTCCTCTCCCATCCCGGGAGTACGGGGTGGTGTATCTAGACGTAGACTCAGCCACCTCACTGCCTGCTGTGAGTGTTACTGTGTGTTACGTCTTACTCACCAATCCCACGCGTGTGTCCCACCTCTCTCCTTCCTCCTCCCCCTGCCAGGAGTACGGAGTGGTGTATCTAGACGTTGACTCAGCCACCTCCCTGCGCCCGGACGGCCATCACAGGAGGATGGACGGCACAGTGGACTGCCGCCACTACTGCATGCCAGGCCCCCTCGACCACTGGGTCTCTCTGCTCTACAACCTGCTCCGCCTCATCGACTCCCACTCTGAGCAGCAACAGCAGAGCGGGCAGAGTGGGCAGCGAGGGCAGCAAGGGGTATCACCCGAGCCTGTGAGGCCCGGTCTCCTGCCTGTGCGTCCTGAGGGGGAGTCCGAGCCTGGTCGACCACTGGTTGCTGGGGGTGCTGGCGCTGCTGGTGCTGCTGGTGCTGATGCTGGGGATAGTGATAGTGCTGGTGCTGGTGCTGGTGCTGGTGCTGGTGCTGGTGCTGGTGCTGGTGCTGGTGCTGGTGATGGTGATGGTGATGGCGCTGGTGCTGATGGCGCTGGTGCTGATGGCGCTGGTGCTGATGGCGCTGGTGCTGATGGCGCTGGTGCTGATGGCGCTGGTGCTGATGGCGCTGGTGCTGATGGCGCTGGTGCTGATGGCGCTGGTGCTGATGGCGCTGGTGCTGATGGCGCTGGTGCTGCTGGTGGTGGCGAAGGAGGAGACAGCAGTAGAGAGGGGGAGGAGAAGGGTGGGAAGGGCGAGGGAGGGGCAGAGGACGAGGGTGGGGCAGGGAGTGGGGACCGACAGGAGGCGGGGGAAAGTGGGGCTGCAGAAGCAACCGGGGGTGTGGTAGAGGGAGGAAAAGAGGATGTGGTGGCAGGCAGTGGGGAAGGGAGGGAAGCGGCCAGTGGGGAAGCGGGGAAAGATGCAGGAGCAGAAGCCAAGGAGAGTGATGGGGCTGTTGGGCCTTCAGAGGCAGGTGGGCTCGATACTGGTGACGAGGGGGGCAGGGAGGAGACGGGGAGGAAGGAGGTACCGGAGCAAGGAGCAGCAGAGGAAGGGGCAGCAGAGAAGGGAGGGGCAGGGGGGGAGCCAGGAGCAGGTGAGCAGAGAGGAGTGGAGGAAGGCACAGGAGCAGGAGGCGAGGAAGGAGGGGCAGTAGGGGTTGCGGATGAAGGGGTTGCGGATGAAGGGGTGAAGGAGGGAGGGGAGGCTGGTGGTGTGAAGCAAGCAGAGGGATCAGGAGAGGAAGCAGGGAAGGCAGGGCAAGCAGGAGAGGCAGGGCAAGCAGGAGAGGCAGGGCAAGCAGGAGAGGCAGGGCAAGCAGGAAAGAACACGGAACAAGTGGGAGGGGGATTGGAGAACAAGGATGAAGGGAAGACTGGTCATGGTGCTGCTGCTGCTGCAGCTGCCACTGGTGGAGCTGACAGTGGTGGTGGTGCTGCTGCTGCTGGCAGCAGTGATAGCAGCAGTAGCAGTGCAGAGTCGTTCCCTCCTCCAGACGATGCTACGCCTGCTGCTGACGCCACGCCTGCACCTCAAGCCAAAGCACCTGAACCCCTCAGTGAGTAACTTAACCCAAGTGTGCGATAGGACCATGCTATGTGCGTTCCATTCCCTGGATTGCCACATTGCTCTTTCTCGTGCATGCGAAATGTCATGTTCTTTCCCCCCTCACTGTGCTCTGCAGGAACTACTCGGAGTGCATCCCAGGGACGGCAGTGCGGGGCGCACAGGCGGTAATCAGTTCAAGAAGCCCAAAGAACTCCCTCAATAACCACCCCCCTGCCCCACCGCCTGCCCCCTCCTTTCATCCCTCCCCACGCCACTCCCCCCCTCACCTCACAGCGCCCTGCGGGAACTACTCAGAGTGCATCCCAGCGCGGACAGTGTGTGGCGCACAGGCAGTTGGAAACGAATAGAAGTCGTCCTTTCTCAATCCATCACCCCTTCCCCCCTCACAGCGCCCTGCAGGAACTACTCGGAATGCATCCCAGGGACGGCAGTGCGGGGCGCACAGGCAGTGGAGCAGACCAACCGTGAGATGGCGTGTCTGGCGAAGGAGGGCCGTTGGATCAAGTTCAACACGCCCCGCTGGCAGCCCTGGAGCAAGGACCCCAACCGCAACCCCCTGGCGCCCCACTATGGCACCTGTGACATTCTGCACCGCAGAAAGTAAGTGCTGCCTCGTATCACTTTGTGAATGTTATCTCAAAAGTGATGCATGCAAGCTCCCCAACTGCAACCCGCTCACGCCTCACTACGGCACATGTGACATTCTGCACCGCAGGAAGTAAGCTCTTTACTTGAGCTGTATAAGCTGCCCTGTGACATTCTACACGGCAAAACGTACGTCTCATGTCCTCTTTTCTCGGCATGTCTCATTGCACCTCCTGTGGCCAACAGCTTATGTTTTGTTTCTCTACTCCCTCGCCTCCCCTCCCCACTGAACCCTCACAGCAAGGGCGTGTTCGGCAAGGCAGCGGAGGACATCCGGGTGTCGGGCACGGGCGACTGGAACGTGCGTCCGGAGCTGAAGCACACGTGGAAGGCCAGCCGATTCTGCCCGCCGCTCAACGGGTACAACCGCGACAAGTTCTGCCGGGCCATGGGGCAGCGCAACGTGGTGTTTGTGGGGGATCAGTCGCAGCTGGCGCTGCACGATGTGTTTATCAACCACGTGCTCACCATGAAGACTGCCAAGGATATCGGCACTGCTGCTGATGCCTGGTGAGTCGTTGGGGTGATGTGGTCTCTGCAGGTAGCAGGTAGCTGGTAGCAGGTAGCATCGCTACTGCTTGGGGTAGCATTGTTTATTGATCACGTGCTCACCATGAAGTCCGCCAAGGATATCGGCACCAGTGCATGATCGCTGCAGGTAGCAGGTAGCATTGCTGCTGTTTGGGGCACCGCAACGCGGTGTTCGTGGGCGACCAGTCACAGCTTGCTCTCCACAGTGTGTCCATGAACCACGTGCTCATCATGAAGACTGCCAAGGATATCGGCACGGCCGCTGATGCATGGTGAGTGGTTGAGATGATGCAGACACTGCAGGTAGCAGGTAGCTTTGCTGGTGAGTGGGGCAGAGGAACGTGGTGTTTGTGGGCGACCATTCACAGCTTGCTCTCCATAATGTGTTTATTATCCACGTGCTCACCATGAAGACTACGAAAGATATTGGCACGGCTGCTGGTGCCTGTTGAGTGAGACGTCCGGAGGCGTGATGCTTCGTGTTGGTGAACTGCCGTATAGCTCGCTCCATGGGTAGGTGTGTTTGCGGGTTTAGCTCGACCCGCCACCAGCAGAAACCTGCTCTCACAGACCATGCCCAGTCGCCAGGGAGCCTCAACACCCCTGTTCTCTCTCTCTTTCTGCATTCCCAGGGAGGAGAACGAGATTCCCTTGTGCCGCCGCAAGCCGCACGTGGTGTGCTTGGACCATGTGCCAGGGGGATTCACCTTCCGAGTGGTGCACAACAACCTGCTCTCTCCCGACTAAATTTCCTTGGAGCTGCACCAAACACCCTTTGTTTTCTCCCTTTTCGCATTCGCAGGGAGGAGAATGAAATTCCCTTGTGCCACCGCAAACCGCACGTGGTGTGTTCGGACCATGTGCCCGGGGGATTCACCTTCCGAGTGGTGCACAACAACCTGCTCTCGCCTGACTCTGCCGGGGGCGGCAAGTTCAACCAGCGCTGGCTGCGCCACCTCACCGAGTGGAACGCCTCCATTGTCGTCCTCAACAAGGGCTTCGAAAAAAGACCAAGTAGGTCCTCTTTTTTTTTTTCCCCTACGTTGTTACAATAGGTGCCGTAAGTCCTCCCTTAAGGGCTTCGAAATCATTTCAATGGGGTTTAACTTGACGAGGTCTGGAGCTTTCCACCCTTTTGCTAAGTCATGGTGCAGTGCTTTCTTGTTGCCGTGTTTTCTTACTGCTCACACACTCCGTCTCACCACGTTTGTGCATGTTTTACCTCTCCTTCCGTCTTGTCGCCCACCTGCCAAGTACCTGTACACACTGCGTGCATCGCTGGCGAAGCTGCAGGAGGTGGCGCCAGACGTGCTGCTGGTGTGGCGCAACACGTGCTGCTCGTGTGCTGCTGCCATGCGCACCGTGTTCTCACTCTCCATTCACTTCGTCTCACCATATTCGTTTCGGCCTTTGGGTGTGTGCTGTTTCCTCCTTTTAATTTTCTCATCTCCCAGCTGCCAAGTACCTGTCAACGCTACGTGCATCGCTGGCGAAGCTGCGGGAGGTGGCGCCAGACGTCTTGTTGGTGTGGCGCAACACGTGGCGCGGCCACCCGGACTGCGGCAATGCCACAGAGCCACTCAAGGCCGTGCCGCACAATGAGACCAACGACAGCCAGTGGAGCTACGTGGTGGAACAGAACGAAGGGGCCAAGGCTATTGTGAAGGTGAGTGTGGGAGCTAAGGTGGGGATGTTCTAGGTGACTTTTGAGTGGACCTCGAAAGTCAACTAAAAAGCCACCCCGACGGCAATGCCACTGAGCCGCTCAAGGCCGTGCCACACAATGAAACCAACGAGAGCCAGTGGAGCTAGATGGTGGAACAGAGCGAAGGGGCCAAGGCCATCGTGAAGGTGCGTGAAAGCTATGCTGGAGAGCTTGTGCCTATGTGAGCAACATGGCAGTCTAGTGTTCTCCTTGCTTCATGACCTGCTTTGGGTTTGTAATGTGTTCTGTGTTTTGTTCTTGACAGGAATTTGGAGGCCTTTACATTGATCTTGATTGGTCACTCTCGATGCGCCCCGACGGACACATCAAGAAGCTTGACGGCTCCATGGATTGCTACTATTACTGCTTGCCCGGCCCACTCGACCACTTCATGCGGCTCTTCTATAACATGCTTCTTTTGCTTGACTCTAAAGCAGCCTCTACTGCTGGGCCTCAACAAACATAAGATAACACTATAATATGGATATTGCTTGCTATAGACATACCGTAAGATTTTAGGCAGTCGTGTACTCTTTTAGAATCAAAATCCGACGTGGCGTAGCGCGGATCCGATGCTTACGTGTCGATGACGAGGAGCGGATCTTTGCAGCAACCACCTCCTTGTCTCCCTCGTTCGATGCACTGCTGGCGCCAAGCCTTAGGGGAGTGTGTGGTGCCAGCAATCCCCACAGCAGAATGAACAGTTTTTCGAACGTTGCCCCGAACGGAGTTGGGAAAGGGGATATATTTTCGGTAGTGTACTTGGCTGACTCATTAGATGGAATAATCGCGCCGGTTTTGCTAAATATGCGCAGAAATATTGAATTTCTGTTAGCGCTGCCCCCTCTCTCGTCGCGTAGCGGTGACGTTCTCTATGGTCCCCCTCCATCCATCCCGCAGCTCGCCCCATTCCCCCAGCTGACCCCATCCAAACCCCGCTACCAGAGTTAACCCTGCGGAACTGTACGTTCTCCTTGGCCGTTCCCCCCCTTTTTCCACATCTACCTTTCCCGCTCGCCCCACTCAATCTCCCGCCAATTGAATGGATCTCCTCACCCCTCCACTCCCCGCCCTTTGTGCTCTCCCCCGCTACCGCCGCCCCTTTCGCACTCCCGAATCCCGATCTTCTCCGTTCTTCACGTCATGCAAGGCGCAAGCGCAATCCCAATTTCCTCCCCGACTGTCCCCTCCATCCCCCATTCCCCCTCCCTCCCCTCCCCTCCAACTCAACACTAGGAGAGAGGCAAGCGGCGGCTGTCCCATCCCATGCATCCTCATTTTTCGCGCTCATTTCAGATCTCGTCGTGTGGGGGAAGGGCAGAGGAGAGGGATCGACGAGGCTCAGGGGCGGGGTCTAGACTAAATTTCGTTAGTAAGCTTATCGTGTGTATAGGAAGCGAAGACTCACAGCGGTCGCAACACACAGCGGTATGGCGGCCCTCGTGGTTCTGCAGGTGCAGGCGCAGTTATGCCTGCCCGGCGCGCCGAGCAGCCGCGCAATCTCCGCGGCGAGACATGCCGCGCAGAGCCGCGAGAGCGTCAGGAGTCGCCGCGTGAGCCTCGCGCCCTGCCCCAGCGCGCGCAGCCGCATTGGCGCAAGCGGGCGCATGGGCGCGGGGAGCAGCGCGCTGCACAGCGATGAGCGCTGGCGCAAACTCCTTTCCGCCACCGCGAAGCCGAAATGGGGACATAGTAAGTTGCTAGTTCGACGAAATGGGGACATACTAAGTTGCTCGATCGACGAAATGGGGACATACTAAGTTGCTAGTTCGACGAAATGGGGACACAGAAGTTACCAGCTTGTCGAAATGACGTAATACGTGGGTGGCAGCAAGTTGTATCGCAAGTACGTAAGCAGACGAAAACAGAATCGGACGCTAACGGAAGCAGACATTAACGGCAGCAGGGATGACGTAACGCAAACGTAGACTTATTCCGGGACGCGTCAATGCGGCCAAATACGTAATGGCAGAATGGCGGACCGAGCTGTAGTGGGAGCTTAGTGCACTGTGCACGGACGAGGCAGGCACTTCTGAGTAAACTCAATAATGGGGGACCGAGCCGTAGTGAGATCGTAGTGGACTTTACACGAACGAGGCAGGCATTTTCGGGTTAACTCAAGGCGTCGTTCGCTCAAGTGTCGCACAGGCTTCGTTCGCTCATGTGTCGCGCATTCGTCGTTCCCGCATGTGTCGCGCATGCGTCGTTCGCTCATGTGTCGCACAGGCGTCGTTCGCTCATGTGTCGCGCATGCGTCGTTCGCTCATGCTTCGCGCAGGCGTCTTTCGCCCAGGTGTCTCTGCGTCTGTTTTCTTCGCGTCCATCTCCGCGTTCATTATTTGCGTCCTTTCCCCCCCCCCCACCCCCTTCCCCCTTTCCCCCCCTCCTCCTCTCTCCCCTTTCATCCGCGCCAGCGTTCAAGCGCACCACGCCCAGATGGACGGCTGCAGTCGTGCCCTCCACCAAGCCCTCCAAACGGTGCGAGTCATGCCGTATTATCTCCTGTCGCACCGTGTCGTATTCCAATCCCCCCCCCCCCCCCCCCCCCCTCCCTTCCTTCCCCCCCCTCTTTTCCGAAACCTTTTTTTTTTGTCACTTTTCTTCCAGATCTCTCGCCCTGCTCTCAACCCAGCCCGCATTTATTGTTTCTGCTGCAGAGGCCATGCACATTTCTCGTTCTCCATCCGATACTCACCAGCAATGCTCACCTCCCTCCCTTCCTTCCTCCCTCCCTACCTTCCTCCCTCCCTCCCTTCCTTCCTCCCTCCCCCCTTCCCTCCCTCCTTCCCCCCGTCCCTCCCTCTGCCTCCTTCCCCCTCCCTCCTTCCCCCTCCCTCCTTCCCTCTCCCTCCCTCCCTTTCGTGCCTCTATCAGCCAATCGGAGCAGAACCACAGCTCCCACTCTCATCAACCTCACAATGCGCAAAACACCAACACAACCACCAGCACCAACAGCAGCAGCAGCAGCAAGAGCCGGGCGATCGCCACAGTGCCGCGCGCACCTCCCGCGCCCATCCCCCGCGAGCCGGTCACTCGCCGCCTCTTCGCGGGCTTCTCCAGAATCGGGAGGAAACGCCCCCTGGTGCGCGCACTGGGAAGGGGAAAGGGGGAGGCTGGGGGGAATGTTGTGGGTTGGGCGGAAGCGGGGGAATGTTGGGGGGGAGTGTTACTCAAAACTCTTCGCGGGCTTTTCCAGAATCGGGAGGAAACGCCCCCTGGTGCGCGCACTGGGAAGGGAAAGGGGGAGGCTGGGGGAGAGAGGTGGAGGGGGGGCTGAAGGGAGTGTCAAGGGGTGGGGGAATGTCGGGGAATCTTGGGGGTGTGGGGGCGTGTCGGAGGTTGGAGAATGGTGGGAAGCGGTGGGGCCTGGTATTGATGGATTGTGGGGAGTTGCTGTGTGCCAGGGACAAATGAGGGAGTGAGTTCCTTCCCTGTCTGGCATCTCTTTTCCCAGCGACCCCTTTCCCTTTCTACTCTTCATCCGGCCCGCCCCCTTTCCTTCTCATCTAATCTGGCCTCTTGGTGACTTTTGAGTCGACTCAACAAGTCATCTCTTTCCCAGCGACCCCTTTCCCTTTCTACTCTTCATCCGACCCGTCCCCTCCCCTTCTCATCTAATCTGGCCTCCTCCTTTCCCTCCTTTCTTCCTTCCCCCGTCGCGCCCTCCGACCCGCCCTCCGCACGAGCAGTGGAAGCAGGCGGGCATGTGGGTCGCAGGAGCGGCCGCAGCAGCCGTGGGCGTGCAAGTCAGCGCGCAAGTGCTTGAGGTGAGTGCCTCACTGTACCTGCGTTGACTCATCGACTCACTCGTTGACTCGTTGACTTGTTGACTTGTTGACTGGTAAATTTGGCCAGCAACACTTACTTTACACAGCTCGTTCTTTAAATTCTCATCCCTCTATCCCTCATCTCAACGCCATGTCTCCTCCCCATCCCTTCCCGGCTCCCCAGGCGCTCGACAAGGTACCCTGTCTGGCGGACCTGGAGGTGCTGGTCTGGTGGGCACGGGCGCGGCGCTCAACTTCCCCGTCGCCCCGTGCCCCTTCCCCGTGTCCCCCTTTTCCCCCGTTCCCGCACATTCTCCCCCCCGGCCCCCCAGGCGCTGGACAAGGTACCATTCCTGGCGGACCTCGAGGTGCGGGTGGGCACGGGCGCGGCGCTCAACTTCCCCGTCGCCGCTTCCTCCTCCTACCCACTTACCTGTGTTCGTCCCTTCCCCCCACCGCCCCCTCCCCTCATCCCCCCAGGCGCTCGACAAGGTACCGTTCCTGGCGGATCTCGAGGTGCGGGTGGGCACGGGCGCGGCGCTCAACTTCCCCATCACCCCTTCCCCCACTCGCCGCCCTTTCTCTTCCCCCTTTTCTCCCCCCTCTTCCCCCCCCCCCGTATGTCCCAGGCGCTCGACAAGGTCCCCTTCCTGGCGGATCTCGAGGTGCTGGTGGGCACGGGCGTGGCGCTCAACTTCCTCTCCTCCTACGTCCGCGGAGGGCCGGGTGGGTGGCGCGGGCGCGGAGTGGGCACGGGGGTGGGCGGGGTGGGCACGGGGATGGGCGGGGTGGGCACGGGGGTGGGCGGGGTGGGTGCTGGGCAGGTTGGGCGACGAATCTGATGACTTTGTTTCAGTGTTTCGACTCGCCCACATCTCTCCCCGCTCCCTTGCGTGTCCCTCCTCTCTCCCCCCTCTTCTACCTCTCCCCCTTGCTTGCGCATCCTCTCTCTCTCTCCACCCCAGCGCGAGCGCGGGTGCAGGCGAGCATAGACAGCATAGTGGACAGCATCAGGGGCTCTGAGAGGCGACTCACCAATACCCCCTTGCCCCCACTCATTTTGCCCCCCTTCGCTGTTCACCCCAGCGCGAGCGCGGGTGCAGGCGGGCATAGACAGCATAGTGGACAGCATCAGGGGATTTGACTCGCCCACCGACTCTGACCTTCAACCCCCTCTCTCCTCTTTCCCCTACATGTGTCCCTCCTCTCACGCCACCCCCTCCAGCGCGAGCGCGGGTGCAGGCGAGCATAGACAGCATAGTGGACGCCATTAAAGGCTTCGACTCGCCCACCGACTCGGACCTTCAGCTGCAGCTGCAACAGCTTGTTGCCGACACCACCGTCGTCGCTACTCCCTCTCTCGCCTCCGCCTCCTCCTCCTCCTTCTCCCCTTCCTCTTTCTCCTCCGCGTCATCCTCCTCCTCCTCCTCGCCCTCCTTCGCTGCTCGAATTGCCGGTACGGGGCTGTTCAAGGCAAGGGGAGGGCAGAGCACCAAGGAAGTGGGCGGGCAGGCGAGGGCAGCCGAGTTGACCTTCGGAGGGAATGGTGGGCAGGCGAGGTCAGCCGAGTTGACCTTCGGAGGGATCAGGGGGGAGGGAGAGAGAGCAGAGGAAGGAGAAGAGGTGGTGCTGGTGAAGAAACAGTCGCTGATCAGCCGGTTGGTGGATTTTGTCCGAGGCAAGGAGGTCAAGACAAAACGTGCCACCCTCGCGCTGCAGGCCGAGGCCGCCCGGTCGCAGGCGCTGCAGTCCCGGGCGGCGGATCTGAACCAGTCGCTGCAGGCCAGCAAGCGGGCGGCGCAGGCTGCCGCCCAGAAGCTGGAGGAGCTGCGGGCGGCGAACGGGCGGCTGCAGGCGGAGCGGAGCGAGTCCCGGGCGGCAATGGGCGGACTGCAGCAGGAAGTGGCGTCGCTGTCTGCCGCCCTGGGGAGCCTGACTGCAGACACAGACGCGTTGAAGCAGTCCAAGGAGAAGGTGAGAGTAGTGAGAGCAATGAGAGCGAACGAGAGCGAGTGAGATGGGCGCACGAGGGAGAGACTTTAGAGGTGCCTCAAAGGCAGGAGGTGGCGTCGCTGTCTGCCGCCCTGGGGAGCCTCACAGCAGACACAGACGCTCTGAAGCAGTCAAAGGAGAAGGTGAGAGCGATGGGCGGGAGAGCGAGTGAGATGGACGCATGAAGGGAAGGTATGAGACGTCTCAGAGCTGTGACTTTGCCGCCCTGGGGAGCCTGACTGACTGCGGACACCGACGCGCTGAAGCAGTCCAAGGAGAAGGTGAGAGGAGCGCAGAGGCAATCATAAAATTCCCTATATTTTCTCTTTGATTAAAATAGGAGAGTCTTCAACTGAGAACCCTCTCCCCTCTCCCCTCTTCCGCTGCTCTCTCCCCTCTCCCCTCTCCCCTCTCCCCACTCCCCTCTTCCGCTGCTCTCTCCCCTCTCCCCTCTCCCCTCTTCCGCTGCTCTCTCCCCTCTCCCCTCTCCCCTCTCCCCTCTCCCCGCTCTCCACTCCCCTTTCCCCTCTTCCGCTGCCCTCTCCCCTCTCCCCATTCCCCGCTCTCCTCTCCCCCCATTCCATACCCCCTCCCCTCATTCCCACTCTCTGTTCCCTTTTGAGAATTCTCAAAAGTGTTTCTCCCCACCCACTCCCCACTCCCAGCTCGCCTCCAAGGTGCAGTCAGCACTCACCGAGAACCAATCGCTGACAGCCAGCCTGGCATCGGCGAAATCCCGGCAGCAGCAGCAGGTGGCGGCGGCAGAGGCGATGCGCGCGCAGCTGAGAGCCGCTGAGGCCACGCTGGGTGAGCGGGAGGAGGCGCTCAGAAGGGCGCAGGCGGAGAGCGCGCAGGAGAAGACGACGTACGCCGCCCGGCTTGAGGGCGTGAAGGTGGGTGTGGGTGCATGCACGAATGCATGAATGGTTCTATGCTCCTGCTCGTTTGTGCATGCAAGTCAAGACAAGGCACCCACCCACCCACCCACCCACCCACTCCATTTCTTGACTTGACTTGACAAGAGAAGTGCAAGACAAGGCACATTTCTTCGGAAGAAGGAGAGCCTCTGGCCACAACCGTATCACTCGATGCAGGTGCTGTTATTAGTAAACAGGTGGGCTGCGGAGGTCTGATGTCCATCAACTTGGATGTTATTAAGACGGCGAAACAAACTCCATGAGATGAAAGTGGGAAGCCTGGTTTAAGCTTGTATGCTAGATCGTATTTTAGTAAGCCAGTTTGAACGAAAACGGAATCTTAAAATCAGAACTTGAGTAAACTAGTTTAGGCTCTTGCGAGCCTTCATCAGTACAAACAAGCCTGAGAATAAGAGACGGTAATGAACAAACTAGCTGAAATACTCTACGATCAGGCTGAGCTAACCAGGCAGATGGATGAAGATGTCGAGGCGGAAATGGAGTGAGATCTCGAGGTGAGTCCAGGACTCTGACCCAAATCTTCGGAACTCTGTTGGGATGTTCGCGAAAGTTGGTAACCAGGGCCGAGAAGTCGAAAAGGTGGTAACACCACCTTTGTCGCTCGGAAAAGTTCAAGCTGCTGCGACAGGTTGGAGCCTCGATTGAATCAGTCTTCGTTTTAAACGGGAAGGCAGCTTCCACGCTAGCAGAAATCTACAGGAACCAGAAAGAATGAAGCCACGTGAAAAAAAGAGTGTTTTGAGACGTCTCAAAACACTCCTTTTTTCACGTTGTGGCCAGAGGCTCTCCTTCTTCCGACGACGATTCATCCGACTCAGAGGCCTTTCAAGAGGCCTCCTGCTTTTTCGTCTTTCGCGCTACCAAGCGTCAGCGAGAGGAATCTGACAATTCCCTTCAGCTGGAAAACGGAAAGCTTGAGTTTACTCCAATTCCATATCGAACCGCTCATCCCAAGACATTACGCCGACAAGCATTTAAAACACCAAGAATAATAGCTTCCGCGTCACCGGCAATGGCTACTAACGCAGACGATGCAGGTGTCAATGTGATCGAGGGAGTTAACATCTCCCAACATACGCTTGAAGCGGATTTTTCGCCAGAAGGAAACAGACAAGATGCAGGTCCTATGCTTCAAGATCAAGGACTCTGTTTTGGAAATGATCTATGTCCAACTCCTTTTAAAAAATGGCAACAAGAAGCTATTTCGAAAGCTATCAAGTCCTATGCTACATATCTCAGCCTCAAGCAACAGGTCGCTAAAATGAAGTTAATTGACGGCAGGAAGGAGTTGCTGCACAGCATCAGAACCAAAGCCGTTCAGTTTCAGACCACCAATGAGGCTATTAAGAAGGCCGCTGATGATAAGATCTCCTCTCTGCACAATGATGCTCTTCTAGAGCAACAAAGTCTTCATTGAAGCCAAGGAGGAGTTAATGACTACCGCTTTTAATGAGGCCAATGGTGCTGTTTCTCTTCTGGATGGATTAATTTCCAGTTATATTAACGGCATTAAAGCTATGGAAGAAGATTCCAGACGAAATAAAGCTATCGAAGTCATGGAATTCTTCAGAGGGAAGCTCATCCAAGAAGCTATTGCCGCTGTCGAGATTCAGCAGACCAAGGCATTCATGGAATTTCATGAGAATCAGCGACTCAAGAATGAAGCAGAGATGGTTAAGAAGGCAGCTCAAGAACAACTTCAGAATATGGAGACATAGCCTAGCATGAGGGAAGTTGCTAAGGATGTTGTTGACTCCAAACTTTCCGCAGTGCTTAAACGGCTTGAAAAACTTGAGTTGCAGAATCAGTCATCAGCTAAAGGGAAGCAGCCACAGCAGCAGCAACAGCAGCAGCAGCAACAGCAGCAGCAGCAACAGCAGCAGCAGCAACAGCCGCAGGGACAGCAGCAGAAGAAGCAGCAGACCCAGCAGCAACAGCAGCCGCAGCAGCAACCTCAAGCACCTGCTACAACAGAGGACAAAGGGGAAAAGAAGAAGAAGAAACGGTGGTACAAACCAAAAAACGGAGGAGGCCCCGCAAGGGGCCAGCGCAGCTAACAAGCAAGGAGTTAGCACTCCGCTGATTTGGGCGATTGACCGAGTCTCAGGCTAAGACCCGGATCATCAACCACGGAGTGTTTAATTTGAGCTCCCACTGTCTGACACCTGCTGAACGAAGTGTTCTAGGGCTGGGGCTCAAGTTTGTCTTATCTCATGCGCAGCCGTTTTCTCCTTCTGAAATCTTTAACGATTTTTCCAATCTGTTCAGGTCTATAAAGCTACAGGAATTCTTTAAAGGAACAGGACGTACTGACAGTCGTTTTCGAGTTAGTAATCCCGGTTGGATGCCTGAAGAGGATGAGAAGCTGGAAGCAGTTTTCGAAGAAACCAGAAAGGATTTATCCTGCCTGCTATCTCAGACACCTATCCGTAAAGGGCCTTACCTTCCTAAGGGGTATTATAAAGCCATTCGCGGACTCGCCTCCAATTCAAACCTCATCATCAAGCAAGCCGACAAGAACATGGGGATTACCTTGATGGACCGTACGGCCTACATTCAAGAGTGCCTAAATCATCTCCTGGACAGAAGCACTTACATTGAAATTGACACAGCTGCAGCAGATTTTGAAGATCCACGGTCTTCGATTTTTGCTAAGTTGGTTGATATCCGTGCTAACCTTGGACCTTTACTCCCTGGATACTTGTGGACTTATTTTGCTCACCCTCCGACAAACGGCTGGAAGCCGGCCATCTTCTATGTCATCATGAAAGTGCACAAGAAGATCCCTGTCGGACGACCGATAGCAGCTTCCCATTCCTGGGTTACCGCGAACGTCAGTCGCTGGTTAGACTCTGCACTCCGCCCGGTAGTTCTCCAACAACCGACATACCTGAGAGACTCACTGTCGCTGCTTCTTCACCTGGAAAAAACGCCTATGCCGAGGAAGTTACTACTCGCCACGTACGATGTCCAAGCACTCTATCCTTCTATTCCGCTACGAGAAGGAGTCGACGTAGTCCGTTCCTTTCTGGAGCGAGATCCGCTTCGTTTCCCTAATGCACCAGTCATCGTGGCTTTGTTGGAATGGGTGATGTTTAACTCTTACGTGGATTTCGATGGTAGGATATTTCGGCAGATCCAGGGGACCGCGATGGGAACCTCAGTCGCAGTTTGCTTCGCCATCCTCTACATGAGTCGGTTGGACGAAACACTCCGCGCTCGCATGGGTCCAAACGTCCCTCTTCTCCATCTCCGCTACATTGATGATGGTTTCATCTGCTGGGAGGGGAGTCAAGAAGGATTAGAGGATTTCTTAGCAGCCTTCAATTCGCTCCGACCTACAATCAAGCTTACATGGACGATTTCCGAGACTTCAGTTGATTTCCTGGATTTAGTCATCCATAGAGGACAGCGTTTCAACTGCTCAGGTCTACTGGACATCTCTACATTCCAGAAACCCAACAACACGTACCTCTACCTTCCATTCTCATCATTCCATCCACGGCACTGTAAGGAAGGTTTTATCCGCTCCGAGCTAAAACGCTATCTGCTCAGAAGCTCCAGTTTCGACGATTTCTGCAGCATGAAGCGGGCTTTTTTCAAAAGGCTACGCTCCAGGGGATATCCGCATCATTTCCTGCTACCTCTCTTTACGGCCATCACTTTCAGTCAACGCGATGAACTCTTACTACAAGCTCTACGACGACAGCAGCTTCGATCTACTACGCGACCAGAATTGAGACCTCACGGACCCTTGGTGCTTAAGACTAATTATACTCCTTACAGTAAAAGTCTACCCCTTGGGTTCGTTTTGAGACGTCTCAAAACACTCCTTTTTTCACGTGGCTTCATTCTTTCTGGTTCCTGTAGATTTCTGCTAGCGTGGAAGCTGCCTTCCCGTTTAAAACGAAGACTGATTCAATCGAGGCTCCAACCTGTCGCAGCAGCTTGAACTTTTCCGAGCGACAAAGGTGGTGTTACCACCTTTTCGACTTCTCGGCCCTGGTTACCAACTTTCGCGAACATCCCAACAGAGTTCCGAAGATTTGGGTCAGAGTCCTGGACTCACCTCGAGATCTCACTCCATTTCCGCCTCGACATCTTCATCCATCTGCCTGGTTAGCTCAGCCTGATCGTAGAGTATTTCAGCTAGTTTGTTCATTACCGTCTCTTATTCTCAGGCTTGTTTGTACTGATGAAGGCTCGCAAGAGCCGAAACTAGTTTACTCAAGTTCTGATTTTAAGATTCCGTTTTCTTTCAAACTGGCTTACTAAAATACGATCTAGCATACAAGCTTAAACCAGGCTTCCCACTTTCATCTCATGGAGTTTGTTTCGCCGTCTTAATAACATCCAAGTTGATGGACATCAGACCTCCGCAGCCCACCTGTTTACTAATAACAGCACATTTCTTCTTCCATTTCTCTCTCCCTCATTTCACTTGTCCCTCTTTGTTCCGTGCAGAAGGAGAGAGATGAGGCATTAGCAGCGGTGGTGGTGGTGGAAGCGCGGCTGGCAGCACTGGAAGCAAAACTGCAGCAAGCAACACAGACCCAGGCTAGCCCCCACCCTCTTTCCTCCCGTTACCCTCTTTTCCCCGGTTGTCCATTGCAGAAGGAGAGGGACGAGGCACAGGCAGCAGTGGTGGTGGTGGAAGCGCGGCTGGCAGCACTGGAAGCAAAGCTGCAGCAAGCAGCACAGACCCTCCCTGCCTGACCCCTACCCTCTCCCCTCCCGTCACTCCTCATTTCCCTTGGTCCCGTGCAGAAGGAGAGGGACGAGGCACAGGCAGCAGTGGTGGTGGTGGAGGCGCGGCTGGCAGCACTGGAAGCAAAGCTGCAGCAAGCAGCACAGACCCGCACGGAGATCTTCAAGAACAACGCCGAGCTCAAAGCCAGACTGGAGTCTGTCTTGCAGCAAAACCGCGACCTTGCCACCCAGGCCGCCCGGATGGAGGAGAGCGGGCGGCAGGTTTCGGCGGTATTCGAGCAGCGGGAGGGTGCGCTGGTGCAGCAGATCCGGAACCGGGAGGCTGAGTTGGCGGCGCAGAAGAACCGGGCGGCTGCTGAGCTGGCAGGGGTGGAATCCAGGCTGGAAGGGGAACTTAGGAAGGCTGAGGAGGAGAAGCAGAAATACATGCAGGCTTGTGATTGGCTGGAGAAGCAGCTTGCTTCTCTCAAGGCCGAGAATGAGACGACGATCGCCGACCTTCGCTCGTCTCTGGCTTTTGCCGAGCAACGGGCCAAGGAGGAGGGTGCCAAGGTGGTTCAGCTGCGCGCTGAGCTGGACAAGCAGATGAAAGACGCCGACCGGCACAAAGCGGCGCTGAAGAAGAAGGTGGCTGAGCTGGAGGGCAAGCTGGGATCCAGCCAATCACAGCTCTCCATTGCCGAGAAGGCTCTTGCCACTGCCACGGCTGCAGCCAATCGCGTGAAGTCAGCTGGACTGGCGGGACTGGTGGTGCCGGCTGTAGCGCCTAGTAAGGGGGCAGCTGTAGCAGGAGCAGGAGCAATGGCAGGCAAAGCAGTGACAGAAAAGGAGCAAGGGAGGAAGAGTGGGAAGGCTGTAGTGGTGAGCAAGAAGCAGCAGGAGGAGAAGGAGAGGGAGCAGGAGAGGGCGGGGAGGATGAGGGAGGGCGATCTAAAGGTGTATGCACGGGCCATCTTCCCTGCATATGTGGATGTGAGGGGACCGGCCCTGGAACAGACACGAGGAGTCAACGCTCTCGTGCTGGTATGCCCACTCCCTTGGTGCTGGTATGCTGCATGTTTCCGTCCTTCCTTCCCACATATGTGGATGTGAGGGGACCGGCCCTGGAACAGACATGAGGAGTCAACGCTCTCGTGCTGGTACGTGCACTCGCTGGGCACTCTATCATCATGTTGCTATCCTCACTCACTGCCCATTCATCCTCCCCACTGTATGACCCTCATAGGCACTCTCTCTCTTTCTCAGACGGTCCATTGTATTGATTCAGCAGGGGTACAGACATGCAGTTTGATCTGTGATACCCTTGGTCCCTTTCTCCAGTCATCATCCTTCCTGCAGAATTCGGCTTGCTAGTCTCCTAGTCCTTCTCTTCCTTCCTTCTCCCCATTGTCACTATTGTTTCCTTTCATCTCCGCATTCTCACCTTTCTTCTCCCTTTTTGGCTCCCCATGCGGCTCCCCATGCGGCTCCCCATGCGGCTCCCCATGCCGCTCCCCATGCTGCTCCCCATGCTGCTCCCCATGCTGCTCCCCATGCTGCTCCCCATGCTGCTCCCCATGCTGCTCCCCATGCTGCTCCCCATGCGGCTCCCCATGCTGCTCCCCATGCTGCTTTCCATTCTCACCACAGGACATGGTGAGCAAGGGAGCGGAGGAACAGTGGGCGAGGAAGCATGTGACAGAGTCTCTTCTCAAACCCGCCCTGGCTGCTGCTGATGCTGCCGCTGCTGCAAAGTCAAGCGCTGCTGCTGGCGCCACCAAGTCAGGCAAGAAGGTGAGCAAGCAGGCAAGAAGGTGAGCACGCAGGCAAGAAGGTGAGCAAGCAGGCAAGAAGGTGAGCAAGCAGGCAAGAAGGTGAGCAACAGGCAAGAAGGTGAGCAAGCAGGCAAGAAGGTGAGCAAGCAGGCAAGAAGGTGAGCAAGCAGGCAAGAAGGTGAGCAAGCAGGCAAGAAGGTGAGAAACAGGCAAGAAGGTGAGCAAGCAGGCAAGAAGGTGAGCAAGCAGGCAAGAAGGTGAGCAACAGGCAAGAAGGTGAGCAAGCAGGCAAGAAGGTGAGCAAGCAGGCAAGAAGGTGAGCAAGCAGGCAAGAAGGTGAGCAAGCAGGCAAGAAGGTGAGCAAGCAGGCAAGAAGGTGAGCAAGCAGGCGCTTCAGATGCGTCCACCATTCAGTGCATTAATGCGTCCAGTCTTGTCCTCCCTTCCTCCTCCTCCTCCTCCTCCTCCTCCTCCTCCTCCTCCTCCTCCTCCTCCTCCTCCTCCTCCTCCTCCTCCTCCTCCTCCTCCTCCTCCTCCTCCTCCTCCGTTCCTCCCTTCTGACCTTGGAGGCGCCTCAAAAGGGACTTCATCCACTCTGGCCCCCTCTCTTCCTCCTGGTTTTGAGTCGCCTCAAAACTTCCTCCCTAGTTTTGAGTCGCCTCAGAAGTAACGTCATCCACTCGAGCCCCCTCTCTTCCTCCTGCCCTTCCTTCTTCATCCTCTTGCTCTCGCTTGCACAGGTGAGCAAGGAGGCACTACAGTCGTATGCGAGGGCCATCCAGCACGCGTACATCGACGATTCCATCCCCGTGAAGGAGCAGCAGGCGGGCATGCAGCTGCTCGTGCAGGTGAGCAGTGGGAGGGGGTGGGGTGGGGGGCTGAGTGCAGGCAGTGGTGGGGAGGAGGGGCTTTCAGCAAGCATTCATCCCGGCGAAGGAGCAGCAGGCCGGCATGCAGCTGCTCGTGCAGGTGAGCAGGGGGGGCGGGTGGTGGAAGAGATGTGATTTCAGCAGAAGGGTGATTGTAGTGGGAGGGGTGGGACGGTTGTTGGGGAAAGGACCATCCAGCACGCGTACATTGATGATTCCATCCCTGTGAAGGAGCAGCAGGCGGGCATGCAGCTGCTCGTGCAGGTGAGCATAGGGTGGAGAAACACTTGCGGGGCTAGCTGCAACCACGAATCTCTGGTTTGGACTCGGTGCAGTGTGATGCAGTGCGGTACGGCGTGTTGCGCTGCGTTGCGATCGGTGCAAATCATCCTCCCTCGTGTGTGATGTGTGTGTGTGTGGATGGCACGGCTTGGCATGGTGTGTGCAACACGGTATGGCACACACACATTCCCGCATGCACGCACACTCGCACACACACATGCACACACTCACGCACACGCACTCACATGTGCACAGGAGTTGGTGGCGATGGGAGGAGAGGAGGAGTGGGCTCGCAGCTTCGTGCATGACTCCATGGCCGCCACACCTGCCAGCCCACGCAAGTGAACCATGGCCAAGAGGGATACACCTCGAAGCAGGATGCACCTCAAAGGGGGTTCCACCCTGCAAGGGTGGTGCAGCAGTGAATGATTTCGTCTTTCTGAGGTCCACGGCAGTCTTGTTTATCGATGCAGCTTCGAATCATCGGCTCGTGACGCGCCTTAGAGGGGGACACGTTTTCAAGTGAACGACTCTTGGGGCGCGGTCAGCAAGTGAACGAGAGACTCTGACGCAGCACAACTGTTTGATTTGGAACCAGGTCGAATGCTGGGGATGGTGCGATGGCTGAGTGGGTGCAATGCAATGCAGTCCTTGTATGCTGGAGTGTGGCAGGGCATGGCAGGGCAGGACATGGCAAAATATGTCAGGGCATGGCAAGGGCATGGCAGGGCAGGACATGGCAAGACGTGGCAAGGCATGCTTGCGTTGGTGTGTTCTGTTGTGTCATCATGCATCGAGCATGCAGACTCTTGCAAACTCCAGCTGCGAGCCTGCTGGGTGGGTTTGCTTTGAAACACGGTTTTTGGCTGGAAGGGTGTGTTGATACTGTCTGTACTGCAAGATTTTCTAATTTATGCGATGAGTGGCTTGTGTGTGCGAGCATCTAAGGAACATGATCCGAACACCCATGAGAGTGTGTTCCTACGACCTCATATCAAGGCAACCTCGTATTCACGTCGAACCGCACTAAAACGCATCCAACCGCAGTCGAACCCACTTAAACGTATTTCACCACGCGAAGCTGATACGAGGTGTAGGAACACGCTCTGAGAGTGGGTGGTGAGGTGAGAGATGGGTCGATTTAGTGCTGTACATTTCACAAGCTGCATGAGTTCTTCCAGCTTTGTTCCAGTTCTTCCAGCCAGAAGCTCCCTCGCGTTCCAGTACTTCCAGCCGCAATGCACTCTTGATTCTGTCACACCCTCGCGTACCCAAACTCCTGCACGCTCATTTCCACTGGATTTTCTCGAACAGCACTTTCCAGTTCTCCCCAAAAACACAATCACGATGGCATGATACCGCATTGTGTTACAGTTGTAGACTGCTTTGCGCAGCTCCCTAGCTTTCTGGTGCCCCTTCTTCCTACCTTTGACTCACAGCCCTAGTGTTATTCTAGTCCTCGCTGTGTATAACACGACTCGCGAGTCGTCGTGCTCGTGCCTGGCTTTTCTGATGCCTCGCTTCACCTCACTTCCCCTACAGCCACACCACACCATACGACACCTCGCAGCACCGCATCTTGCCTCCTCGTACCACACCTCACTCCCTCTTCTCCACCAGAAACAGCCCCCAAGCCTGGTCCTCGTTCCTCACTCGCTTCATCTTGGCCGTCCATCCCGCCAGCAGCTGCTCATCCTGATGGTCAGTTCATGGCATTGTGTTCAGCGTCAAGGCGGTTCAGAAGGGACAGGTGACGACAGGAGATACGGTAACACGTTGAGATTGAGGGAGTATACATTGGGAAGACGAAGCCAAGTGCTAGCAGATCCTGTTTTCGAGTCGACTCAAAACATGTTTCGCTGGAACATGTCTCAGGATCTGCTAACTAATACATTGGGAAGACGAAGCCAAGAGAGACGAGGCCGAGGAGATATTTCCCCGAACAAAGTGCGGGACGGCCCAGATTCCAGCTACAGCAATGCACGTGAAGAGCATCTTTTGCGGTGTGTCGACTCGGGGACACCTAAAGCCGAGTTTTGAGTCGACTCAAAGCACGTCAGCTCGGAGATAAAGGCGATGGATGGAAACGAATGCGAGGTGAGTGGAAGGGGGTAAAAAGAAACGCACCGATGCTGACGTCTGTGCGCTGCTGGTGTCTGAGAGCAGGCGAGCCTTCTCCTCCTCCAGGATACCAAGGAACTGAGCAGCGGTGGGCGTTAGGGGCGAAGGGGGCCATGATGACAGGTGGGGAAGGGGTGAGAAGAGGTGCAAGGGGAGGAAGGGAGGCGAGATGATGATCGATGTGCGCTGCTGGAGTCAGAGAGCAGACGAGCCTTCTCCTCCTCCAGGATACCAAGGAACTGAGCAGCGGTGGGCGTTAGGGGCAATAGGGCCAATCATGGAAGGTGGGAAGGGGTGTATGGGAAGGGAGGGAGGAGGGGCGATGATGGGAGGGAGGAGCGGCCATCATCGCCCGATGGTGTCAGAGAGAGACCGAGCCTTTCCCCCCTCCAGGATCCCACAGAATTGAGCGGAGGTGGCCACCGGGGAGGAGCAAGGGGAGCAAAGGGGGGGAGATGGGGATGGGGTGAGGGGGAGGAAAAGGGAACGGTGGGGGAGGGATGTGGGATAGGGTGGTTGATGGTTGCGCAACCATTGCCACATGTGATGATGATGATGGTGGTGGTAGAGTAGTGTTCAGCGTGAAGGGGGTTTGGAAGGGACAGGTGACGGTGGTGGTAGAGTAGTGTTAGTGTCTGACAAGTAGATCATATATGCTCGTGTTCTACCTTCATTTTTTTTCTCAAAATTATGCGCAATGGAATCCGGTAAAAAAGAGCGGTAGTGAAGCAGCATGCGCAGGAAACATGTGAAACAGCATGGGATTTCATGCTGCATCCCACCTGCTGTGATCGGTCTTCCGCCTTGAGCACGTGGAATCCAGCTGCCTGGAGCATCTGCCAGGGCATGGGGGCAGACGAGCATGCAAAGTCATTTGTTTTCTTTCTGACATGCCGCTCTCTGCACAGCATGCATGGGTGTGTCTCTGCATGGGAAGAACACGCCTTTGTCTGATCAATCAAGCTTTTGAAGCGCCTCAAAAGGTGTCACTACATGGGAAGAACGCGCCTTTGTCTGATCAGTCAAGCTCACCTCACTGTAGCGCCTGACAGTGACCAGGTGGTAACCGCGTTGTGCCACGTAACCCCCGAACTCCTCCGACCACTCCTCGGGCTTGTCCTTTCCGCTACAGTAGTCCGTGATCATTACTCTGCCGCCCGGTTTCAGCCAGCGGTGGAATCTGGCGAACAGAAATGGTTTGTCCTGTTGTGGGGTATGGTGTAGGTGGCATGTATTGAGACATGGTGTGGGAGACATGTAGTGGGACACCATAGCTTGGATAGACAGCAAGCATAGAAACACACCGGTGTGCAATTGTCGGATGACTCAAAGTCTCTATTTGGCTCAAATTCTATAGTAAACTCAAAACTTTCTGTCGACTCAAATATGAGATGAATGGCTAAAGCTCCATGACCCCGGCTTGCCTGGATGTGCAGCAGGGTGTCGCGGGTGTAGATGCAGTCAAAGGAAGCATCTGGGAAGTCTCTGGTCAGGCAGTCAGCCACTTCAAACTGCAACACGGGCACGGATGCTGACGTGGATGTCGGTGCTGACGTGGCATCTGCAGTGCGAATGCTGCGGGATCTCTCAATGGCAAGAGAGATCTGGTAGAGCGGGTGGGAGAAAAGATGGTGGAGACGGTGTATCTTGGGATAGAGAGAAGTGGTGGGGGGGGGAAGGGGGGGAGGGACTGTGGTGGGGAGGGGTTGGTGGGGTTAAGAGCAATGTGGAAAGAACACTGGGATTGGCCAGGGGATCGGCCAAAAGGGCTACAAACAAAAAATCATGTTTGTGTGATGGGTCAGCACAACCACGGCCCAAGCAATTCTGGTTGTAGCCCTTTCGGCCGAACCCGAGGCCAATCCCAGAGTTCTTTCCACAATCACAGCCTTTTTGAACTGTGAAGGGAGAATGAAGAAGAATAGACCGTACTGTGTGGGCTTCGTAACAGATGTGTGGGTAGATTAGGGTGTGTTTGTGTGTGCGCATGTGTATGTGCGCATGCATTGGATGTGTGAACCAAAGTACCATGGTGGGAGAGAGGTCGATGGCATGCACGCTAGCGCCATACGTCTCAGCCATGAGCAGCACACTGCCCCCCAGCCCACATCCCACATGCTGGTTGTATGTGTATGTGTATGTGTATGTGTATGTGTATGTGTATGTGTGGATGTGAAAGGCGGAGTACCATGGTAGGAGAGAGGTCGAGGGCATGCACGCTAGCGCCATACGTCTCAGCCATGAGCAGCGCGCTGCCCCCCAGCCCACACCCCACATCCAGCACGCGATGCTTGGGGGAGAGCGAGAGGAGCGGCAGGAGAGCGAGTGTTGACTCTGGGATGAGTGGCAGGGAGGTGGGGTCGGGAGGGTGTGATAGCGGGGGAAGTGAGTCTATTTTTGAGGGGTCCCAGCCATGAGCAGAGCGCTCCCATCCAGCCCACACTCCACATCCAGCACCCGGTGCTTGGGGGACAGTGAGAGCAGCGGCAGGAGAGCGAGCGTCGATGCTGGAGGGGTGGCAGGGAGGTGGGGTCAGGAGGTTGTGAGCGTGGGGAAAGTGGCGCTTAATTTTCAGGCGCCTCAAAAGCAGCGCACTGCCCTACTGCCTACACCCCACGGCCAGCACATGGTGCTTGTGGGACAGCGAGAGGAGCAGGAGAAGAGCACGCGTAGATTCTGGGAGGAGTGGCAGGGAGATGGGGTGAGTAGGGTGTGAGAGTGAAGGGGAAGTGAAGGGAATTCAGAGTGAGGAGGAAGAGTGTATCACTGATGGGATGAGACTCAATGAGAGAGATATTGGCCGAATGACTGTTACACCGTGCAGTTGACTCCTGTTGACTCCCATTGACCCCCATTGACCCCAACACATTGCCTCACCTCGACCACCAGTGCTGACGAAGCCACGCCCGTAGATGTGCTCGTAGCGCAGCAGAATTCCCTCCAGGCTGTACTGCTGTGCCTCCTTGACTCTCGTTGACCCCCATTGACTCCTGTTGACTCCCATTGACTCACCTCGACCACCAGTGCTGACGAAGCCACGTCCGTAGATGTGCTCGTAGCGCAGAATGCCCTCCAGGCTGTACTGCTGCTTCTCGCTCTCCTCTCTCTCCTTGTTTGCCTCCTTCCCTTCGCTTTTCTCGCTCTCCTTTCTCCCTCCCCCCTCCTGTGTTCCCTTGTGCTCCAGCCTCTTGCTCTGTGCGGTGTCCTGCACCTTCTGCCACACCCAGCACACCTGCGTCTGGCACCCTTTCACGCGAGAGTATGCTGCTACGCTCCTCATCTCCCGCAGCCTGAACCTCCACTCCCCTCCATGCTCCTGCTCCGCATACTGCTGCTGCTGCTGCTGCTGCTGCTGCTGCTGCTGCTGCTGCTGCTGCTGCTGCTGCTGCTGCTGCTGCTGCTGCTGCTGCTGCTGCTGCTGCTGCTGCTGCTGCTGCTGCTGCTGCTGCTGCTGCTGCTGCTGCTGCTGCTGCTGCTGCTGCTGCTGCTGCTGCTGCTGCTGCTGCTGCTGCTGCTGCTGCTGCTGCTGCTGCTGCTGCTGCTGCTGCTGCTGCTGCTGCTGCTGCTGCTGCTGCTGCTGCTGCTGCTGCTGCTGCTGCTGCTGCTGCTGCTGCTGCTGCTGCTGCTGCTGCTGCTGCTGCTGCTGCTGCTGCTGCTGCTGCTGCTGCTGCTGCTGCTGCTGCTGCTGCTGCTGCTGCTGCTGCTGCTGCTGCTGCTGCTGCTGCTGCTGCTGCTGCTGCTGCTGCTGCTGCTGCTGCTGCTGCTGCTGCTGCTGCTGCTGCTGCTGCTGCTGCTGCTGCTGCTGCTGCTGCTGCTGCTGCTGCTGCTGCTGCTGCTGCTGCTGCTGCTGCTGCTGCTGCTGCTGCTGCTGCTGCTGCTGCTGCTGCTGCTGCTGCTGCTGCTGCTGCTGCTGCTGCTGCTGCTGCTGCTGCTGCTGCTGCTGCTGCTGCTGCTGCTGCTGCTGCTGCTGCTGCTGCTGCTGCTGGCTCTGGATCTGGTGGACTGAACGATGAGCTTCAGCGAAGGCCTGGAGTGTGAGAAGAATAGTGGGGAGGAGGCGTTGTGTCATCAAGTGTGATGATCCATGTGTGATAGAGCGGATATGATGAGGTTAGGCTAATCAGAAACACTCAGCAGGGGAAGAATGTGGAATTGCCAACGGATTGAGGCGTCTTAAAGCCCATCTGGAAGTAGAAGAGCAGGTGGCGGTAGTGGTTTCGAGACAGGGAGGAGTGATAGTTTCAGCGTCAAGACTCAAAAGCCTTAAAGCCCACCTGGCAGTAGAAGAGCGGGTGGCGGTAGTGGGTGGGGTTGGAGCGGCGCTGCTGGCTGCCAGACTGCTCCAGGCACGACTCGCGGAAAAAGAAGAGGCCTCCAGGGGGCAGGGCACGGAGCAGAACCCTCGCCAATGCGTGCACCTGAGGGTGGTTGGTCAGAGAAGGAAGAAGGGGAAGGAGGGTGAGGAGGAGGTCAGAGGAGGGTGGAAAGAGGAGCAAAAGAGAGAGGATGGTGGAAAGCCAATGGAGGTGAGCGAGTCAAGGAAGTCACGTACCTCAGAGTCCGAGAGATACATGAGCAGCCAATTGGAGAACACCAGGTCAGGCGCCAGCCGCGTGAGCAGGGCGCCTGACGTGGCGTCTGCCACGTCAGCACAGACGAAGTCCACGTTGGGGTGCTGACATGCATGCGCTTGCACGTTCTGTGAGTGAATGGGTGGGGGGATGGGGGTTGGGTGTAAGCTCAAAACCAGCCAATGCAGTCCACGTAGTCTATGCAGTCAATGCAGCAGTTCATGCAGCCATTGCGGTCAACGCAATTTCTGCAGTCAATTTCATCAGCAGAGTCAACGCAATCAATCCAGTTAACACAGTCAACCCAGTGAACGCAGTCCATTCAGTCAACGCAGGCAGTCAACGTAGTCAACGCATCACCCTGCGTAAAAAATCCAGGAGGGTCACCCTGCCTGCCAAGAGCCAATGCAAAGCATCCGAGACTAACCGCAGCAAGGGCGTGCGGCAGGAAGTCAAGTGCAGTGAGCCACGTGGCCCTGCATGCCAGGTCAGCAGTGAAGCGGCCAATACCTGCGCCCAGCTCCACCACCACCTTGGGTCGCTCCATTGGCGGTTGTGTGACACCATCGATGATACTCAGTATCTGTGGAGGAAGAGGCAGGATACAGGGCAGAAAGGTTAGGACACTAGGGGCAAGAGCATTCATGAGTCAAGGGAGTCAAGCAAGTCGAAGCTCACCTCGGGGCGTTCAAGGGAGTCAAGCAAGTCAGCCTGAGCATCCAGCATCATGGACGTGACCGACATGACAGCTGGCTCCTTCCCTCTGTCACCCTGGTCAACCAAGTCAAGGCAGTCAACGGAGTCAACGTGGTCACAGTGACCATTCCTATCAGCAGATGCGCCTTCCCCAGCCGTTGGTGCCATCGCCACGCCATTGCCATTCATGCGCTCGCCGTTTTCTGCGGCCTTAGAGCCTGTCATTCTAGGGCCAGTCTTGGTAATTTTGGTCAAGATGGGCACAGGATCCTGAGATTTGATCTTGGCCATCAGATTGTGGCCGTTAGTGGCAGTGTGCTGGGGAGACACATTCTCCACCGTTGGGTTGTCATTGATTGTAGCGCCATCTCCATTTCCAACGCTGATCTCCCGCCAGTATTGCGCCTGCGTGATTCGCTCCACTGAACAGCAGGAAACAATCCGGTAGAGGAAGAAAGGAAACTGATACGTGTCATTAAACAGCGGAAGCTACTTCATTGAACACGTGACAGTTATGGAAGAAATGAATACGGGGCTGGTGAACTATCACCCTTGAACTGGAGATCAGTTATTTCAAAATATATCGTGAAGGGTGAGATATAATTATCTCAAAGTAGATGTAAGCCATCATTAAAGTGGAGTACGGGAAAAACAGGGGTTGCACACTCAATTTGTGAGACATACTCGGAAGAAAAACAACTGATGAAATGATTCCTCCGCTTCAGAGTGGATTGGGACGAAAGGATCCCTTCCTGAATGGCAAGATAAAATTCTGCTCTGTGCATTCCAAGCTATTTGACTCAGATATCACGAAATGCAATTTGGTGAGTATAGTTGAAAAGATGCGTCGTGATGCAATCAGCGTGATTACCAATGCACGAGGTTTCAGCTATAGGCGTTGGCTGACGCCATTCCAGCAGCTGCAGCAGCTGCTGCTGCTGGTGCTAGCAGTGTGCTGGCAATGCCTTTTTGTGGGGTGGTGATTTTCTTGTGACAGGCAGTCAGGCAGGAAGGGCGTTGCTTTTCAGGCTTCAATCTCGCACTTCTCAATTCAATGTTGTGACATTCGCGATTCGTGCGAGTTCGCGGTTCGGAAATTCCAACAACAGCAAACAGCCAGTGGATGAAAAACACCTGTACGATTCCGTTATTAGCTCCATCGACATCATGAGAGAGTTCTCACAGCAGTGATTGAACATAGAACGAAACACCCGTCTGTTCCCGATTTCTCTAACTCAGCAGATTCTCCCGCCGCGGAACCCCAAAATCTCGCGTTTTGTCCAGACTTTTAGGAGTCTTCGTCCCACGTGGCAGGCTTTCTCGTGCCAGAACCAGACTGGCACCCAATCTACGGTGAGCACATTCCCAACTCCCCGCGGTGTGTCCTACGTGGAACTGCTATTCTCGATGTATTCTGGAATAAGTACAGTGAATACCAGAAACTGTACAGCTAACCTGTAACACATACTGTACCCGTAAAAAAACAGTTCTGACAGTCTGGCATCCTTCTCATCGCTCTCTAGAAAGAGGAACATCTGGCCATAGGTTTCTCATTTTCTGCATCACAGGGATCTCCATTGATCCGTTTCCGCTTCTTCAGTTCTAGGCCATCTCCGCGCCTTTCCTCCTTCCTAATCGCTTCCCATACCACCGCTTCATCTTCTCGTCCCTTCCACCCGCTTCGCCTCATCACATCCTCCCTCTACACTCCATCCCTGCTAAAATGGCCTTCCTGAAGAATGCGATTCCTCTTGCTCGCCGAGCCCTGTCGTCCGCAGCAGGCTCGGCACAGCCTCGGAAGGTGGCGGTTCTGGGCGCTGGCGGCGGCATTGGGCAGCCTCTGAGTCTTCTGATGAAGTCGAGCCCGCTTGTAACGGATCTGTCGCTGTACGATGTTGCGGGTACTCACGGAGTTGCTGCTGACATCAGCCACATCTGCTCCAACGCCAAGGTAAGGCTGAAAGATCGGTAGAAGATACATCAGTAGACAGATCGACCTGCGAGGTTTTACCTTATCCTACTGGTCAAAGCAACTTCTTTTTATCCATATGATTCCCCTGCGATTCGACTTGTATTTCATGTACCCGATGGTACAAGATTAGACCGTTTCTCTGATTAGTTCACGCCTTAGCAGATACAATCAAACTTATTACTCGTTGTCCTCGTTATATTGAAACCCGATAAACAGGCGAAGGGCTATCTCGGCTCGGACGAGCTTGCCGGAGCTCTGGAGGGCAGCGATCTGGTGCTGATCCCCGCTGGCGTGCCACGTAAGCCGGGCATGACCCGGCAAGATCTGTTCAACATCAACGCGGGCATCGTGAAGGGTCTGTGCGAAGCCATCTCCAAGCACTGCCCCACGGTAAGATCTAGGTGTGCTTGAAATCGCATCACGGTAAGATCTAGGCAGGATTCGGGCCACTCGGATAGTGAGGCGGCATCGTGAAGGGCCTGTGCGAAGCCATCTCTAAGCACTGCCCCACGGTAAGATCTAGGTGTGCTTGAAATCTCATCACGGTAGGATCTAGGCAGGATTCGGGCCACTCGGATAGTGAGACGGCATCGTGAAGGGCCTGTGCGAAGCCATCTCCAAGCACTGCCCCATCTCCAAGATCTAGGTGGTGGTTTTAGTCGCAAAGACGCTTGGTAAATAAGTCGCATCAAAGTTCAATCAGTACGTTGCATAAATTTGGTAGGATTTAGAGGTGATTAACGCTCGATAAGATTTAAGCCACTGCTCCAAGCATTGCTCCACGGTATAACCTAGGTGCAATTGAGCCACCGTAGAACTCGGAAATGTCGTTCGGGTGAGTCAGTAGTAAGGCAGCATCGCCTAAAGCCTGTGCGTAGCCATCTGCAAGGCTGTGCGTGCCGGGTGCGCGGGAGCTGTTTAAGAATGCCGGCAGTGCCACACCCACCATTACCACATCTACTCATTGCACTGTAACCCGTGGCATTGTTCCTTTGCTCCGTTCCAGGCGGCGGTGGGCATGATCAGCAACCCCGTGAACTCGACCGTGCCCATCGCGGCGGAGGTGTTCGCCAAGGCCGGCACGTACGACCCCAAGAAGCTGTTCGGCATCACCACTCTCGACATCGTGCGCGCGCGCACCTTCTACGCGGAAGCCAAGGGGCTCAACGCGGAAGGTAAGAAGAATGGGGCACTGGGCTGGGAAGTTCTATCCCCAAGAAGCTCTTCGGCATCACCACGCTTGACATTGTCCGCGCGTGCACCCTTTACGCGGAATTTAAGGGGCTCAACGCGGAAGGTGAGGGGAACGAGTCAAGGAGCGGGACGCGGAAGGAAGGTGGGGAGAATGGATTAAGGGGCGGGATGCGGAAGGTGAGGGAGAACGGGTCAAGGGTCGGGACGGGGAAGTTCGGAGGAAAAGTCAAGTGGGCGGGACGCGAAAGGATGGCGGGAATGGCTCAAGGGGCGGGACGCGGAAGGTGGGGGGATGACTACTCGGGTTCTAGAGGATGTCGGTGAAGATGGAAGGGAAAAAAAGGGACAGGGGGTTGGGATTTTTTCTCGGTTGCTGCTCACTGTGCCTCTCAACTCTCCCCCTCACGAGCTCGGTGCCTCTCACCCTCACTCACTCGCCCACTGACCCCCTCGCCCACTCACTCGCCCACTGACCCCCTCGCCCACTCACTCGCTCACGTGCTCTCTTCCCTCGTGTATTCCCCTTGGCGCCGCGTGTGTGTGCGGAGCAGACGTGAGGATACCGGTGGTGGGTGGCCACACGGGCGCCACCATCGCCACTGACGCACTCACTCACTCACTCACATGCCGTCTTCCGTCTCCTGTTCTCTTTGGCTTTGTATGTACGTTTGTGTGTATGTCCGTGTGTGTGTGGATCAGACGTGAGGATACCGGTGGTGGGCGGCCACGCGGGCGCCACCATCATTCCGCTCTTCTCCCAGGCGACGCCCTTCGTGGAGCTGTCGGATGAGGAGAGGGATCAGCTCACCAAGCGCACGCAGGACGGCGGTACCGAGGTGGTGCAGGCCAAGGCGGGCAAGGGCTCCGCCACGCTGTCCATGGCGTGAGTGCCCCCTCTTGCTCTCGTGAGGTGGTGTGAGGTGGTGTGAGGTGGTGTGAGGTGGTGTGAGGAACGTGAGGTGGTGCAGGCCAAGGAGGGCAAGGGCTCCGCCACACTCTCCATGGCGTGAGTGCCTTATCTACTCGCTTCTTCACTGGCCTCCTTTTGTTGATCCAAAGCGGCTGGCATTGCGTCATCGAGTGTGCGTTCTTGTTGTGTTCATGGCAGACCCTCCCTCCTCCCTTCAAGCACCGTTCCCCTGTTCACCCCTCCATCCCTTTGCTCACCTCTCCCTTACCCACCACTCTCTCCCCTCCTCCCCCCCACCTCCAACAGGTATGCGGCGGCAGTGTTTGCTGACTCGCTCCTGAAGGCCATGAACGGCGCCCCCAACGTCGTTGAGTGCACCTATGTGGAGTCAAAGCTCACAGAGGCCCGCTTCTTTGCCTCCAAGGTAAGACATGCGTGCTGTCTTGTGCTCTCTGCTTGCGTGCACCTTCTGGGCAATTGAGTCCCCTCGCCCCCAACGTTGTTGAGTGCACGTATGTGGAGTCCACGCTCACAGACGTGCGCTTCTTTGCTTCCAAGGAATGAATCGCTGTGCTCTGTGCCACCCAATGGCTAGACTCTAGCGTCCCCGCTCGCCCCCAACGTCGTAGAGTGTATCTATGTGGCGCGCTTCTTTGTCTCCAAGGTATGAACCACGTGCTGTCTTCTGCCCTCTGCCTGTGTGCACTCACTCAACTTGAGCTTCTACCCTCCCATAATTAGGTTTTGTGACTGATGCAGCTTCGAACTCTTATCTACCCTTTTCCCTCTCTGCCCAATGTACTCCCCGGCCCTCTTCCCTGTGTGCTCCTCTGCAGGTGCGTCTGGGCCCCAGTGGCGCGGAGGAGATTCTTCCCCTGGGTGACCTGATCCCATATGAGGAGAAGGCCATTCAGCGCGCCCTGCCCGAGCTCCAGGAGTCCATCCAGGCTGGTGTGGACTTTGTCAAGAACGCCTAAACAGGATACAGCTAATACAGAAACACGATGTGATGCTACAATATGAAGTGGACTTTGTAACCACTAAAAAGCTGTGGAATTCATTGATTTGGTGATATGCCTGTGTAATATGTAAGAGGCACATTCTCTCAAATGAATGCGCTCATGAAGTGGCGGTTAGCCCATGGATGTATCCCTTCCGTAAGAGTTGATTTGAAAGGGTTCGAGTTGATTTGAAAGGGTTCATTAATCTTCATTTTTTATTGCACTTAGGGCGTGTTCCTACGGCCCCTTATCAGGGCAACCTCTTATCAAGCTCGCTACTTTTCCCCCTGAAAATTCCCTAAACCCGAAAACCCTCGCTACTTTTACCAGGCAAGGCTGACAAGAGGTTTGCCTGATAAGAGCGTAGGAACACGCCCTTACTGTACTATTCACAGCGCCCAAACTAGACAGAACGGTACCAGACAAGCCAAGTGCATTTCACAGAAATCACAGAACCACGGAGGAGAGGAGACGAGGACATCCCGCGTGCACTCACATGCACTCCTCAATCTCACTCTGGAGTAAGCGTGCGGAAGCAACGTTGACAAAGGATTTGACAATCACCCCTTGTCGGAGCAGCAGCACCGTGGGCGTTTCGTCAACGCCGTTCTCCACAGCAACGGCGGGAAATTTATCGACGTCCAGCTCGTAGAATGTTACCTTTCCCGTGTCGATTTTGTTCGCGAAGTGGCTCGCGACCTCGGCGAAAATGGGCCCATATGATTCGTTTTTGTCGATACGGCTACCGTCAAAAAGAGTGACCACGATCAGACCGGGACTATGAAGAACGCGGGTGTGCCAATCACCCTCGAGCAGCGGACTCACGAGTTCTGAATTAGCGAACGCCATCAAATTCGGCTAACCAAGATGGGAAAGGTCAGGCGATGGAATTGGTGTGTGATTGGCTTCAGAAGTGCACTTGCTAGTACTGTAGAGCAATTTATGAGGCGGTGAGTGTGAGGCGAGGCCTTCTGAGTCATCTGCTTGCGTGCGCGCCCAGGAAGATGAGAGGAGGTCGGCGGTGGGTTGGGTTGGGTTCTCCAGCGAAGTGATCAATGCTGTGGCTGGGAGTCATACTGGTTCAATGCTGTGTGACGAGTAGGAGCTTCAACTTCCTCTGTTACCCCATGAGACGCCCTCAACCGCCACATCCACCATTTACGGAGGTACATTAGGACGCGGCACCTCTAGCACCGATCCTGCGATCGATCCTGCGCAGGGTCGAATGTCTTAGGGCTTCAAATGGTTTCAAAAGATTTGAATGCTTTCAGCAGGTTTTCAGTACGGTTTAATCAGCGATCCTGCGATCGATCGTGCAAAATTGCTTGAGGTGCCGCGACCTAGAATCGCGACATCGCCAGCAGGCTGGTATCTGGTTCGCCCTAACTCGTAGATGTACAGTAAACTCGTGCCCAAAATGGTGGCACCTCTGGCTCGCACGATCGATGTGCCAGCTCCCACACATCGATCGTGTAATTGTGGCGATCATAACAAGACATCATATCATTACAGCACGATTCACCACTGTCCGGCGATAGGCAAACAGGCCCAGAACTACGTGCTACTAACCACCAAGCAACGAAATAATCCGCTTTTTTCCAATTTCATTAATATAGCCTAAAAATCTACAAGGTTTGGAAGCTTGGCAAGGATCAGCCAGCCTACAATACAGAGCACAGCATTTGTGTGCTTGAATCAGCCCACCTAGAGGCACTGTACAGCCCACCAGAAAAAACGAAGCTACTCGCTTAGGAGTGTGTTTAGTTGAGGGGCTCCCTAGGGAACTCCTCGACAGGGCTGAGCTGCTTGGCGCGGTGGTACTCGGTTTGCGCGCAGTCAACGGACAGCACGGGGCTCGACTCGTACAGCCGGGGAGTGCCGTCCAGGAACCCGGCGCCCTCCGCGCTGTCAGCCGACACCGGCCGGTGCAGGTTCGCGATCAGCCGCTGGAAATCGGCAGCACGAGCAGCGTGGTCGGGGCGGTACGTCTGGCCGAGCACGCCGTGCACGTCGTCGGTGTGCTCCAGCTCGACAATCCCCACGTTGATGTGCGCCTCGGCCTCGCTGGGCGTCTGCAGCTTGGGGTTAGCGACGCGCAGGCGCAGGTCGAGCGCCACGAGCCCGTCGATCGCGAGCGTGTAGTAGTCCACGTCATACGGGCCCTCCTTCTCCAGCGCCGCGAATCGCAGAGTCAGACCGCCCTCAGTCGTCACCTCGTCGCCCACGCTCATCCTTGGGATCTCCTCGCCGTCGATCTCGATCGTCTTCATGTACCCGTCACCGCGCTCCTGCTGCTTGCCAGAGCGCGCCGCCAGCCGCACCTTGTGGTCGGCGCCGTTGGCGAACCAGATGATGCCGAGCTCCTTGATCCACGTGTGCACCGCCTTGCCGTCAACGACGAGCGCCGCATTCTCCGTGTCGTCCGAGTAGTACCCGCGCAGCAGCATGTTCACGTGCAGGTCGCGGTCCGTCAGCAGGCAGAACGTCTTGTCGGGCCGCCCGTTGAAGTCGAAGTGCGTCCCGTACGCGCCCACCAGATGCGGGTCGTTGACGACGTTCGCCGCGGGGTTGCACTCGCCGCACGTGCGCACCTGCAGCGCAATGGGCTTCGAATCCGTCGCGTACTGCGCCGTCAGCTCGCCGCACGAGTAGTCGATGTTGTCGTGCACCAGGTAGCACGCGCCCTCCGTCTTCTTGCCGTCGGTGGTTATATCGGGGATGTATTGCCAGTACGTGCAGCTGCTGTACCCCGCGCACGTGTTGCAGCACGTCTGCGGTGACGCCTTCTTGAGCGTCAGCGGGTTGCCCTTCACGTACACCTCCACGCCCAGCTTGTTCTTGAGCAGGTTCGACGTCTTCCACTTGGCGGCGATGCCGCCCTTGCTGCAGTTGGCGGGCGTGCACGCGCCGTCCCCGGGCTTGCCCAGGTCCTTGTGGCACTTCATTTTGTTCCATCCGGCCGCTTTCACATCCACCATCAGTATGCTGTCCGTGCTCGGACTCACGATAGTCGTCCCCTCGAACTTGTCCAGGTTGCCCGCAGCAGCCGCCTTCTCGATGCCAGAAGGGACCTCCGTCGCCACGCCATTCTCGCCCTTGGCCTTGTCCAGGTTGACCGCCGGGTTGTTGGGTCCGGTCACGACGGTTTGTCCTGCGGACGCCACCGTCAGCAGGACTGCGAACGATACCACGAAGAGTAGTCGCGCCATGAGGAGAGCTTATGTGGTCAACCTATTACTATGCTGGCAGATTATTGATAGCCCGATAGAAAGTATGTGACTTCTATTCTTGCTGAAAGGTTTCAAAGCCCCGCGTTGTGATTCAACAAAGACAGAACCTTGATTGAGATGGCGGGTGCTACTTCACTTGGATGGTTGTTCTGAGCACTTTTCGCTGTTTTTATAGCACTACCCTTGTTACTCAGTGAGGAATCCTCACCTGACTTCACTGCTGAAGACCAGTCCAGGTTTCGATTTAGGTGTGCTCCGAGCCGCGACCACGTGATCTGGCTGGCCGACTCGCATTCAGCCAGGTGTATTCAGGGGTTTGCTCAATTCAGTTCGACCTGTGACAAATGCTTTCGAGTCAGGTTTCCAATCAGGAGGCGTTATTTGCATGCAGTTTACCGAATCGCAGGTTCAGGTGTGTGTGGGACGGTCAACCAATCCAGGCCACCCCAAATAAAAATGAGCGAATTTGTACAGTTTTCTGTTGCTCTCATTTCGCTGACCTCCGTTTCGCCTTTTGACCACTCCCAACCTTTTCCAACTATTTGAATCGTGCCCAACGCAGTTTCGTCATTTGCTAGTCCGCGTTTTCTTCGCCCATCTCGTTTGCTATGTCCCGTTGAATCTTTATCACATGAAGTCAGTGTTCCGTCACAGTTCGTCATATGTACCAGCGAATCTATCAAGGGTCGTCACTAGGTTATTACAGATCGTCATATAATGCTGGCAAATTCTATCACGGCTAGCCACTGAACGGAACGAGGGCTAAAAAGCTGACACCCCACCATCCCGCGCCCCCGCTGTGTGAATTCTGGGAACTTGGGCCCAGTTCGGCAGCCACGGAAGAAGGGCGGAAGCAAAATTCTACCGTCTTCTTCGAAGCTTCTAACCGCATTATCGAGGGCAAAACAGTACGGGCTGTAGGGTAAACTTTCCGGAAATCGAAACGCAGGTGTTTAGCAGCAGCGACGCGAACACCTCCAAACATTGCTTCCGCGCCGTCTTCTGTCCTTATTCTCCCCCCTTGGCGGAAAGGTTCCGCCCTAGTGAGACGGAAGAAGAAAGTGATTCTTTGAAAACGGAAGAATCACTTTTATGATTCCACCTGGGTTCACTGTTCACGGGCCAACATTGGACCCTACAAAGGAAAGGGTTACTACATTAAAAAATACATTGTTCGTTTTTTGAAAGTTGGATTTCCCCAACAGCAGGGGGCGCGAATCTTTTGTTTTTTCCGATTGTTCCTTTCTGTTCCCGCTACAGTGCCCTGGGGCAAGCACATTTGAGGCCAAATGTGCCTCTCTCCTGCGACGATTTTTCTTATCCCCCCCTACAATCTGCGCCAGCTCTCCCATGGCGCAGGTTTTCCGCGGAGCAGTCAACCCAGGGTCAAAATTCGTTGACCCTGGGTTGACGCCCGCCTTACCTTCGCCTCATCTTCCTCACATTTTGCTTCCGCGTGGCTGCCGAACTGGGCCTTGATATGTTTATGGTAATGTGTTTCCATTTGCACATGCTCCACACAAGGTGAACATACTGTATACAGAGGACAACACAAGACAAGCAAACCAAGATTCTCTGTGCACTCAATCTGCTTTACATGCTCATCTCCACACCTTTACTCCTATCCCTGCTTTCCACCCCGAGAAAGTACTGCTCTATGTGCAGAACCAACCACTCCAGCCATCCCTGACATATCCTATATCAAAACACACTTTAGTGAAGTATATTAAAATAGCACACCTTGTAACTGGAGCACCTGCTACAGCAGTGCTCTGACCCTCAGCCTGCAGCATCAGGTGGTGTCCCCGCTAATTGTTGCTCTCGGCTTTACTGGGAACAGGCTTGGAGTTGACTTGGGAGGAGGAGCGGGGTGGGGAGAAGGGCGAGGTGGGGGAGGAGCGCAGGGGGGCGGCCTTGTCTCTCTTCTTGAAGGCGCGCTTCTTGGCCGGGTCGACCGCCACACCCTCTGTGAAGCCGCCTATGGTTCGGAACTTGCCCACCCGCTGCTGTATCACCTCCTCCTTGTTGAGTTTCAGCAGCTCCTGTATAGGGAGGGGGATGGGGATGAGACAGGTGGGTGGGAGATGGGAAGGGTGAGTAGTGCGCATGGGACGGGTCTGCCACTTGCTGCTGAATGAGCTCCTTTGGCTACAGTCTCAATAGCCGGTGAAAGCGGTGGAGGAGGGGCATCAGCTGGGAGGAAAGGATATATATTTTTAGAATTCTCAAAAGATCACTTGTTGCTGAATGAGCTCTTCCAGCTACAGGCATCAGCTGGGAGGAAAGGGGTGGAGAACAGGCATCAGCTGGGAGGAGAGGAGAGCACGATTGGCAGAGGAAAGAGGGAAGAGGTGACGGAAGAGGGTTGTGACGGAAGAGGGTTCGGAAGAGGGTTCGGAAGAGGGTTCGGAAGGGGGTTCGGAAGAGGGTTCGGAAGAGGGTTCGGAAGAGGGTTCGGAAGAAGGTTCGGAAGAGGGTTCGGAAGAGGGTTCGGAAGAGGGTTCGGAAGAGGGTTCGGAAGAGGGTTCGGAAGAGGGTTCGAAGAGGGTTCGGAAGAGGGTTCGGAAGAGGGTTCGGAAGAGGGTTCGGAAGAGGGTTCGGAAGAGGGTTCGGAAGAGGGTTCGGAAGAGGGTTCGGAAGAGGGTTCGAAAGAGGATTCGGAAGGGGAAGAAGCAGAGGAGGGCAGAGCAGAGCACAGGGGGACGGTTGTGACGCTCGTTCTCTGCATCCCGCCGTCATGTGGAAAAGAAACACCCACCTTCATGTTGACGAGAATAGCAGACCGAATGGCAAGGGATGTCTTGACGGGGTCAGCATGGGCTCCCCCCAGTGGCTCCTGCAGATAGTGAAAGGAGGGAGTGGAGGGGAGAGAGCAGCGGGTGGAAGTGGGGTGGAGTGAGCAGGGGGAACAGGGGAGGATCATTGGGGAGGTCAGGGTGGAAAGAGGGAGATAATAATGGCAGGGAGAGAGTGAGCATGGTGGGGAAAGCAGGGAGAGCATGGTGGGGAGTGAGAGAAAAAGCACAGTGGGACTGACCGGAATGACTTCCTTGATCCACCACTCACCGGAATGACTTCATCCACGACGTTCAGCTTCTGCAGCTCGTGCGCTGTGATCCTCAGCGCGTCTGTGGCCTGCGCGGGTTCAGGGGCGGATTGGAGACGGGTGGAGAGGAGTGGAGTGGAGTGGAGTGGAGTGGATTGGAGTGGAGGGGAGCGGAGGGGAGGGGAGGGGAGGGGAGGGGAGGGGAGGGGAGGGGAGGGGAGGGGAGGGGAGGGGAGGGGAGGGGAGTGGAGTGGAGTGGAGTGGGATGGAGCGGGATGGAGTGGAGTGAAAGGGACAAAACCACATGACGAGAGAAGTCTAACGAAGAGAAGAGATTAGGGTGAAAGGTGTGCAGGCAGAACCTTGGGTGCAGTCCTTGGGCAAAATTATGGAAAAGAAAGCGAGTAAAGAGAGAGCTCCAGGCAGTACCTGGGTTAATGCCAAAAAAGCTGGAAAAATCTGAGACGAGAGAGAGAGAGGGGTGCAGGCAGTACCTTGGGAGCAGCAGCAGCAGTCTTCCAGAGAATGGCGGCACAAGCCTCAGGGCTAGAGAAGACGCACAGAGGGAGCAGTGAGAGGGTGGAGGGGAGGTGGGGACGGAGAAAGGGAGAAAGTGGCAAGAGAGAGGCATTGGCACGGGCGAGTGTGAGGTGGGTGGCAGGGCAAGTTTTGGAGATGGTGCACACACAGAGTGGTAAGAAGGTGAGACAGTTGGACGGGTGGAGCGATGGTGGGATGGTGGGAGTACGGGCATGTGACTGGGCCAAATCTGAAAAGGGATGCCCGCTTACTGACCCTTGCGTTATTCCGAGTCAAGGGTCTACTGGTCGTGCAGGCAACATTCCGTCTGACAGTCCAGTCACTCATTCCCGTTGCTATTTTCGTTTCCATTTTCGTTTCCTTTCCATGTTTTCCTTTTTACCTGACACTCGTGGACGCCCACTCACTTGCTCACCTGTGTGCCCACTTTGGTTTGCCCAACAGATTTTCACCTGACGGCTCACCTGATCACGTCACCCACTCCCCTGGGGCCTCCCTCACCTGGCAACATAATACACCGCGTTTTCGAGCATGAGCATCTTATTGCAGCAGCCTATAGCGAGGGCGCCGCCAGACCCGCCCTCCCCAATCACGACTGAGATGGTGGGCACTGTGAGGCCAAACATCTCCCTCAGGTTGTGCGCTATGGCCTCGCCCTGTGGTAGGCAAGGGCAAGCGGAGGGGGAGCAATGGGGGAAGCGGTGGGAGATGGGGAGAGGCCAAAGCAGCAGAGAACCCCCCCTGAGATGGTGGGCACCGTAAGCCCAAACATCTCCCTCAGGTTGTGCGCTATGGCCTCGCCCTGTGGGAAAGAGGAGGCGCGGGAGATTGGCAAGGGGAAGTGGAACACGATGATGGGGTGACCTGCCAGTGTTCACATAGTCTCCTTCATTCACCTGCCCATCCGCCCACCTGCTCACCTGCCCGCCTGCCCATCTGCCCATCTGCCCGTCTGCCCATCTGCCCGTCTGCCCATCTGCCCATCTGCCCGTCTGCCCATCTGTCCATCTGCCCATCTACGCGTCTGCCCATCTGTCCCTTGCACCCACCTGCCCCAGCTCCTCGGCCTGAATGCCCGCGTAAGCGCCAGGCGTGTCAATGAACATGACGATAGGGAAGCCGTGGTGCTCCGCATGCCGCATCAGCCGCAGCGCCTTGCGGTACCTGCAAGGGAGGGGGGAGAAGAGACAGGGGGAGGAAAGGGTGGGCTGAGATGGGGGCTAGAAGACGAAAGAGTTTTTTTTTTTGCTCTCTTTCTTTGGTTTTTTCAGTTGTGCTTGTGGCCAGTGTTTGTTGCAGGGCAAACGTGAAGAGCCACAACTTCGCTAGAGGACCAGCACTGGGTGACTCACCCGTTGGGCGAGGGCATGCCGAAGTTGCGGTAGATGTTTTCGTTGGTGTTGCGGCCCTTCTGGTGCCCCATGAACATGAAGCTCATGCCGTCGATGCGCCCCAGCCCGCACACCAGCGCCGGGTCGTCGTAACCCCCGCGATCGCCGTGCAGCTCCACCCACTGCAGACGGGGTGAGAAGGGCAAGCAGGTTGGGGACAGAAATGCAAGGCGGGAATACGATAAGACAAAGCATGTGCCAACCACAAAGTGAAAGGGGGGCGAGAAGGATCCAGCCCGCACACCAGCGCCGGGTCGTCGTACCCGCCGCGATCGCAGTGCAAATCCACCCACTGGAGGTGGTCGGAGGTGCGGGCCGACAAGCATAAGCAACAGGCTTGAGAATGGCAGCGCGGCACCTCATCGTGACGTGAATCTCGTGCATATCGTGAATCTCGTGCATATCGTGAATCTCGTGCATATCGTGAATCTCGTGCATATCGTGAATCTCGTGCATATCGTGAATCTCGTGCATATCGTGAATCTCGTGCATATCGTGAATCTCGTGCATATCGTGAATCTCGTGCATATCGTGAATCTCGTGCATATCGACTTGTTTGAGATCGACTTGTTTAAGATTGATTTTGAGAATTCTCAAAATCAATCTCAAAGAGAATGGCAGCGCGGCACCTTATCGTGACGTGAATCTCGTGCATATCGACTTGATAGTGGTTCGCAACACCTTATATGTGATGTTCAGAGTGTGGCTTGTGAGTTGATGAAACAGTCACTTAGAGTGGCGTTCTTATGTTGCGGGTCGTGAATCTAGTGCATATCGTCTTGAGTGTGGCAGTGCGTCACCTTATCTGTGATGTTGAGGATGTGATCGAGGAACGTTGGACGGTTGGGATGGCGCGCCACGCCCAGACGTTGCACCGGGGTGAGGCGCAGGTAGATGTCACGCTTCAGCTGCCATGGGACAAGACACAATAGCCGCAAGCACGTGCATGAGAGAGGGAAGAACAAACAAAAGAACAAACAAAGAGAACAGAACAGTAAAGAACAGAAAATACGGTGAGAGGACAGACCGAGGCCAACGAGCCTGACATTTCAGGGCCTGTGCGGCTCTAACTCCAGCGATGGCAGCCGTAGCGCAGCTCAATCGTGGTCGCGTTTGTCCTGTAGCAACAGCTCACGAGGTGCAGCTCTAGTGGTGCAGAGCACGTGGTGCAGCCAAAGTGGTGCAGCCCACGTGGTGCAGCCCACGTGGTGCAGCCCACGTGGTGCAGCCCACGTGGTGCAGCCCACGTGGTGCAGCTCACGCGCCGTTGCTCACCTGGTCGTATTTCTCCTGCAGCTCGTGAATCTGCTCGGTGAAGTCCATCCCCGTTTTATTCGCCAGATCGCGAACCTGCGACGCAAGTCAGCAGATGATGACGGTACGACCAAGCGTAACACAATGCTTCATACTTGCAAGGCAGCGTCGCTTCCACTCGGAACAGCTGAAAGTTGAGAAAGCGTCGTGGATCCCGAGGCCTTCTGTTTTACAAATGTTATTGTTAGGAAGAGCAGTGTGTGAAGGCCAGATTGTCAAAGAGTCAAATGATACGATACGATGCACTTAAGTTGTACGATACAGTGCGATGCGATGCGGTGAGACACGGTGCAGTGCGATGCGATGCCTGACCTCTTTAATCCGCTTCTCCAGGTCTTCCAGCGGCCGCTCGAACGGCAGCATCATGGGCTTGCCTTTCTTTCCCGGGTTCTCCTTGCTCGTGGAGAAGAACGCGAGGAAACCCTTCTCCTCCGCGTGGTACTTGTCAGGCCACGGGTAGTCCGGATCCATCGGCGCTCTCTTCGTTTTCCGGACGTTGTTACATTCTACAGTAAGTCGCCGGGAAGCTCCAGTGGGAAGATCATTTGAGCGGGATTTGGCTCGTGGGATAATGATCGCGGATGGTCTCGTGTGCAGTGATTGGCCTAGAGATTCTCCGGATAAGCAACGGACGCCGACAACCGTCCGGTTTAAGACACTCCGCGTTGGAGCGCACGCAGCCATGGCTTCCATCGTCCCTGTGCTCCGAGAATAGGCTATTGTTTTACACTGAGGACCAGGTTACTTCAACCAAGAAAATGAGAGACGTCGCAACGGCTGTTCTATATTCTCTCTGCTCTGCTGTTGAACTGCACAGGAACTTATTTAGCGAGTGACACACCCAACCAAGTTGAACTCCAAGGAATCAACAGGAAAGCGGCAAAGCGAATCTCGAGAAGAGCGAAACGAGGAAACGAGGAGAAGCAGCCGTGATTTCAGCAGACTGGAATTCTTAGGCAGTTCAGGAGTCAGGGGGAATCGAGGATATCTCGAGGTCAAGGGAGAATAGTGCAAACCAGGCGGTGGAAAGGGATTTGGGGCGATGGAATGCGATGGAATGCTGCAAAAAGTGGAGAGCTGTTGGAGATATCGAGGTTGTGGGGAGGTCAGCGAAGGGTGCTCCGGGAGGCAATGAGGTAAACGAGCGGTGGCGAAAAGCTGAATAGAATATGCGAATTGTTGAGCGATCACGACAGCGCGGTTACATCACGTATGGAAAGGCACGTGTGTTGTCCCAAGTGACAAGACCCAAGTGCATCGACGCCGTTCGCTCAGCCTCCAACTTCTGTCATCATGCTGAGTCATCGGATAGCTCGTGTGACGGTGCGAAAAATCTGTCGTACCCAGCGTGTGAACCTTTTCAAATGATGGAGGATGACACGCGGCACCTCAGCGGCGCGCCAATCTCAGCCGAAAGATCTGTGATGGGATTCTGTATGTGGTGGAAAGGAGCTTTGTCAGAAGTCTGTGATCAGTAATTAGAGTCTGTAAAAGGCGTACACTTTTTCACAACACGAATACCACAGCGGAACCAGGGCCCACTTTATCGAAGCCGCGACTAGATTTGTTATCCGCGTTTTTATCTCCGTAACACAGCCTAAAAAGTGTACGATCGTTCTTTTCGGGTTTGTAAGGATTTACAAATCCTTACTGAGGCACTCGTTAGCGAGGACATCCCGAGGGTCACGCGACGAACCTGTTCGGCCTATTTCGTCGGCCGAACCACTCCCGAGTCGGCCTCCGCCCCAATCGCAACGATCACCGAGCCATCTCGCCCTACCTCTTCGCCTAGCTAGCTTTTCCCCTATTTAGTCTCGACACTTTCCTTGTATCGTCATTCAGTACTCAATCATTCTCGTTTTTCGTTTTACTGCGCACTCTGCACGTTCATTCATAACAGGGTTTGTCTGAACAATTCTGTTACCACATTAGACCCACTAGTGCGCCGCTCACTTCCGAAGCCTGCACGCAAGAACCTTGGTAGTAATCCACTTCTGCGCACCAATGGCGGAAGAAAACTCAGCTCCGCCACGAGGAGAAGAGAGGGGGAGCGCGCAGGAGGGGGCGAACGTGCAGGGGGAAGCGCCCCCACAGGGGGAAACGCGCGCACTGGGGGAAACCGGGGGAAAGGGGGAAGCTGGGGGAGCGGAGCTGATGGACACCACCGATGCGCCGAAGCAGGGACTGTCGCTCCTGCTGGCGTCAGCTGAGCTCATCAGCCAAGGCGCGGAAGCGGTACGCATACCCGGTATAACCAGCCTCGGTTACCAGGCATTCGTATCCACTGGCGCTCACAGTGCTTATCGATTCAATCAGCACGCATAAAACCGCGGCTGTCGGCGAGGAATGAGTTGTGGCCAGTCAATGGATTCCGTCCTCTCCTCCCCCTCCGCTCCCCTGCTTTTCACCCTCCCTTCTGCCCATCTGCTCGGCCTCTTACCTCCGTCCACCACTCTTCCACCACATTATTCCACCAACCTACCGTCGCATTGCCCCATGGTCGCAGAGAGTGTTCGCAGCAACGTTCTGCGGGCGGCCAGCGATACTCAAGCAGCGATTTGAGAAGAAGTACCGCCACCCCACGCTCGACGCCCGGCTCACCTCCAAGCGCCTGCACACGGTGAGCACTCCTAAGCCAAGTATACTGGTGTTACGTGAGAGAAATCTCAAACGAATCTCAAATACATTCTCTCCCACTAGCATGCTGCTTTGAGAAGAAGGACCGCCACCCCGCGCTTGACGCGCGACTAACCTCCAAGCGCCTGCACACGGTGAGCACTTGTGTGCCTGGATCTCCCACACATTCTCTCCCACTAACATGCTGCTTTGAGAAGAAGGACCGCCACCCCGCGCTTGACGCGCGACTAACCTCCAAGCGCCTGCACACGGTGAGCACTTGTGTGCCTGGATCTCCCACACATTCTCTCCCACTAACATGCTGCTTTGAGAAGAAGGACCGCCACCCCGCGCTTGACGCGCAACTCACCTCCAAGCGCCTGCATGGGGTGAGTGCTCCCCCCGCTGTGACCTCCCCTCCTGGTTTGAGCTTTTCCTCTGCTGCACCTCACTGAGAACTGCGGTCTATTATCTTCCCTTCTATGTTTCTTTTCTATCCAGGAGGCTAGGAGCATGGTGTGCGCAGCGAGACTAGGAGTGGCACTGCCAGTGCTGTACAGTGTGGAGGAGGGGGAGGAGCAGCGATGTATGGTAGCAGCTCAGAGAAAAGTGCTGGGGTTGGTGCACTTAAGCTGGGAGTGGCGGTGCCGGTGCTGCACAGTGTGGAGGAGGGGGAGTGGGACCGATACAGATGGACTGCCAACCCTCCCTGTAGTTCCTCCTCCCTCCCCCACCCTGATCCCAGGAAGGGAGGAACATGGTGCGGGCAGCAACGCTGGGAGTGGCGGTGCCGGTGATGTACGGAGTGGAGGAGGGGGAGCAGGAGTGGGAGAGAGAGAGGTTTTGATGTAAATGCCAACTACCTACCCCCTCCCTCTCATTAATCTCAGGAGGCGAGGAACATGGTGCGGGCGGCGAAGCTGGGAGTGGCGGTGCCGGTGCTGTATGGAGTGGAGGAGGGGGAGCGGTGCATCGTGATGCAACGAGTGGGAGGGCGCAGCGTCAAAGACCTCTTCCTCTCCCTCGCCCACCACTCCCCCTCTGCTGCTGCTGTTGCTGCTGCTACCAATACCAGCGCAGACCCACCTGTCAGTACAGGCACGGGAACACGCACGGGTGCAGGAACAGGAACAAGTCAGGATAGGGCGAGGGGCGAGGGGCTGCACCCGTGGGTGGCAGAGGTGGCGGCATGGATGGGCGAGGCGATAGCAAAGCTACATGATGGTGGCATGGTGCATGGCGATCTCACCACCTCCAACATGCTGCTCTCGCCCCTCCCTGCTGCTGCTGCTGCTGCTGCATCCGTGGCTTCACCAACACCAGCAGCACCGGCAGCAACCCCAGCAGCAGCAGTGCCACCCGAAAGAGCAGCAGGGGCAGCGGGGGAGGCAGCAGGGCCAGCGGCGGCAGCAGGGGGGGCAGCAGGGGCAGCGGGGGCAGTGGGGGCAGTGGGGGCAGGGAGGGAGCGCGTGGTGGTGATAGACTTTGGGCTGAGCTTCAACTCCACCATTGCGGAGGACAAGGCTGTGGATCTCTACGTGCTTGAGCGGGCACTCATCTCGTTGCACTCCAGCAATGGGGATATTGTATGTTCTTACCCTGCACACCCCACACACCCGCCACTTGCAAGCCAGCCTGCCTTTCCTTTCTCCTCCCCACGCTGCTCCCACCTTGGCCGTCCTTCTTCCCCTGTGCCCTCCCCCCTCCCCAGTTCCTTGTTCGTGCTTGTTCTTCCCTGGTTTTGACTCTTGCATTGCTCTTGAATGTAAGCTCCCCCGCTGTCCTCCTGCTTGTTTGTTCATCTTATCAATGTGTAACACCAGATGTCGGCAGTGCTGACATCGTATCGCCACCATTCAAGGTTCTGGAGCGCCACACTGAACAAGCTGGGGCAAGGTGAGATCCGATCCTGATAAAAGTAACATTCTGAGACGTCTCAAAATGTTACTTTTATCACATGCTGGGGCAAGGTGAGAGCCCCTCCTCCATCTTTGCTCCTTGCCAAGCTAGATGTGAGCTTTACTAGACCCAAGTAAAACTTCCAAAGTGCCACACCGAACGGGCTGGGGATGAGAGCATATATCGCAAATCTTCAAGTGTCCCAGTCTCGGGCATATCCAAGTGTATTTCACTCATGCTTGGTACTTTTCTTTCTTCTCTTGCCTGACCCGCCGTCCCAGTTCGACTACGAGGGAGGAAAAGAGCCATGGTTGGTTGAAGATTGGGCTGAAATTGCATTTCGGTGATTTTTCCTGACAGATGTCACATTCAATGCTACTGGTGCACTCAATAAGAAAGAAGCGAATAGTGCTCCTTGTGCTACATAAATAATGCAAACTTGTTCCTATTTTGATCCCCCCCCCCCCCAACCCCACCTGGCATTTACTAAAAGGATAAGAAGACCCTGACAAGTGGAAAACCAGAAAAAACAAAAAATCCTGGGCTCAAAATAGTGGATGAAACAGGAGAACCGATAATTTAGGAAAGAGTGACTTGTAAGTAGAGTCAAGGAGGGCACCTCACCAGTACTACTAGTTGTATTATTGGTTGATATAGGGTTGGAAGTTGAAGTCGTGTAGTAACCACTCGTGTTAAATCGGACCATTCTGTGCGAAAGCATCTCCACAGGTTACGGGGCACATCGGCTGACACTGACAACGTCAACCGAGTCGCACACGCAAGCTCCTTATAGCGCGTACAATTAGCTGGCCTTGATTGTGTATGGCAAGAGAGCAGGAGAGCAGCGAGGGAACCATTGTGGTGCGAGGATCATCTCATCGGTATTGCCGGTACTGGTGGCTAGTTACTCTAACCCTTATGCGATCAGTGTCAGGTTTGCCAACACTCGCTTCCGTTATAGGTAGACCCGTTACATGTGATCTGATTTGAAGCCGCTTTCGAATCATGCTAGGTCACGTGGCAGCTAGACAGCGGGAGCTGCACCGCGCCGCGCATCTCGCCGCACCAGCCGCTGCTGCCGCCGTTGCGCTGCTGCGACACACCCAGCTGCTCACGTCGCCGTCCTTTTCCCCACCGCTTATCACGCCTCGAGATGCCGCGCCTCGCTCTCCATCGGCGGGGCTGTCCGTATTCAACGGACCGTACGGCGGCGTTGCCTCTCCCGCATCATCCGCAGCTTCTCGTGCCGAATCGAGCGCGATCAACGGCGCGATCAGCGGCGCAATCCACGGCGCAGTTAACGGCGCAGTGAGCAGCCCGATCGACGGGTCCCTTAAGAGATTATTCTCGAGCTTAGCCCCGAGGCGCGGTCTCTCTCCTACAATCACCCACCACAAACCTGCCTCCACGTCATCATCCATGTCATTCTCGCCGCTGCTTGGTCCCAGCAATCGCCCCTTCCATAGTGGCATCCCCACCGCTCGCAATGGCTGGGGTTTCGGATCTGATGACACGTGGCAGAATTTGGGAACATCGTCATCCTCTCTGACCAATTGGGGCGTGCGAATCGTCCCCGAGAAAAGCGCCTTCGTTATAGAGCGATTCGGGAAGTATTACAAGACTCTAGGTTCCGGCATTCACCTACTAATTCCGTTAGTTGACCGAATCGCGTACGTGCACTCGCTGAAAGAGGAGGCGATCCCGATCCCCAACCAATCAGCGATCACCAAGGATAACGTCAGCATTCAGATCGACGGAGTGCTGTACGTACGGGTGAGTAATATTAGTAGTATTGACCAAGGTGAGTAAGATTCTCATGCTGGAATGTCGTTCGCCAGAACTCCGCCATCACCAAGCAGGATAACGTCAGCATTCAGATCAACGGTGTTCTTTTACGTCCGGGTGAGTTAACAGTAAGAGTGGAGCTGTTCAGTAGTGAGTGGTTACTGTTGAAATCGCTGTGATGCTTGTCGAATGGAGTTCGCTCTTTGGAATGGTGTCGTGATGCTTGTCCACTGCCCTCCCCCCTTCTACTGGAATGCTGGAACTCTTCCCCCCTTCTACTAGAATGCAGGAACTCTTCCCCCCTTCTACTAGAATGCAGGAACTCTTCCCCCCTTCTACTAGAATGCAGGAACTCTTCCCCCCTTCTACTAGAATGCAGGAACTCTTCCCCCCTTCTACTAGAATGCAGGAACTCTTCCCCCCTTCTACTAGAATGCAGGAACTCTTCCCCCCTTCTACTAGAATGCAGGAACTCTTCCCCCCTTCTACTAGAATGCAGGAACTCTTCCCCCCTTCTACTAGAATGCAGGAACTCTTCCCCCCTTTTACTGCCCTTCCCCTTGAGTCACTCAACCCCTCCTCTCCCCTCCTCCCCTGCTCTGTTTTCTCCGCCCGCTTTTGATGCGTCCTCCACCGTCAGATCGTGGATCCGGTGCAAGCATCGTACGGTGTGGAGCGGCCGCTGTACGCAGTGGTGCAGCTGGCACAGACGACCATGCGCAGCGAGCTGGGGAAGATCACCCTCGATAACACTTTTGAGGAACGGGATATTCTCAACACCAATATTGTGGTATGAAGCATGTCGGGTGGTATATGTGTGCTGTATCGTGCATACTAGGGTAGTGGGTGTGTGGATGTGCAGCAGTGCAGCGAGCTGGGGAGGATCACCCTTGATAGCACTTTTGAGGAGCGGGATATTCTCAACACCAATATTGTGGTATGAGCTGGCGTTCTGTATGCTACGTGTGCCCGTATGTAAAATGTCTTTCATTTCTTCTAATCCATGCTTCTTGTTGCGTGTTTCCCTTGCTGCTTCTTTGTGTGTGGATGTGTGCATGCACGTGCATGTGTGCATGTTTGCATGTGTGCATGCGTGTGTGTGAACAGAGGGCGATCAACGAAGCCGGGCAGGCATGGGGCATAGAGTGCCTGAGATACGAGATCCGTACGTACCACTCTCACACGCACACGTGCATTGCTTCTCTCCCTACTTTTCTTTCAACCCACCCCCCCCTCCCTTCCCCCCCCCCTTTTTTTTCGTATTGGTGAACATGCATGCAACCCTTGTTATTCGGATTCAAGCATATGCACGTATAGGTGACGTTTAATCCCCACTTGTTTCACCAGATTAATAGAAATATTGTACATGCCACCTGGCATATGGCACGTGCTGCAGGTGACATCTCACCTCCTCCTGGAGTGCGGGCGGCCATGGAGATGCAGGCTGAGGCGGAGAGGCGGAGGCGCGCTCAAGTTCTGGAGTCAGAGGGTGAGTGGAGGAGTCAGAGGGTGAGTGGAGGAGTCAGAGGGTGAGTGGAGGAGTCAGAGGGTGAGTGGAGGAGTCAGAGGGTGAGTGGAGGAGTCAGAGGGTGAGTGGAGGAGTCAGAGGGTGAGTGGAGGAGTCAGAGGGTGAGTGGAGGAGTCCGAGCGTGAGTGGAGGAGTCAGAGGGTGAGTGGAGGAGTCAAAGGGTGAGTGGAGGAGTTAGAGGGTGAGTGGAGGAGTCAGAGGGTGAGTGGAGGAGTCAGAGGGTGAGTGGAGGAGTCAGAGGGTGAGTGGAGGAGTCCGAGCGTGAGTGGAGGAGTCAGAGGGTGAGTGGAGGAGTCAGAGGGTGAGTGGAGGAGTTAGAGGGTGAGTGGAGGAGTCAGAGGGTGAGTGGAGGAGTCAGAGGGTGAGTGGAGGAGTCAGAGGGTGAGTGGAGGAGTCAGAGGGTGAGTGGAGGAGTCAGAGGGTGAGTGGAGGAGTCAGAGGGTGAGTGGAGGAGTCCGAGCGTGAGTGGAGGAGTCAGAGGGTGAGTGGAGGAGTCAGAGGGTGAGTGAAGGAGTCCGAGCGTGAGTGGAGGAGTCAGAGGGTGAGTGGAGGAGTCCGAGCGTGAGTGGAGGAGTCCGAGGGTGAGTGGAGTAGTCCGAGAGTGAGTGCTTATTTTCTGTTGAGGCTGTACCCTGATACTCTAAATGTTTACTCAAATCTAAGCAATTGTCCGATTACAGAGGGTACGAGCCTTTGTTGAGACTTCCCTCTTCCTCCCGCCTTTCCCCTTCCCGTTTCCCGTTTCCCTTTCCTCGTATACCCCTCCCCCCCCCTTCTCCCCCCTCCCTCCCCCCCCTTCCAGGAGACAGGCAGGCGAACATAAACATGGCAGAAGGGCGCAAAACGGCAGTCATCCTCGAATCAGAGGCCGCCATGTCAGACCAGATGAACCGAGCCAAGGGTAAGTGGCTCGGACACCGAGGCTCGAGGTTCGGGGATCAAGGCTCGAGGCTCGGGGAACAGGATGCCATAGATGTTTCAGAAACAGAGATGCCCCATTCTGCTGCCCCCTGCCCCTGCCTCATGATCTATCATATCTACTGTTGAGGCGCCTCAAAATGCCCCCGCCCCTGCCTCATGATCCATCATATCTTGATAGATCATGAGGCCCCATTCTACTGTCCTGATTGTTCTTGAGAGTTCTCACGAGTGTTACCATATGCCCTGCTTCACACTTTTCCAGTACTCATGCTTCTTTCCTCTGTGCCCACCCATGTGCCGCTCTCCACCTGCCCTCTCTACCCTCACCACGCTATGCAGGAGAGGTGGAGGCGATAGTGTCAAGGGTGAGGGCGTCAGCAGAGAGCATTGGCATTGGCATGCGTTACGGCCTTTCCGATTCCCATGCTTCTCCCCCCCTGCCCCCCGTTCCCCCCCCTCACGCACCTCATGCAGGAGAGGCGGAGGCGATAGTGGCAAGAGCGAGGGCATCAGCAGAAGGCATTGATGTGCTGGCCAGAGCGCTCATGGCTGAAGGCGCCACCCAGGTGTGTTTTGTCAGAAGCATCAAGTTTACGGCGTATGGTGTGCTTGTGGGCGTGGAATGGAAAGCAAGGCTTGCTGGCACACCTGCATCAGCAGAGGACATTGATGTGCTGGCCAGAGCACTCATGGCTGAAGGCGCCATTCAGGTGTGTGTGGAGTATGGTTGTAGCGTGTCTGGTATTCTGGTGCTAAATGACTAACGGAGCATCAAAGGGGAGAGGGCTGTCGTGCTGGCGAGAGGACTTTCGAGTCGACTCAAAAGTCACCTAATGACTAACGGAGCATCGAAGGGGAGAGGGCTGTCGTGCTGGCGAGAGCGTTCATGGCTAAAGGCGCCATGCAGGTGTTTGTGTGTGCATGGACTCAACTGAGCTCATGTTTGTTCCGCTCTCCATGGCGCCTTTAGCCATGAACGCTCTCGCCAGCACGACACCCGGTGCGTGTAGGTGCATGGGACTCAATTGAGCCCATGTTTGTTCCCCCCTCCATTCCAACCATCTGACTGCCTTCGATCCCCAAAGGAGTACGTGGGAGCGCTGGTAAATCTGGCCAGGGAGCCATGTTTCTTCGTGCTTTCTCAAGCTCATCCGTTCTTCCTCTTCCTCCAACCCCTCCCCTCCTCTTTCCACGCTACCTCTCCCTATATCAGGCTGCATGCAAGCCTGCGAGTGGCAGAGCAGTACGTGGCAGTGCTGGCGAATCAGGCCAAGCAGGGAACGACAGCAGTTGGTGTCATCCTTGAACTCATACTTTCTCATTTCCTCCTTCATCCCTTCATCCTGCAATGCTCCCTCCTGTACTTTCAGGCCGCCAGCTTGCGAGTGGCAGAGCAGTATGTCGCAGCCCTGGCGAACCTGGCGAAGCAGGGAACGACAGTGCTGCTGCCGAGCAACGTGGGTGACCCGTCCTCCATGGTGGCGCAAGCACTCGCCATCTATAAGACCGTATCCAGTTCCCCTGCAGGTGTGACTGTACCGAGCACCCCTACAGATGTGACTGTATCCGGTGACGCTGTAACAGGTGGAGGGGCAAGTGAGCCGAGGAAAGCTGGACTCGTAGGGTTGCAATCGCAGGAGAGGGATAGAGAGGTTGGGGCTGCGAGCAGGGAGAGTGGTAGCGAGGCGGTGGATGGTGGTGGGGCTGGTCGGAAAGGGACTGGCTTCTCATTGCAAGCACCACCTAAGTGATAAGACGGATGTATGGAAGGTTGGGAAATGTACGTGAATGTTAAAGTGAAGGATCACCAGTGTGTGTAAATGATGAAATCTCAATTGAGCTTGTTTGGAGTTTGCTTTGGAGCCTCAATGATTAGGGTTTGCAGAGAGGTGGTTCTCCCTTGTGCATTTTTTGTGCGGTGTGATGACATGACAGGTAGCTCTGTGCCTTGTTAGTGCAGATAATTCAAAGCCAGTACATTTACACCTTTAGGTTACTGCTTTGCGTGTTTAGGTTGTAAACCTTCAGAATTATGGCCATGTGGTTTAAAATACCATCCTCCACTCTGGAGGTGCAACTAGAACGAGAGAAGGTAGAGCAGAGCATTTAGCGTTAAACCAGCAAGCTGCTTGAGAAGCTAGCGACTCCAAGAATTAAAGGGCGGCTTGAGAGGTAGGAACACATTGAAACTGTTGACTTGGTAGCAAATGGCGGCTAGACCGCCACTATTGCTGCAGTTCAATCTTGGTTGCTGGTGGTTTTTGAACCTCGGAGATTATAGAATCTGGTTTGTCTGGTGTGGTTAGCAGCACATGCAATTCCACTGCACACCTCAAAAAGGAAGTGTGATTTTTGGCGCGAACAATGCACACTCTACACACACTTTTCAAGTGTAGTGGTTCAAATGCAGCAGCCAATCGCGCACAGCACAGAACCGTGGCGACGAAGCACGTACAGTTCGCTAAACCTCGTCCAAGTCGGGCGGAGCTTCAAGAACGAAATCGCAGACCCACGTCCTCCCTGCCATTTCGCCACCAACCAAATGCTCATCATCCCATCACCAATAATTTACCTCAGCTGCCCGACCGCAACTTGTTTGAACTTTCAAATTCTTATCTGTGCGGCAGTGTGGACCTCGGGAACTCCAAAACTTGTCTTCAACAACAAGCTGCTGCCCGAGGTTCGTGGTTCATGTCATGGTTCACTTCACTCCGTGTTGGCCTGATCCCTGAGGTCACCGCTTCTAGCAATTCTCAAGGTTGGTTTATGTCAGGCGGAAGAAAGGTATTGGTTTCCGCCATTCCCAGTCGATGTCGTATAGCTTTCCCAGATAGGTCGCCTGTCAGGCGATAGTTAATTTCATCAACGAGGTGTGATGCCTTTCGATAAGTGTACTTAGTATGTTAGCAATCTAGACGACTGTGCTTCGTGAAAGAGTAACTCGATGGCGTCCAAGGCGACGCCGATCGACCATTCGAGCTACGTAGGTCGGAAAGTGAAGAAGGATTTTGGAGTGCACGGTTGGTTCACAGGTCGAGTCGAGTCGTACGATGCCGACGAGAATTTCTTTCTGATCAAATACGAAGACGGCGATTGCGAGGAGGTGGAGTTACAGGAGCTCGAAGGAATCATTGTAAAGCGAGGGAGACCGAAGCGTAACTCTAATCCTCCCTTACCACCCGCATCAGGAGGAGCTCATAGCGTAGACTCCACGCCGATAATTGCGAATAAACGTTCTCTCGCAGGTAAGCATACTCCCGTGGCGAAAGATATTCCCGCAGCTGATCAAACTCCTGCATCGATTTCCTCCAAGAGAAAACAACCGGCTCCTGCTGCATGGCGTCACTCGACTGACTCTGCCGCGGACAGAACGTCCGAGCCAAGCCAGGCAGTTTTGGATGGTACAGCTACCGTTAAGTTGCCATTTTCAGCGGAAGCCGTTTTACAGAAAGGCAAGACGAACGCGGCCCTCTCCTCCGAGACTGTTGATCTAGGATCAACCGACGCGTCCGCGGCTGTGGGGGGGGTTCCTGCGGGGAAGCCCGTGCTTTCAGTTAGGGATGCCATTAATCAGGCGCGCGCCGCTAAGAGCCAGTTGAAGCAGCACGCGCAGGGCAAGGCCGGGCGAAAGGCCCCCAAGGACGGTAGAAGAAGGACCCGCGGATCCTCGCGCGCCTCTGGCGGAGATACCGACAGCGATGACGAGGAGGAGGCGGAAGAGGCGGAGGTGGAGGAGGAGGACGAGGATGTGGAGGTTCAGGAGGAGGGGGGTTCTAGAGGGGATTTGATTTCGTGCCGTGGTGGACCTTCCGGTTCAGGCGGAGAGCATTCCAGCGGCAAGTCGTTTCAGGATCTGTTTGCGTCGCAGACTGACCAACGGCAAGTCCTTCTGGCGCTGCCTGCACGCGGCGCGCCGCCTGTGCTCCAGCTCCCACCTCTTCCCGCCCGTGCGCGACCCATGCCGCCACCTACCCCAGATGCACCGTCACCCATGCAAACCCCCGCTGCCCTCCCAGGTTCTTACAACAAACGCCATGCCCCCGATCTCTCTACACCGCCATCCGCGTTAGTATCAGCCCCTCGTTACACTCTCCACCAATTTCGCGACACTTCGCGCCATAATGTCCCCAGACCGCCTCCGTTACCACCTCCACCGGTCTCAACCCTCCTCCCGCCTTCCTCCACCGACCTGCCAGTCCCAGCAGAGTCCGTTCTTGATCTTCTCTCCGTCTACTCTTTCCTTCGCTCTTTCAGTCAGCAGCTGTTCCTCAGCCCGTTCACTCTAGACCAGTTCTGTCACGCCCTCACCACCCCGCGCGCCAGCCCACTAATAGACAGCGTCCACGTGGCGCTGCTGCGTGTGGTGGACTACGATCCTTCGTCAGCAGCGATGGGAGAAGGCGGCGGAGGGGGCGCGGGAGGCGCGGGGGGCGCGGGAGGAATGGGAGGTGCGGGAGGGGTGGGACCAAAGAAGCAGGACGATTGTGGGAGTCTGCATCACAGGGAGCTGGACAAAGCATCTCTGGATGAAATCACCTGGCCGGAGTTTCTCCTCCTCTTCCTCTCCTCCCGCTCGTCCTCCCGCCTCAACAGCCGCAGGCTCGGCCACTCCGCCCTCGCCTCCTGCGACTACTACCTCCTCCCCGCCTCCACTAAGATCGACTTCCTCTCGCTCCTCTGCGACGAGGCTTTAAGTAGCGGCGTGAGGGTGCGACTAGAGATAGAGCGCCGGCAGGGGGAGCTAGAAAGGAGGTATGCGCTGGCAGGGGTTGGTATGGAGGAGGAAGAGGAGAATCTCGAGGATGTGCTTGCTCCGGTGGAAAGGCAGGGGAGGAGGAGGAGGGGGCGGAGGGGAGGAGGAGGTGAGGAGGATGACGAGGGGGATTATGGGCAGGTGGGGTATCAGAGCCTTGGGATCTCCGCACTCGCTGCTGCTGGGGTGCCGTCGGGTATGGCAGGGTTATCAGTGGTTGGGACAGGTACCGGTGGTGTTGCTGAGTCAGCAGGCGCGGGAGATGAGCTGGCAGACGGGAACGCGGACGAGTGTAAGCTATGCGGAATGGACGGCAATCTGATCTGCTGCGACGGCTGCCCGGGCGCGTTTCACTCGCGCTGTGTGGGAGTGGTGGCGGCAGCACTGCCGGATGGGGACTGGTTCTGCCCGGAGTGTGACATGAAGCGGAGGGCGGGCGAGGTGCTGGGGGCGGTGGTGCCCGAGGGGATGAGAGGGGAGCATCTGGGGGAGGATCAGCACGGCCGGGTTTACCATGGCTCCTGCGGCCGTGTTGTTGTGTAAGTGTGGTTTCTGTTTTCGCTGTGACAACTTGCCTCAGAGTCTCATCACAAGCCTTGTGCCTGCTGCACCAGCTTTTCTCCAAATGCGCTAACTGATTTCTTTCTGTTTTTTCCGTTCTCATTATTCACATTCAGGTCGGAGGAGCGTCACAATGGCACCCACGTGGTGGCATATTACAGCCCTGCAGACATCCCCAGCCTGCTGCACTATCTATCCACCCTCGGCCCTGCCTTTACTGCTGTCCACGAGGCTGTCGCGGCGTTTGTTGGCTCAGAACTGCCGCAGCTCGAGTCACCTGAAGACAGTGTGGAGGCACCTGAAGGGGATTCTGAGGCAGTTGAAGATGATGTGGCGGTACCTGACGATGGTGTAGAAGCACCTGAGGGTGGGGTGGAGGCACCTGAGATTGAACCTGAACAGCTGCACGGCGCAGCTGACGTGGAGATGCGGGACGGGGATACTAATGAAGGGGATACTAATGAGGTAGAAGAGGTAGGAGAAGGAGCTGCTGTTGCTACAGGTGAAGATGACGGGGATGTAGCGGAGGTTAAGGCGGAGGAAGAAGCTACAGCCGAGATAATGGCGGAGGAAGGGGATGCAGCCGAGATGAAAGCGGGGGAAGGGGGTGCAGCCGAGATGAAAGCGGGGGAAGGGGGTGCAGCCGAGATGAAAGCGGGGAAAGGGGGTGCAGCCGAGATGAAAGCGGGGGAAGGGGGTGCAGCCGAGATGAAAGCGGGGGAAGGGGGTGCAGCCGAGATGAAAGCGGGGGAAGAAGCTATAGTCGAGATAAAGGGGGCGGAAGGGGGTGCAGCCGAGATAAAGGCAGAGGAAGGAGGGATCGTTGAGATAAAGGGGGGGGAAGGAGGGATCGTTGAGATGGTCACAGCAGAGGCGGCGGAGGAGGATGGAGAGGAAGAGGGAAGACGGGAGGGGGAAAGACGGGAAGGTGTGAAGGTAGAAGAGGGAGCGAATGGGGCTGGAGAGTGTTGTGTAGATGGGAGTGCAGGTGGGGGCGCAGAGGGTGCAGAGGGATGTGTGGATGTGAGTGCAAGAGCGGGTGCAGAGGGCTGTGTGGATATGGGAACAGGTGGGGGCGCAGAGGGCTGTGCGGATGGAGGTGAGACTGAGTGCGCAGAGAAGGGTTCAGACGACGGTGCAGACGGTGTTTCTATTGGGAGCGCTTGGGATCTGGCAGACGAGGCTGTAGGGGACGAGGCTGTAGGGGTTGTTTCAGAAATGGTTGGGGCCGCAGATTTGACTGAGACAGCAGAGGCGGCGGTTGGGGCGGATACGGTAACTGCTGGTGATGTAGGAACGGGTGTAGGAGGGAGTGGAAAGGCAGAAGGGGCAGAAGTGGCAGAGGCAGGAGATGGTGGAATGGCAGAAACAGGAGAAGCAGAAGCGGCAGAGATAGGAGAAGCAGAGGCACAAGGAGAGGAGGATCCCATGCAGACGGACCTCTCTTTTGTACTGAAGGAGTCTGAACAGCTCTTACCAGCAGAGGAAGCGACGGTTGAGGTGCAGCCAGGGGCAGGAGAGGAGACAGCAGACGCTGCAGGAGAAGGTTCGGTAGTTGCTGCAGATGGTGTAGGGGGAGGAGAAGGAGAAGGAGCATCAGAAGCAACAGCGCAAGAAGCAGCAGCAGCAACACCAGCGGCGGCAGTAGAAGCAGGGGCACCAGAAGGAGAAGCAGCAGAGGTAGCAGCAGTAGGAGCAGCTGACAAGGCAACAGCACAAGCAGCAAACGAAGCAGAGCAACACAGAGAGCAAGCAGAGCAGCATGCAGAGCAGCAGAGGGAGGAACACGAGCCCAGCAGCGGAGCAGCAGCAGCGGCTGGTGAACAGGAGAAAACCCAGGGCTTGTCAACCCCTTCCCTGATAGCTGAGGCCGGCTTATCAGACCCTTCACTGGCACCTCATGCGGGCTCAGAGCATCATTCACAAAGGCTTGAGGATGCATGGCAGAAGCCGGGAGGAGAGCGGATTGCCCGGGTGGTGGCGAGGCTGTGGGAGAGGCTCGGCGTGGGTGCTGCTGGGGAGGTTGCAGAAGCTACTCCTGCTGCTGCCACTGGTGCTGGTCCTGCTGATGGCGAGGTGCGGAAGAGCCTGTCTCAGGCAACAGCATTGAACGGAGTGGCATCACAAGAAGCCTTGCAGGCAGAGCAGGCGAAACATCAAGCACAGCAGGCAGAGCAGGCGGAACATCAAGCACAGCAGGCAGAGCAGGCGCAGTGGGTAACGAGGGTGGATAAAGCAGAGAGGGCAGAGCGAGCAGAGCGGGCGAGAGAAGGAGATCTTCTAGAGCCGTACACGAACCGCTACGCCCTGGGGGAGGTATCCTCAGCGCTAGCCCTCGAGCTCTGCTCCGCAACCGAAGCAGCCGCACAGGAGGTGGAGAGGAGAGGCACAGGAGGCAGTAGAGACGAGGAGGACTCAGAGCACAGAACGAGGCGGTCTGGGCGGCGGTCTAAGGGGCTTATGTCAGTAACAGAGCAGATGAGAGTGTTTGCGAAGTGCATGCCTGCTGGGTACTGGCCGATGTATGCCAGTTTCTCCGGCCGGGTTGGGGCTGCAGGGGCAGCAGGGGCAGCGGGAGCAGGGGGTAGAAGCTCTGCTGCGGCGGCAGCGGCAGCGGCAGCGGCAGCGGCAGGGGCGGGTGTTTTCAAGGAGCGGTGTGGTTGGTGTGCGCACTGCCAGGCGGCTCATAGGAAATACTGCCTGCTTGTCTCCGCTGCCCGTGCTGCCTCTGCGACTGCCACTGCTGCCGTGGCTGTCGGGAACGTCCGGGCTGCTAGTCAGCGCAGGCTCGGGGGAGGTCTGGCGGGAGGCTTGGGAAAGGGAAGAGATTTGGAGGGGTTTGGTGTGGGGGGAGGGGTGGGGCTGGGAGGGGTGCGGGGCATGAAGGGGGAGGAGGCGTCAAGAGATGGGAGGCTGGATGCTGTAGTGACACGGTTGATGTACCTGGAAGGGCAGCTGCACCCTCTGCTGGAAGGCCCTTGGAACGATTTCAACTGGCGCCAGCACTGGCGGCAGCGCGCAGTGCAAGCCACTACTCTACTCCAAGCGAAGCAGCTTATAAAGGAGGTGGCTCGTTCCCTACGCACCGTCGCCCTCTCCTCCCATTGGTCGGCGGAACCAGAGCCACCCGCTCCCCTCCCAACCAGCCTCCCGTTACAAGCACACCCAGTGCCTGTCACCCCTGCTGCTGCCCCGCGCCTCTCTGGCCGAAGGCGGAAGTCTCAAGGAGGGAGAGGAGGGGCAGGGAGTGTGTTTGGAGGAGGGGGGAGAGGCGGGGGAGGAGCAGGGGCAGGTTCGGTGCCGGCGTGGGTGATGCTGATGGAGGCTCGGCGAGCGGTGCGGGTCAAGGTGCAGTGGTTCCGAGGCTCTGGCTTGGCTCGGCACGCTGCGGACTGGGAGCAGCTGCCTCGGGACTTGGCTCGGCGAGCGGCTCGGCAAGGTATGTGGCGTGGTTTGGCAAGGTGAGTGGCTCAGCAATAGGGCAAATAAAATGTGATTCTACGATCCTGAATGGAAAGATTGTTATGTTTTGTCCGTTGGACCAGATAAGCACTCCCCTTTTCCCTTTTCCCCTCCTGTCTGCCCACTGCCCTTCCTCCCATCGATCTCCCTCCCTCGTCTCCCTCATAGGGGCTTTCAAGGAGCCTCAAAGGGTTGCTGTCTTCAGAGTGCTGTTCGCCAACCGCCTCTTCCCCCACATTTCCAATTGTTCCCATCCTCTCCCTCCTCTGAGACGCCTCAAACCTCCCCTTGGCTCCCACCTCCCGCCCTCCTCCCACCCACAGGCGGCTTCAAGAAGCTCCCAGGGCTGCTGTACGGAGTGCCATTCGCCAGCCAGCGAGGGGTGCCAGTGCGAGCAGAGAAGGTGGCGTGGGAGGCGAGGGTGGATGCTGCCCGCTCCGTCGCCCACCTGGCCCTGCAGCTGCGATCTCTTGAAGGGCTTATGTTACTATGTCTGATCAACACCCCCCCATTTTCCCCTTTCCCCACCTCCCCCCTTTCCCCCTTCTTCCCGTTCCCCCTACTTCCCTCCTACTTGTCTTCTTTCCCCTTCCCCTCCCCCTTCCCACCCACAGGCGGCTTCAAGAAGCTCCCAGGGCTGCTGTACGGAGTGCCATTCGCCAGCCGCCGAGGGGTGCCAGTGCGGGCAGAGAAGGTGGCATGGGAGCGAGGGTGGATGCTGCCCGCTCCGTCGCCCACCTGGCCCTGCAGCTGCGATCTCTTGAAGGGCTTATGTTACTATGTCTGATCAACACCCCCCCCTTTTCCCCTTTCCCCACCTCCCCCCTTTCCCCCTTCTTCCCGTTCCCCCTACTTCCCTCCTACTTGTCTTCTTTCCCCTTCCCCTCCCCCTTCCCACCCACAGGCGGCTTCAAGAAGCTCCCAGGGCTGCTGTACGGAGTGCCATTCGCCAGCCGGCGAGGGGTGCCAGTGCGGGCAGAGAAGGTGGCGTGGGAGGCGAGGGTGGATGCTGCCCGCTCCGTCGCCCACCTGGCCCTGCAGCTGCGATCTCTTGAAGGCCTTATCCGATTAGACCAAATCAACACCGCTGCCGGTCCCCCCGCTGTTGCCGTTCCTGCCGCTGCCGCCGCTGCTGTAGCTTCTGCTGCTGCCGCTGCACGTGCCGCTGCTGCTGGTGGTGCTGCTGCTGCTGTTTATGGGGATGGTGATGACGTGGAGGAGAGCTGGGTCTCGTTGTGTGACGTGGCGTCGCGTGATTCGTTCGTTCTGGATAAGGACTTTCGGCCGCCGTTTGTGAAAGGGAGGAGGTGGAAGGCGGAGAGGGGGGTGGAGTATCTGCTAGTTGTGAAGAGTGAGGAGGAAAGGGAGGAGGGAGAGGATGAGGAGGATGGGGAAGAGTGTGACTCGGAAGAGGAGAGAAAGAGGAAGAAGAAGAGGGCGAGGGAGAGGTTGAGGGCGTGGAGGAGGAAGCAGAGGGAGGTGATTGAGGGAGTGGGGGCAGGGGCCGGTGTCAAGGAGAGGAAAGGGAAGGCTTTGGTTAAACATGAAGTGGAAAAGATCAAAGAGGAGACGGTTAGAGAGGAGGTGGTTAAAGAGGAGTTGGAGACGGTTGGAAAGGTAGAGGCGAAGACCAGGGGGAGTGAAAGGAAGGAGGATGTGGAAGTGAAGGGAGTGGGAGTTAAGGAGGAAAGGAAGGAAGAGGTGAGGGAAGTAGCGGTTCAGGAGGGTTTGGGGGCAGAGAGGGAGGCAAAGCGAGTGAGAAGAGGGGAGGGGGGGGAATGGGAGGCAGGGGGAGGAGGGGCAGTGGGAGGGGAGGGAGGTGCAGGCGGAGTGAGGGCAGATGCTGGAAATAATGGGACTCAAGGAACCGAAGAGACACACGAGACACAAGGGACACAAGGGACACAAGGGACACAAGGGACACAAGGGACACAAGGGACACAAGGGACACAAGGGACACAAGGGACACAAGGGACACAAGGGACACAATGGGTAGTAGGAACTGAAGGGACCCAAGATCTGGAAGCTCAGACTATCGCTGCCCAAAAGGGTGTTGCTGAGGCGACTTTTGAGGCGCCTCAAGAGATCGTTGCTGAAACGACTTTTGAGGCGCCTCAAGAGGGTGTTGCTGAAGCGCAAAGGCTTGAAGGCGTGGAGGTGGAGGCGGGGAAGGATGAGGAGGAGAGCGAGGGTGGCGGAGGTGGGGAGGCGACTCTTGCGGCGCCTGGGAAGGAGATGAGGGAGGATGAGGAGGTGAGGGAGGAAGCGGAGGAAGAGAGGAACGAAGAGGTGGAGGAAGTGCCGTTGAATGTAGATGGTCATGGTGATGGTGGTGGTAGTGCTGATGGTGATGGTGATGGTGATGGGGATGGGGATGGGGATGGGGATGTGCGTGTTTGTGAGGTGGGTGGTGAAACGGTGGATCTGTCACAGGAAGACGAGGAGAAGGATCGCTGTAACGCCGCTGGTGAGAGCGCTGGTGGAGAGGCGAACGCTGACGAAGAGTTGAACGTTGATGACAAGGTGAACCCTTGGAAACGAAGGAGGAAGGCAGGTGGGAAGGAGGGGAATGTGACTGCAGAAGTGGGGGACGCTGGGGAGGGGGCACCTGGGAATAGAGAGGCGAATGAAGGATGCACAGGAGATGAAGATGGATGGGGAGGGGATGGAGAGAGGAGTGAGGGAGGGAAGGAGGAGAGTGAGGAGGAGGAGGAGGAATACGAAGAGAGGGACGAGGATCTGTTTGGTGAGAGGGAAACGGGGAGAGGAAGGGGGAGGGGGAGAGGGAGAGGGAGAGGGAGGGGGAGAGGGAGGGGGAGAGGAAGAGGGAGAGGTGGAAGGGGTGGGAGGGGTGGGGGACGTGGGAGAGGGGGAGCAGGGAGGGGGAGGGGAGGGGGGACGGCTGGTAAGAAACGGAAGAGAGGGGAGCATCTGGTTGAGTATATGAAAGCCAAACGTGCTGCTGCTGCCGCCGCTTCTGCTGAAGCTGCTGCTGCTGCTCCCACGGGTTCTGCTGATGCTGCTGCTGCCTTTGCTGGTGTTGCGGAAGTGGAGGAGGTAATAGGCGGTGGAGGCGGAGGGAGTGGTGAGAAGATCACAGATGCGGTGGAAGGGGAGAGGGGAGGGAAGGACGGAGGGAAGGACGGAGGGAAGGAGGGAGTTAAGGAGGTAGGGGTGCAAGGGGAGGGTAAGGCAGGGAAGAAGCGTAAGCGGGAGCTGAAGCCTGAAATCATTCCTGAGGGCAGCCGGAGAGTGACGAGAAGCCGAGTGAAGGAGGAGGAGGGCGGGGCGAAGAAGGGCGTGGGAGAGAAGGGGAGAGCTGATGCGAAGGCTGCGGTTGAGGATGTGGTGAAGGGAAGAAAAGGTGGGGTGAAGGGGGGTGTAAAGGCAGGGAAGAAAGGGAAGGAAGAGGAGGAAGAGGAGGAGGAGGAGGAAGAAGGTGTGGTGATGGTGAAGGAAGATGAGGAGGTGGAGGAGATGGAAGCGGTGGAGGAGGTTGGTGAGGAGAAAGGTGAGAAAGGGGGAAGGGGAAGAGTGGAAGGGGGCAGAGGGAGGAGTGTAGATGTTGCTGATAAGAACAAGTTGCGGCTTGTGGAGAAACAGGAGAAGGAGACAGGGGAGGAAGGGCATGGACAAGTAGTAGGGAAGGTAGAGAGGAAGATTGAGAAAATGAGAGAAGTGCAGGAGGTAGAGGAAGCAGAAGAGAGTGACGAGGAAGGGCAAGATGATGACGAGGAGGAGGAAGAAGACGAAGATGGGGGAGTGTGGGTGCCAGAGAGGCTAGTCCCATTGGAGCTGATCCGAGAGTTTGAGCACCGGAGGAGAACAGAGATCTGGGAGGAGCATGCTAAGGTAGTCAGAGCAGAGAGAGAGGCAGCCGAGGCGGCCGCCAGGGCTGTTATTGTTAAGTACATGAGGGAGAAGGTGCGGGCGATGAGGGAGAGACGAGAGCTGATGGTGCAGGCAATGGTGGCTCAGTGTAGAGAGATGGAGGGGAGGAAGCGGCGGGGGAAGGAGAAGCAGGGGCAGGGGCAGGAGCGGGAGGAGAAGCGGAAGCGGGAGAGCGAGAGGGGGCGGGAGCGGGAGCGGGAGAGGGAGGCGAGGGAGCATGAGAAGGAGGATCGGCGGGAGCGGAAGGAGAGGGTGAAGGAGGAGAGGGAGAGGGAGCGGCAGCGGCGGTTGGAGGAGAGGGAGAGGGCGAGGAGGGAGAGGGAGCAGGCATCAATGACGAGAATGTCACAGGTGGTGGGGGCGGAGGTGCAGGCGAGAATCGTGGCGGAGGCACGGGGGAGAATGCAGAGGGAGATGGAGGAGAGGTGTTCTGCTCTGTATGCCCGACTGGTGGCTGTGCAGAGTCAAGCAGGAGGTGCAGGAGCAGGAGGAGGAGGAGGAGGAGGAGGAGGAGGAGGAGGAGGAGGAGGAGGAGGAGCAGAGGCGGTGGTGGATCCGTGCAGGGTGTGCACTCGAGGGCTCGTTGGTGATGGGTGAGTGGCAACAAGGGTGCATGCAAGGTGTCTCACATGTGGGAGTTATGACGCGATTGCGTAACGTATCAACTTATTGCACCTGGCAGTGATCATTTATTGTGCCTCTCCTCTCTCTTTTGCGCTGTCTTTTCCTCTTGCAGTCGTGTTTTTATCCCTTTTCTGATTCGCCCTACTCCCTATTTTCTCCTGCTCTGCCCTCTGTCCCTCCGCTCTGCAGCGCGAATCAGGTCTTCATATGCGTTTCCTGTAAAGGTGAGCGACTCTCCAAGTTTCCCAGGCCTTATCACATCAACTCCTGCTCCTTCACTTGGTTTTTTTGTCTGCCTTTCCTGTCTTCCTAGCCCTAATTAATTAATTACGCCTATTGTTCCACTCAACTCCAAATCCCGCTCCCCCAACATTCTCCCCCTTCCCCCTCACAGCCTTGACCCATGCCACATGCCTCTCGCCCCCCGACCTCCTCCCTCCGGCCTTCCAATCCGCCCCTCCCACTGAGCCATTCCCATCCCCATCCCCATCCCCAACACCGTCCCTTCTATCCCTCCACCTCGTCTGCCTCAACTGTGCCTTCTCCGTCTCCCAACAAGACGCTGCCTCTGCCACTGCTGCTTTGGCTGCTCTACCTCATTTGTCTCAGTCTGAAATCATCGTGTGCCCCCCCACCCTTTTTCCTTCCCCCATTTCCTCCCCCTCCCCCTCACAGCTCTGACTCACGCAACATGCCTCTCGCCCCCCGACCTCCTCCCTCCGGCCTTCCAATCCGCCCTTTCCACGGAGCCATCCCCATCCCCATCTCCCCCTTCCCTCCACCTCGTCTGTCTCAACTGTGCCTTCTCCGTTTCACAACAAGACGCTGCCTCTGCCACTGCTGCTGCTACCGAAGCTGCTGCTGCTGCCGATGCTGCCGCCGCCACCGCTGCGGCCTCTGCTTCTGCTTCTGCTGCTGCTGCTGGTGCGGCTGGTGTGGCTGGTGCCGCTTACGGTGATGCTGCTGCTGGTGGTGGTAACGGTGCTGCTGCTGCTGCTGCTGGTGTTGGTGCTGGTTGTGCAGCAGCAGAAGGGCATGATGATGAGCAGAAAAGGAGGCGGAGAGTTTTCCGGGCAGAGCACCCGGTTTGGACGCTGCCCGGGACTCCGGGCAACCGGCACACAGTCGCAGGATATTATTTCGCCTCAGGAAAGGGCGAGAAGGAGAGACCGGAGGGAGAGAGGGGGCTGCAGTTGAAGTATATACCGTCAGGGTCAGGGGGGAGGAAGGCGATGGGGGTGCATGGGATGGGGGAGGGAGCAGGAGTGGCGTGCCGGCTGTGCAAGGAGGGGTATGATGAGAGTCGCTTCTACGTCGCCTGCAACTTCTGCGATGGTAAGCTTAAGCTGAGCGTATGGGGTGCCAAAGAGGGCTTGTTTCTGTTTGTTGGTGGGTATGGGAGCGGGAGTGGCGTGCAGGTTGTGCAAGCAGGGGTATGATGAGAGCCGCCTCTATGTTGCCTGCAACTTCTGTGATTGTAAGCCTCTTGAAACTGAGCTTGTGCGGAATCAGCCGTCTTGTTTTGTGTTCCTTTTCCCTTCTATCCTGCTCTCCCTTTGCTCCTTTCTATTTACCTCCATTCTCCTAATCCTTCCCTCAGCCCACGTCACAGTTCTGAAGGAGAATGGAGGTGCAAGACATGTACCCATGCAGGGAACATCCCCCGAGAATGGAAGGAAACTACCTCACGTGCACTCTTGCCTTCCCTTTTCCTCTTTCCCCTTTTCCCCTTTCCCCTGTCCCCTTTTCCCCGCCTGGTTTCATGGTGACACGCTACAGCTAGACAAGCAGCTGGAAACAATCATCTTTCTCGATTTTCACCATGGTTTCATGGTGATCCTGCTTTACCTCAACTGCACTCTTGGCCTGTGACTCTCAGAAACACTCCTCTTTCTCCCTTTTCTCCTTTTTTCGCTTCCCGATTTCCCCTTTCTGCAGCCTGGTTTCACGGCGATACGTTGCAGCTAGACGAGCAGCCGGACGTTCCGATCCGGCTCTACCTCTCCCTTTTCCGGATCTAGCGATGCACTCTTTCCTGACGCTCAAAACAACCCTCTCCCCTTTCCTTGCCTCTCCTTATTTCCTTCTTTTGGTACCCTATTTCCCCGTTCCCCAGCCTGGTTTCATGGTGATACATTACAGCTCGACGAAAAGCTCGACATCCCCATCCTGCTCTACCTCAAGTGCAACCGCTGCCGTAAGATCGCCAACAAGCTGCATCCCTGCCGTCCAAACCACGTGGACCCCTTGGATTGGCCGCCACATGGCGCTGCCGCCCCTGCTCTTGACGAAACACCAGCAGAAGTGGCAGCAGGAGGAGGAGCAGGGGGAAGGGGAGGAGCAGGAGGGGCAGGTAAGGGAGGGAAGGCGGGAGGAGGTGGAAGAGGAGGGGGGAGGAGAAAAAGCAGCAGGGGAGCTGGGACAGTGGAGCAGTCTCCTGGCTATCCTGTTGGTGTTGCTGGTGGTGAGGCAATGATGGGTCAGGCCACCGGAACAACAGTGACTGCAGGGAACGCGGTAGCACCAGGTGTGATTATAACGGCAGAGAACATCGACCCTGATTCGTTCTTCGACTCGCAGCTGACAGCAACAGGTGATGGGATGGGTGGGGCCGGTGCTGGTGCCGGGGTTGGGGGTCCAGGAGGGGAACCATGGGGCGGAGGAGGAGGGGGAGGTGGGGGGGTGGAGGGGGAGGATGGGTCGTTCTGGAACATTCCTTTGCCCACGGATACAGATCTGATGGATGGGGCAGCGATGGAAGCACAGCTGATGGGTAGCGCTGGGATTGCCACGGGTGGTACTGGGACTGGTGCATATGCTGCTGCTGGTGCTGCTGATGGTGGTGGTGCTGCTGCTGCTGGTGGTGCGGGTGCCGCTGGTTCTGCTGCTGGTATGGCTGGTATAGGAGTGTCCGAAGGTCCTGGTGCTGGTGCTTTTGTGGGTAATGCTTCTGTAGCTGGTTTTTCTGCTGCGGCTGCTGGTGCTGGTGGTGCTGCCAGTGGCGCTCAGCTGTTGCAAGAACAGCAATGGCAGTTGCAACAGCAGTATCAGCAGCAATATCAGCAGCAGCAGCAGCAGCAGCAGCAGCAGCAGCAGCAGCAGCAGCAGCAGCAGCAGCAGCAGCAGCAGCAGCAGCAGCAGCAGCAGCAGCAGCAGCAGCAGCAGCAGCAGCAGCAGCAGCAGCAGCAGCAGCAGCAGCAGCAGCAGCAGCAGCAGCAGCAGCAGCAGCAGCAGCAGCAGCAGCAGCAGCAGCAGCAGCAGCAGCAGCAGCAGCAGCAGCAGCAGCAGCAGCAGCAGCATTTTGGACAGCAAATGGGAACACAGCATGCAATGTTTCCCCATCAGGTGGAGTCTGGTCCAGGTGGATTTTCAGGGGGATTTCCAGGTGGGCTGTCAGGTGGGTTGTCAGGTGCATTCCCTGGTGGTTTTCCAGGCGGCAATCTTCCTGCAGCAACAAAAGCAGGTGGTGGCAGCAGAGGAGGAAGTGGGAAAGAAGGGAGACGAGGGGCAGGATTAACAGAGGCAGCAGCAGCAGCAGCAGCCGCTGCAGCTGCTGCAACCGGAGGAGTGGGGGCAGGAGGGAGAGGAGGGGCAGGAGCAGGAGGAGTGGGAGGAGCGGGAGGAGGGGCAGAGGGGTCAGGCAGAAGGTTGCGACCACGCAGGCCGCGATCAGCATCTACTGCGGATAAAGGGGAGGTTATTAACGAGGCTGCACAGCAGAACAGTGCAAGCAGCGCCTTTCGAGGTTCTGGCCTTGCTTCAGGCCAGAACGTTCCTGGAAACCTCCCTGTTGGTCGAACAGTGTTGGTAGCAGGTCATTTGGGCCCTCCTGCGACTCCCTCTGCTCCTCTCCCTGCCCCTCTCCCTGCCCCTTTCACTGCTCCTCACAATATCCCTCTCCCTGCGCCGCTGCAACAGCCATATCAGCAGCAAGAGCAACAACATCAGCAGCAACAGCAGCAGCAACAGCAGCAATATCAGGTGCAGGCGCACCATCAGCAGTGGCAGAGTCACCAGAATCAGCAATTGCAGCACCAGCAACAGCTTGAGAAACAGCAGCTGCAGCAGCAACGAATTGCGCAACGGCAGCATCAGCTGCACCAGCAGCAGCAATTACTGCTGCTGCACAAGCGTTATCAAGAGCAATATCAACAACAGCAACAGCAGCAACAACAGCTGCAGCAGCAGCAGCTACAACAGCAGCAACAGCAGCAACAGCGGTTGCAGCAGCAGCAGCAGCAGCAGCAGCAGCTACAACAGCAGCAACAGCAGCAACAGCGGTTGCAGCAGCAGCAGCAGCAGCTACAACAGTTTCCTTCCAATGCACCATCAGCCTTCCGCCATCCTCCCTCGGGTCCTTCTTTGCCGCCCACACAGTCACACTTGCCACCCATGCCACCCACCCTGCCTCCTGCTGCCCACTTTCCCCAATACACTCAAGCCCCCACCACAAGCCCTCGTGCACTCCTCGCCTCCGCAGCACCTTCACTTGAGCCGTTTGTCTCAACGCACCCGCAAAGCCCTTCGATTCAATATCCCAGTGAACCTGCAAGTGAATATCCAAGTCAACCTTCCAGTGAAGCCCCAAACTTTGTGTCACATGCTGCAAATCTCGAGGCGCCGCAGATGCCGTTTGAGTCAATGCACTCTCAAGGCCCTCCCGTTCAATCGTCGAATCTAGCCCCGTCGAATCTAGCCGAGGCCCCAGCTCCGAGCCAGCTCCCGAACCACAGCTCGATTGAACCTCTGAGTGAATACCTGAGTGAAGCTGCATACCCCTCTGAGCCTCTTGAAGCCTCAGTTGAAGCCCCGATTGAAGCGCCGATCGAAGCCCCGATGGAAGCCCCGATTGAAGCCCCCCCGATGACTCCGGGGCAGCTGGTAGCCATGATGGAGTCTCTGCTGCTGGCGCGGGGGTTTGACCCTGCGAGAGCAGCGGCCGTGGCAGCTGGCGTGAGGGATGGGGACCCAAACGCTGTCGAGGTCGTGAACGCTGCTTTCAGTGCCAGCCACGAGTGTGGGTCTGCTGAGCAGGTGGGGGCAGAGCAGGTGGGGTTGCAGGAGGGTATTGGTGCAGGGCAGGCCAGTTTGCAGGAGGGTGTTGGTGCAGGGCAGGCAGGTTTGCAGCAGGGGGTTTCTGCCTCAGTGGATGGTGCTGGTGGTGTGGGGCTGGGTGATGGTGGTTTGGAGCAGCAGCAGCAGCAGCAGCAGCAACAGCAGTGGCTGCAGCATGAGCAAGGACAGCAGCAGCAGCAGCAGCAGCAACAGCAGTGGCTGCAGCAGGAGCAAGGACAGCAGCAGCAGCAGGAGGTGGAGCAGGAGCAGTGGCCACAGCTGCAAGAGCAAGGGCAGCAACAGCAGCAGCTGCAGCAGGAGGAGCAAGGGCAGGAGCAGCAGTGGTCCGAGCAGCAGCAACAACAATGGCAGCAACAGCAATGGGAGCAGCAGCAGCAGCTGCAGCAACAGCAAGCACAGCAGCAGGAGGAGCAGTGGTCACAGCAGCAGGAGCAAGGGCAGCAGCAGCAGCAGCAGCAGGAGCAGCTGGAGCAAGGACAGCAGCAGCAGCAGCAGTGGTCAGAGGAGCAGCAACAACAATGGCAGCAACAGCTATGGGAGGAGCACCAGCAGCAGCTTAGTCAGCAATTGCAGGTTGGGCAATCAATGCAGCAACAGCCCCAGTGGCAACCGGAACAACAGCAGTGGCAGCAGCAGCTGCAGCAACAACAGGTGGTTGTTCCAGTTGACGAGCAAAGTAGCATGCCTGTGCAAAGCTATAGCCAGTCACAAGAAGCATGGATGGAACAGGGTGCTCCCGTGGGCCAGGGTTTGATTGGTCGGACAAATGAGGTGAACCCTGTGTTGGTGGGTCAATCCCAAGGGAGAGTAGAGTCGACTGGGGCGATGGGAGTTGGAATGCAGTGGGAAGGGAATGAGGCAAGCAAGGATGCAAATTTGCCTGCGATCCAGGGCGTGGGAGATGGCATGGTGCTTGGCAGTGATGGTACTCTGATGCATAATGGTGCCACTGATAGTGGCAATGCACCTCTTGGTGGTGTGGGGCATTTGTCCATGTGGAATCAGTGGGGACAGTAGCAGCTGGAAGAAGCGTACAGTTCACTCGTGTATGCAGTGCATCACTACATTGAAGAATGTGGGATGGATAGTATGGTACAGATTTTTCTTGTAAAATACTCCTTCCTTCGTACACCATAATACAATTTTGGGTTGGGTTGCCCTTTCAAAGCTGCCCACTTCCACTAGTAACGAAGTGCCGAGTGCATCCAAGCGAGTACGCCTGACACCCCAACAGATCGCGGAGACATCGGGGAACGCCTCGGATTGGCTGGTCGGCCTGAATCCTCCATTCGTTTCACTACCTAGGTTCTGTGGGTTGCTAGAGTTCCAAGCCGGAACTTCCGTTGTGCAATCCTGTGTGGTCACGAAACAGACGAGCCGGACTTCCTCGCTAGCAGCACAGCGCAATACACGTGTAAAATAGGCATATTGCGTCAGGAGCGCAGCTGCTGATTCCTCTAATCGTGCTCGTGGTCCCCTGACTGTACTACACTGAACGAGCCTGCCAGTTTCAAATCGTTCGGACTTGAGGTGGCGGTTTACTGAAATGACATCTCGATGAATTCTTGTTGAAGTCTTGTTGACGACACAATGCATCGGAAACTCTAGCTTGCGTGTCAGTGGATTCGCCGTACGAGTACTGAGATGTCTCAAATGCCGATCGTGGACAGCTAGCTTCGAAGTGATACCTGGCACGACAACTCTGAAAGACGAGCTCCGTCACAGTGAAAATCCAGGAGGCTAGGAGTTAGAGATTACAACAATCCAGGAGATGAGGGATTCAAGGTCTCGGGAATCCAGACTCACTTTCGTTCCGTTAGGTTAAAACGAGCTGCTCTTTTTGTATCGCTGTTTGTAGGGCGAGCGCAGGACAGGAGACGACCGACCACGCACAGGCATTCGGCCTCTGAGGCGTCTCAAAAGGCACACGCATTCAGCCTGTCACGCACTGCGTCGATACTAACAATTCAACCACCAGGACTTCCTTCACGGAAACACCTTCAGCTATGGAGATCCGCTCGGCTCCCACCCCACCCACGTCATCTCCATCATCGCGATCCAGTCGAACGGTCCAGATTTTCGCCGTCCTCCTCGCAATCGCCCTCTTGTTCTTCGTCGCATACGACCAAACCCGGCCGCCCGCAACCCCCGACGCCCTCCCCCGCGCCCTTCAAACCCCCGCCGCCCTCCGCTCTCTCATTCAACTCAACTCCACCGCAGCCTTCGGCGTCGTCCCCTCCGCCTTAAAACCCCGTCCGAACTTCGCCGCCACAGGCGGGGGAAGCAGCAGCAGCAGCGGCACCCGCGGCGCCCGCGGCGGCCGCGGCGGGGGAACCGGCAGGGGGACCGGCGCGGTGTATCTCCGCGAATACAGGCAGCCAATGGCGAACGGGAAACCGGAATTCACGTGTTACCACACGGAACACCTCCCCTGTAATGAAGCGGATCGCAAGTTCGGGCCGTCGCTTGACATGATCCGCGATTTAGAGCTCTCCCGCGCGGACCGCGAGATGCTGCACGTGCTGCGCCGCTTCCGCTGGCAGCGCGAGGAGCTGGCGCTGCAGGTGCCGCGGCGGGAGAGGAAGGTGGCGTTCATGTTCCTCACAAAAGGGGCTGTACCGCTGGCTCCGCTCTGGGAGAGATTCTTCAAGGTAGGTCTGTCTGTGGTTTCACTACCTTGTTCGCGAGGAGCTCGCGCTGCAGGTGCCGCGGCGGGAGCGGAAAGTGGCCTTCATGTTCCTCACCAAGGGAGCCGTGCCGCTTGCCCCTCTGTGGGGACGGTTCCCCTCCAGATAGGTCCTTTAATGGCGTCATCTCGAGACAAAAAAACGCCAGGTTTTCTGTCCAATGCCACCTCCCCCGCATGCCACCTCCCCCACATGCCACCTGCAGGGCCACGAGGGGCGGTATTCCATCTACGTGCATGCCTCCCCAGACTACACCTTCCCCAAGAACGCCTCTACCCTCTTCAGCAACAACACCATCCGCAGCGAGCAGGTGCGTGCAGCATGCTCTAGGCTGGTTGGTCTCAATACACTTGAGGCGACTTTTTAGTCGCCTCAAATCAACTAAACGCCTCCACCGTTTTCAGCAGCCACACCACATGCAGTGAACTGTGCGTGCTCTTGACTTGACACGTATATCATTGGCGCCCAAGACGCCTCACTGGTCTCATTGGCGCCCGACACGCCTCATTGGTCTCATTGGCGCCCGACACACCTCATTGGTCTATCTGCTCGTTTTGTTGCAAATCATCACACGCACATGCATCTCTCTCCTCTTCCTCCCTTCTCCTCCTCCATCATCTCCTCCTCCTTCCTCCTCTCCTCGCTCTCCTCTTCTCCCAAATCATCCCCCCCTCCGCCAGGTAAGATGGGGTCTCCCCACCATGGTGGACGCGTAGCGATGTGCCTCATGTGTCTACTCTCCTTCCTCTCCTTCCTCTCCTGCCTCTCCTGCCTCTCCTTCCTCTCCTGCCTCTCCTTCCTCTCCTTCCTCTCCTGCCTCTCCTTCCTCTCCTGCCTCTCCTTCCTCTCCTTCCTCTCCTGCCTCTCCTGCCTCTCCTTCCTCTCCTGCCTCTCCTTCCTCTCCTTCCTCTCCTGCCTCTCCTTCCTCTCCTGCCTCTCCTTCCTCTCCTGCCTCTCCTTCCTCTCCTTCCTCTCCTGCCTCTCCTTCCTCTCCTTCCTCTCCTTCCTCTCCTTCCTCTCCTTCCTCTCCTTCCTCTCCTTCCTCTCCTTCCTCTCCTTCCTCTCCTGCCTCTCCTTCCTCTCCTTCCTCTCCTTCCTCTCCTTCCTCTCCTGCCTCTCCTGCCTCTCCTTCCTCTCCACCTCACCTCCCCCCACCTCCAGGTGGGATGGGGGCTACCCACCATGGTGGACGCGGAGAGGCGCCTTATGGCTGCTGCTCTTGCGGATCCAGCCAACCACCGCTTCGTGCTGCTCTCCGAATCGTACGTACGCCCTCTTGTTCTCGAACCATACATACACCCTTCTTTTTCCGGATCGCGCAACTGATTTCTGAGGCGCCTGTGATCTGAATCGGACGCCTCATGGCTGCGGCACTCACAGAACCCGCGAACCACCGCTTAGTGTTGCTCTCAGAATCTTACACTCTTGCTCTCAGCAATCGTGCATACCTTATGCGACCACACCTTATGCGACCACACACTCATGCGACCACACCTCATGCGACCACACCTCGTGCGACCACACACTCATGCGACCACACCTCGTGCATCACCTCACACACACCTACATACCCGTCCTCTTCCCCCAATCTCAGGTGCATTCCCGTGAAGAGCTTCAACTACATCTGGGACTACCTGATGGGCACTCGCTACAGCTTCGTCTCCAGGTGATTCCAGGTGGATTCTCAGGTGTTTTTTCCGGTGTCCAGAACATTTCAGGTATCTGGGTGCATTTTGGGGGACTGGACGGATGGAATTATTGTTTCCAATTACAGGTGCCTGCCCAGGTAGTAGGCTCAGGTGCTGGTTGGAAGGCTCAGGTGCTGGTTGGAAGGCTCAGGTGCTCTTTAGAATGCTCAGGTGACTCCTTCGTTCTTCCCTCGCCTGCTTTTTCACCGTCTTCCCAGTGTGCTTGGGATACTGCATAATTCCTCCTCCTTTCTCTCCCTCCCTTCCCCCCCCCCCTCCTCCTCCCCCTCGTCGCTCCCTTCCTCGCTGTCCTCCCGTCCCATCTTTCCTCCTTTCGTTTCTCCTCTCCTCTCGCCCCTCGCCCCTCGCCCCTCGCCCCTCGCCCCTCTCCTCTCGCCCCTCGCCCTTCCTCTAGCCGTGCAGCTTCTTCATCGATCACTCGGTGTGCTCTGGCCAGTACGACAAGCACATGCGTTTTCAGACGTTTTAAATATCATCTCTCCACTCACCCCTCCTCGCCCCTCACCCCTCCTCGCCCCTCACCCCTCCTCGCCCCTCACCCCTCCTCGCGCCTTGCCCCTCCTCGCCCCTCAACCCTCCTCGCCCCTCAACCCTCCTCGCCCCTCAACCCTCCTCGCCCCTCAACCCTCCTCGCCCCTCAACCCTCCTCGCCCCTCAACCCTCCTCGCCCCTCACTCCTCCTCGCCCCTCAACCCTCCTCGCCCCTCAACCCTCCTCGCCCCTCACCCCTCCTCGCGCCTTGCCCCTCCTCTCGCTGTGCAGCTTCTTCATTGATCGCCCGGTGTGCTCTGGCCGGTACGACAAGCACATGCAGCCCAAGATCACACTCAGCCAGTGGCGGAAGGGGTCGCAGGTGAGAGGGGAGGGCAGGGGAAGCAAGGGCGGGTGGGGGAGTAATGCCTAGAGGCATGGGAACAGGCGTCAATGTGAAGAGAGGGGTGGGGTACGACTGTATTTGAGGCGCCTCAAAATGCACATGCAGCCCAGGATCACGCTCAGCCGGTGTGCTCTGGCCGGTACGACAAGCACATGCAGCCCAGGATCACGCTTAGCCGGTGGCGGAAGGGGTCGCAGGTGAGTGCAGATGAGGGGGGAGGGCACGCAAGCCGTAAGAGGAGCAATAGAGTAGTGACGGTCGGAGTCGGGAGAACAGGGGTCATGGGTCGGAGAGGGGAGGAGTTACCAGAAGCGCATGCAGTGCAAGCAAGATCACCCTCAGCCAGTGGCGGAAGATGTGTTTTTTTTAGAATTGCCTTGACTCATGTTCGAAGGGCTGCAGTGGTTGAATGAACGCTTAGCAAAGGAACAACAGTGAAAAATTCAAGTGGAAAAACGCAGATCTGAAAAACCCTTAGCTTTCGAAAAGCCTCCTTGCGTAAACTAGTTTCCGCGGATGGGCGAACCCAATCACGCCTTCATCAGTACAGCACAATTCGGAACTCCAGTGGCGGAAGATGTGTTTTTTGAAAATTCTCAAAAACCAAGACCGTACGCTCGACCATATCACCCTACCAGAAGCACATATGATACGAGCTGGTTTTTGAGAATTCTCAAAAACCACACGCTCGACCATATCACCCTACCAGAAGCACGTATGATACGAGCTGGTTTTTGAGAATTCTCAAAAACCAAAACCACACGCTCGACCATATCACCCTACCAGAAGCACGTGCAGTGCATGGTCTCGCTCAGCCAGAGGCGGACGGGGTCTCAGATGATGGGGGAGCAGGGGCAGTTAGATGAAAGTAGGAGTTATGAGTAGAGGTGAGGGAAAAGGGTGAAGGGTAGGGTAGGTGCGGGGTGGAGATACGACGAGTACATGCAGCGAAAGATTAACGCTTAGCCAGAGGCGGAGGGGGCCTCAGGTGAGGGGAAGGGCAGGTGATGGGATAAGGGAAGGCATGGAAGAAGGTTCAGAGGTAACGGAAAAGGGCGGAGGGAGGGCAGGTGAGAGGTGGTGGTACGACAAGAAAAGCACATGCAGCCAAGAATATTGCTTAATTAGTGGAAGGGGTTGCATGTGAGGGGCGTGTAGTGAGTCGATTTTTGAGTCGACTAAAAAATCGACTAATTAGTGGAAGGGGTTGTATGTGAGGGGCGGAGGGCAGGTGAGGGATCACGCGCAGAAGAGATGGCATTTATATTGCATATCCAGTGTAGTTATTGTCTGTAATGTCGTGTGTGTGTGTGGCATGTGTCACTTTACTTGCTGTGTTTTGATAATGGCATGCGTAACTCGTGTGGAACATGGCGTGGCATGGCATGACATGTTTTTTAACGTGCAAGCGATGCGCGAGCATGGCGTGGCATGGCGCTTACATGGGGGCATGTCATGGCAAAAGCATGTGGGCATGGCATGGCACGTTTGTGAATGTGCACATGATGTGCAAGCATGGCGTGTCTTGTTACATGGATGTGGGCATGGCACATGCATGTGGGCATGGGACATGCATGTGGGCATGGCACATGCATGTGGGCATGGCACATGCATGTGGGCATGGCACATGCATGTGGGCATGGCACATGCATGTGGGCATGGGACATGCATATGGGTATGGCAGTGGTTTGCGGCCACGAGGCGGCATGTGAACATCATCATCGATGACGACAGCATTCATGCACTCTTCCAAAAGTACTGCCGGGTGAGTCCCGGAGTCCCTTCAACCCTGTTTTTGAAGCGTCTTAAACGTTTTGTCTTTCTCAAAGGCGGCATGTGAACATCATCATCGATGACGACAGCATTCACACACTCTTCCAAAAGTACTGCCGTGTGAGTCAACAAAGTCCGTCGGCCTTACTCTCAAGTAGTCCAGTAGGGAAGGAGTCCCTTCACTCGTATAATTACAATTTGAGATGTCTCAAAAACGGCATGTCAACATAATCATCAATGACGACACCATTCACGCACTCTTCCAAAAGTACTGCCGGGTGAGTCCCTCAGCTTTTCTTCACCCCTGTCACCTTGCCTCTCTTGTCACCTCAACACAAGCTGTTCCTCAACTAAACACCATTTCTTTGGTCTACTCTCCCATGCCTGTCTGCCGTCTCTTTTGCTTGGGCCAATGGCAGGGCGACAAGTGGCATCACCACTGCTACGCGGATGAACACTACATTCCAACCCTTCTCAATGTGCGCTCCTTTCTTCACTCCTGCTCCTCCTCTTGCTGCTCTTGCCCCTCCCCACTTGCTCCGCTTGCTCCGCTTGCTCCTCATAACCCCCTTGCTCCTCTTTCTCCTCTTGTTCCTCCTTTTCCCGATCTGAACACACTGTCATGTTCTTATGCCGTCCAAAAACCACTCTTCCTCCTCTCCCTCCTCTCCCTGCTCGTTTCCTGTGTCTCTCTCCTCTCTCCCTCTCTCTTTCCCGGCAGATTCAGGTCCTGGACAGATGGCCAACCGCATATGGAACTAACTCTTGAGAATTCTCAAAAGAGACTAATTGCCAACCGCATGATAACCTTTAGATTTTACGCACACATTACCTCGTCCGCTGTCTCTCTTCTTCTCCTCTCCCGCAACAGATAAAGGAACCCAGTCGAGTGGCCAACCGCACCATCACCTATGCGGACTTCCCTCAACACCATTCTCCTTCGTCTGTCTCTCTGCTCTCCCCTCACCCCCTGCCTCTCCGCTCCTCTCCCCCAAGAGATAAAGGAACCCAGTCGAGTGGCCAACCGCACCATCACCTATGCGGACTTCCCTCAACACCATTCTCCTTCGTCTGTCTCTCTGCTCTCCCCTCACCCCCTGCCTCTCCGCTCCTCTCCCCCAACAGATAAAGGAACCCAGTCGAGTGGCCAACCGCACCATCACCTATGCGGACTTCCCTCAACACCATTCTCCTTCGTCTGTCTCTCTGCTCTCCCCTCACCCCCTGCCTCTCCGCTCCTCTCCCCCAACAGATAAAGGAACCCAGTCGAGTGGCCAACCGCACCATCACCTATGCGGACTTCCCTCAACACCATTCTCCTTCGTCTGTCTCTCTGCTCTCCCCTCACCCCCTGCCTCTCCGCTCCTCTCCCGCAACAGATAAAGGAACCCAGTCGAGTGGCCAACCGCACCATCACCTATGCGGACTTCCCTCAACACCATTCTCCTTCGTCTGTCTCTCTGCTCTCCCCTCACCCCCTGCCTCTCCGCTCCTCTCCCCCAACAGATAAAGGAACCCAGTCGAGTGGCCAACCGCACCATCACCTATGCGGACTTCCCTCAACACCATTCTCCTTCGTCTGTCTCTCTGCTCTCCCCTCACCCCCTGCCTCTCCGCTCCTCTCCCGCAACAGATAAAGGAACCCAGTCGAGTGGCCAACCGCACCATCACCTATGCGGACTTCCCTCAACACCATTCTCCTTCGTCTGTCTCTCTGCTCTCCCCTCACCCCCTGCCTCTCCGCTCCTCTCCCCCAATAGATAAAGGAGCCCAGTCGAGTGGCCAACCGCACCATCACCTATGCGGACTTCCCTCAACACCATTCTCCTTCGTCTGTCTCTCTGCTCTCCCCTCACCCCCTGCCTCTCCGCTCCTCTCCCGCAACAGATAAAGGAACCCAGTCGAGTGGCCAACCACACCATCACCTATGCGGACTTCCCTCAACACCATTCTCCTTCGTCTGTCTCTCTGCTCTCCCCTCACCCCCTGCCTCTCCGCTCCTCTCCCGCAACAGATAAAGGAACCCAGTCGAGTGGCCAACCGCACCATCACCTATGCGGACTTCCCTCAACACCATTCTCCTTCGTCTGTCTCTCTGCTCTCCCCTCACCCCCTGCCTCTCCGCTCCTCTCCCCCAACAGATAAGGGAGCCCAGTCGAGTGGCCAACCGCACCATCACCTATGCGGACTTCCCTCGACACCATTCTCCTTCGTCTGTCTCTCTGCTCTCCCCTCACCCCCTGCCTCTCCGCTCCTCTCCCGCAACAGATAAAGGAACCCAGTCGAGTGGCCAACCGCACCATCACCTATGCGGACTTCCCTCAACACCATTCTCCTTCGTCTGTCTCTCTGCTCTCCCCTCACCCCCTGCCTCTCCGCTCCTCTCCCGCAACAGATAAAGGAACCCAGTCGAGTGGCCAACCGCATCACCTATGCGGACTTCCCTCAACACCATTCTCCTTCGTCTGTCTCTCTGCTCTCCCCTCACCCCCTGCCTCTCCGCTCCTCTCCCCCAACAGATAAAGGAACCCAGTCGAGTGGCCAACCGCACCATCACCTATGCGGACTTCCCTCAACACCATTCTCCTTCGTCTGTCTCTCTGCTCTCCCCTCACCCCCTGCCTCTCCGCTCCTCTCCCCCAACAGATAAAGGAGCCCAGTCGAGTGGCCAACCGCACCATCACCTATGCGGACTTCCCTCAACACCATTCTCCTTCGTCTGTCTCTCTGCTCTCCCCTCACCCCCTGCCTCTCCGCTCCTCTCCCGCAACAGATAAAGGAACCCAGTCGAGTGGCCAACCGCACCATCACCTATGCGGACTTCCCTCAACACCATTCTCCTTCGTCTGTCTCTCTGCTCTCCCCTCACCCCCTGCCTCTCCGCTCCTCTCCCGCAACAGATAAAGGAACCCAGTCGAGTGGCCAACCGCACCATCACCTATGCGGACTTCCCTCAACACCATTCTCCTTCGTCTGTCTCTCTGCTCTCCCCTCACCCCCTGCCTCTCCGCTCCTCTCCCGCAACAGATAAAGGAACCCAGTCGAGTGGCCAACCGCACCATCACCTATGCGGACTTCCCTCAACACCATTCTCCTTCGTCTGTCTCTCTGCTCTCCCCTCACCCCCTGCCTCTCCGCTCCTCTCCCGCAACAGATAAAGGAACCCAGTCGAGTGGCCAACCGCACCATCACCTATGCGGACTTCCCTCAACACCATTCTCCTTCGTCTGTCTCTCTGCTCTCCCCTCACCCCCTGCCTCTCCGCTCCTCTCCCGCAACAGATAAAGGAACCCAGTCGAGTGGCCAACCGCACCATCACCTATGCGGACTTCCCTCAACACCATTCTCCTTCGTCTGTCTCTCTGCTCTCCCCTCACCCCCTGCCTCTCCGCTCCTCTCCCGCAACAGATAAAGGAACCCAGTCGAGTGGCCAACCGCACCATCACCTATGCGGACTTCCCTCCCCTGCAGCAGCACCCCACCTCCTTCCTGCCTCCCAACGTCACAGAGGACCTCTTTCAGAACATCACAGTGAGTAGGGAGGGCTTGTGCAGGGCGTGTGTTGAGCGTGTACTGGGCGTGTGTTGAGCGTGTACTGGGCGTGTGTTGAGCGTGTGCGGGGCGTGTGTTGAGCATGTACTGGGCGTGTGTTGGTGCTTACGGGGAAGCAGCAGCAGCCCACCTCCTTCCTGCCTCCCAACATCGCAGAGGACCTCTTTCAGAACATCACAGTGAGTTGAGAAGAGGGGAGGAGGGGAGAGGTCGGAAGAGTGGGGAAGGAATGTGCATGAGTGAGCGGAGGGATTTTCTACCCTGCAGCAGCACCCCACCTCCTTCCTCCCTCCCAACATCACAGAGGACCTCTTTCAGAACATCGCAGTGTGTTGAAAAGGCGTGTGTTGGGCATGTGCGATGCGTGTGTTGGGCATGTGCTGGCTATGTCTTGGTGTAACCGAGGAATCGGCAGCACCCCACGTCCTTCCTCCCTCCCAGCATCACTGCGAGGTGATTTTTGAGTCGACCCATGTCCTTCGACTCAAAAGTCCTTCCTCCCTCCCAGCATCACTGCGGACCTCTTTCAGAACTTCACAGTGATTGGAGGGGTACGAAGATGTTCTGCTTGCTCCCTTGCCACCCTTTCTCTGCTTGCTCTCATGCCACCCTGTCTCTGCTTGCTCCCATGCCACCCTGTCTCTGCTTGTTCTCACCATCCTGTCTCTGCTTGTTCTCACCATCCTGTCTCTGTCCGCACCCCTTTTTTCTTCCATGTGTGTTGTCTCAGCCGTTTTCTCTGTCCTTGTCTCCCCCATGTTTCAGGAGCCCCTGGACTACAGTCTCATCGACGTGGCGGTACAAGCTGCCGCTAAACTCACCTCACCCGCACTTCAACTCATCCATGCCCCCGTGTGCGCCCTTGTGTGCTGTCTCTCTCTCCTCCATGTTTCAGGAGCCCCTAGACTACAGTCTCATCAACGTGGTTGTGAGTCGCCTGCTGCTCTTGACCTTCGGCTCTTATCCTCTTAGCCTCTTATCCTCTTAGCCTCTTAACCTTCGGCTCTTATCCTCTTAGCCTCTTAACCTTCGCCTCTTATCCTCTTAGCCTCTTAACCTTCGCCTCTTATCCTCTACGCCTCGTGTCCTCTACCGTCACTTCGGCACGATTCAGGAGCCCCTTGACTACAGTCTCGTGAATGTGGTTATGAGTCGCCTGCTGCTCTTGAATTTCGCCTCTTGGTCTCTTACCCTCTCTTCTCTTCCCCTATTAGGCTCTTGACCTCTTAGCCTCTGCCCTTGTCGCTATTTCTCTACAGTCGATCTGGCCTCCATGCATCACTGCTTCCAATCCAAGGCGGCCCAAACAATGTCCCTCACCATCGCTGCTGTGGACCCTATTCCACTTCACATTCTTTCCCCAACACCATATACTGGATGTTTCAAAAGTACAGTGTTTTGTTCTCGTTAAATCTATCAGATTCCATGTGTATTCCACACCTCTGCAGTTGAAATGCAATCAGCACAAATGGCCTGACAACAATGTGTCTCCTTCCTGTGCCCTGTGCTGCTCTCATGTACCCGTCTCTTCACCATTTTTCCCGCCGGACCATCTCTATCAGGAGCATCGAGAAAAGACTCCTCAGAGTGTAAGTGTTCATTGTGGGATGAAATGGGGGGGTGCGGGGGAAGGGGGAGGAGAGGAAAGGGAGAGGGGGAAGGTGGGAGAGGAGGGGAGGGGGTGGGTTGGGAGAGAGGTGGAGAGGGGAGAATGAGTGGATGGTGGAGTGTGGGAGGAATCAGGGGGGTTTGAAGAGGTAGAAAGAGGAATTCTAGGCAAAATGAGGAGCAGGGCAGGGGGATTGGATTGGTAGGGAGAGGAAGTGAGAGTCAAATGATTAGGAGTGTGTTGAGATTTATTTTGGTGGAGTGATTGAAAGGGCTGAGAGAGACTGGATTTCTGTCCTTGTTTGTTGTCTCGGCTGCAGGCGTACACGCTACCATGCTCTTTAAATGGAAAGAAGCGCACCTGCTTTTTGTTTGCGCGGAAATTTCCACCCAGTGCCCTCCCTGCCCTGCTGTCCCTCTCCGAGGACATTTTAGGGTATTGATTGCCTCGTAGAACCAAGCACCCGCGCAGTGAAATTTGCGCATTATTGCACGCTTCGAAGTTAGACTGTTTTGTAACATGTTTTTTTGTTCCACTGCCGCATTTAAATGCCAGTACTGGTACCTGTCTTTCAGATCTTAATTCATTTTCATAAGAAAGGATGCATATCTTGCAAACAATGTGTTACGAGTGCAATTGAGTGAACAAACGAGAATTGCACTATCGAAGCAAGAGTACAATGAGCGAAGGCATGAGCGAAGAATATTTAGCGAAACTACAGTGGTAACGGTAATGGACTGTGGTTGTCGCGCGACGAGCCTGGGACTGAGGTTGGGAAAAGTGTCGAAGCGGAGGCCCGGAGCGCGGGTTACCCGCCGAGCCGTGAGGTCGGGGTGCGATGTGCGAAGGTGGCGGGCGGATTGTCGATGCGAGGGTTGCGAGTGGTAACGGTGCTGACTGTGGTGCTACAGTGATGTACGCGTTGAGCAGGGATGCGAAGTAAGGAAAAGGAATTTTCCTTACACTACACCCCCCCCTAAGGAGGTCCTCCTTACGAAAGTGCGTGTACATCCCTGAAATTTCGGCTGCGCAGATACTCGGTGAGGACGGGGTGGTTTTCGATTCTGTCCAGGGGAACCCAATTGTCTTCGGTGGGTGTACGGTCCTTCCAGCGGAGTAAGAACTCGATCCTTCGGGCTCCTCGAGGGTCGCGAACCCTGTGACTCATGATTTTCTCGGGGGTGATAATTGGTTCAGTTGGTGGTCTTGTCATGCTGGCTGGGCGATTGCGTGGCAGTTGGCTCGTGGACAGGACGTAAGGGCGAAGTAGGCTGACGTGGAATTGAGGGGCTG